TAACGAGGAGGAACTGCATACATATGCCAAGCAAGTGAGCAAACTTAAAATTTGCCAAGGAGTATTCAATAGGATTTCGGCTCTAAGCGAGCAATATGCTTTTTGTGCAATGGACGGCAATTCTTTCCGTCCGTAGGATAATGCTAATGCTACATGTACAGCTTGTGGAAAGGAGTCTAGAGGACATTTCGTCGTCTTCCCAAAGGCAACCATGTTTGTTATCTGAAGAGGTACACATCAAATAGCTTGAACTGAATGGATCACTAACGTCTACTCTCTTAAAGATAGTAAAGCATACATTTCGGTTCATGGTGCGTTTTGCATTTCGCTGGTTTGCTCCAGGGTAACCCTGAATATTAAAAGGACGCCATCTACCGCTTACTTACATTTATCCAGATGAGCTTCTCCTGATAGAGCTAGCATTGGTTCTGAGCGGTAGCCAATCATGTACCTGAAATTCCGAGTTTTAAAGCTGCATACAACGTTTTGAACATGTATGTGAGCCTTTTAAAGAACCAAGTCATACCACGTTGTTTCTCTAATGTGAGTTCGGTTAATATCTGTTCCGCTTTCAGTTGAGGCAAAGTCCGACAACATGAACACACTGAAAGTGGAATTAACGGCGTACTAAACTCTTGAGCTGGTTAATATTCTGCCAAGTGGTGGGCTTTATCTTACCACACTTGACGTTCTACTAAATGGAAACAAGGACAACATTGACCGATAACACCGAAGAGACATTTTTGCTCATCCGGCCTGATAGAAGAGTGTCCTCGTTATGCAAACAGCAAACTGGATAAGATAATAAGAGATACATGGTGCGGTGCCTGGTTTGTTACGCGTGATGAAGTTACATGTAACTGGCACTGTTGTGATAACAATTCAGCCACACAATGAAGAATTGACCAACACTCAATCGGTGTAGATAGCAGTGGCAATTATCAAGTCTAACTAATGCAATCATCTACTATTCAACCGGGCGTCAATATCGGGCTTGGTCTACTCTCCGGTTTGCCGAGCCTTCTTTTTTATGACGGCCAAGGGGACCTTGGTTGTCTGAAGCGGTCTCTTGAGGACTTAAAGCCTGATCGTGAAGTGAAGAAAAGATAACATGGTCTTCAAACCGACACGTATGGAAAATTGATAGGGCGGGAATTGCACATTGTCAGTCAAAGTCACGCGGTGAACGTCCTTCTCTATGCGGATGCAGGGCTTATGTCCGGCCCTATTGGCGGATGCGAGTCCTCCGATGTCTTTAGCATCTACATGGCTTCAACAAAAGTAGTTACCTTACCGGCAAATACAAATCTCCGCAAACGTTCTTTCACAACAGACCAATCCGAGACGAATCTGCCCACACTCGCATTGCCAGCGGGCAAACCATGTAGCGAACAATCGTCATACCCACGCGGAGTAACATGGGAATTTGTTATAAAGCGGCTTCTCTCTCTTTCATAAGTGAGACTTTAATCAATATTTATTTTGCTTTAGTAGCAGTCCAAAGGTAATTGAACCGGAACAGTATCGCATACATAACCTGAAAATGTTTTGGGATCGATTTTCTCCAGAAAGGGATATTCCTTCCCAAGAAGGCAAAGTGATTGTGGTTACTGGAGGGCATGTTGACACTTCCAGTTTTTTAAAGTGAGAATTAAGCTTGGCTAATACGGATAACGAACAGAAACGCAGGAATCGGCAAAGAGACAATATTACAGCTATGCAAGCATTCGCCGAAAAAAGTCTTCCTCGCCACGAGAAACGAGGCCAAGGCCAAAGAAGCCATCGCCTCCATCAACTCAACGCTGTCCAAGCCTGCCGACATTGAGTTTGTGAAACTCAATCTCAGCAACTTGGCATTAGCTGCTGCCGCTGCCGAGGAAATTACTAGTAGCACTGATAGGATTGATCTGCTATTTCTCAATGCCGGAATCATGAACCAGCCGCCGGGCAAAACCGACGACGGACTTGACCTGCAACTCGGCACCAATCACGTCGGCCACTTTCTCTTCACAAATAAGCTGTTACCTGTGCTCAAGCAAACCGTCACTAAATACAACCCCGATGTACGCGTTGTGTCTACCGCATCCAACGGACACACATTCGCACCAGCTTTCGAGACCATGATCTCAACCGAAAAACTGTCGGCGCAAGGCCAATGGACTTCCTATGGCGCATCCAAGGCAGCCAACATCCTTTTCGCCGCTGAACTGGCCAAGCGACACCCTGAACTCACCTCGGTGTCTTTACATCCCGGAATGATCCAAACCGATCTGTATGTGACAACGACCTCAAACAGTTTCTTCCTCAGAAACCTGTTGCGTTTCTTTGGCCCCATCTTGTACCACGACGTTGCATACGGTGCCTTGACCCAGCTTTGGGCGGCTACGGTGGACAAGAGCAAGCTTCAGCAGGGCGGATTCTATGTGCCGGTGGGGCAGTTGGAGAGCAAGAACAAGTACGCTGTTGATGCTGATATGCAAAAGAGGCTGTGGGATTGGACAGAGGCGGAGTTGAAGCAGAGGGGTTATTGAACATTTTTGTGTGGTGCATTTAATCTTTAGCTGGATCTTCATTACTATTATTGGATTTGTAGCGAGCCTCTGAATTAAAGTCAAGTTCTTTTTCTATCCCATTTCAGTTCGACCATTTGTAGAGTATCATAAATGGGTTAGTGTTTCATCACTGGGTAATAATATGTTGATATTCTCTGTCAATTTTCCTTTAACATGGTGGTATTAATGAGATCTCTTGCGAGCTTACGGAGCAATCTTGACATGTTGGTGAGGGGCCGGGCTTGGTCCCCGTCTTATCTCGGACCAAGCAACGGCCTTGCTCGTCCGGGTATTCGTCCGGGTGGGACGTTTTGTCCGATCCGATCTCGCCGAAAATGAGAGTCGGAGTAAGACAGGTCCACATCACACCGTGCGGTAAGATCTCATTGACGAGATAAAGATACAAGCTTAAAAGAAAAACAAGAAAATGTCCGTATATTGTTGACTTGTTTGCGCCGTACCAGTCGAAGCTCTGACAAGATGGGGTTCCCTGATGCCATCACGGGAGGATGCCTCTGCGGCTCGATCCGCTACTCAGTATCTGCGTCTAGCGAGACACCATGGCCGCCTCAGGTATGCATCCAGATGCTGTACTCAGATTGAACGCATGACTTACTTTTAGATCAATTTAGTCATCCGCCTGTCAATGTAGGTGTGCCCTATTTTTAGAAGTACCAGATTATCAGATGGGATCAAGATGATTGCCTGTTACGTACTCGCACCATGCCCTATCCGAATGCTGACAATTTGACAGGTACAATGTGTCGCAAATGGACATCGTCACTCATTGCGCAATTCATCATTGTACTCCCCGACCAGCTCAAGCCAGCTTTCCACACCCAGGAAACATATGACGAATATGAATCATCGCCTGGCCGGTACAGAGGATTCTGCAAGCGGTGCGGAACTTCGTTGGTTTGGCGGTCTGTAGATGATAGTAGCACCGTCGATGTTTTCCTAGGGACAGTAGATGAACGGTGGCTTGTGCATGAAGATGGCGGCAAGGTTGGACAAGAGCTGGCTAGGCCTAATGGAACACAGTTTTGGATGGAGAATGCCATTCCAGGGGTGACTGATGTGCTAAAAGGAGGGAAAGAGTTTCGCAAAGAAGGTGAAGACGGATGGGAGAGAAAGAGGGATTAGAGTACCTAATCTATAGAGAGGACGGGAGGGACTCGGCAAATGGCAGGGCTAGTTTTGGTCAGCGAATTAGAATAGACGGCAGTTTTCAGCGAATAGAATGCAACTGTCATTATATGGAATATGTACATATGCTCATGTCGAGCTGCATAGTCGCGGGACCGGCGGGGGTTGGCAGTTGGACAAGTCGGCCTGTATACCTATGTTCTTAAACCTCGTTAGACAGGTATTCTTCACAATGGGCGCGGTGTATCCTTGTCACGAAGCGCGGTGTCATAGTTCGAGACAAATGCCAGATTGCGTGGAAGAAGGAGCTCTAGGACGGGTCTCGGAAACCACATCAATCCCCATTTGTAACTTTCCAAGACCTTCCTATGATTCTGAATCAATCCGTGGACGTGCTTGCCGACTTCCGCAGCATTACAAAGCGCTAAGTAAGCTGTCAAAGCAGCACAGGTCACCTATTGGCCGGTGCTTCCGCTGCCATGAGCAAAAGACGGGAATTTTGATAGAGGGCGGGCCGGAGACAGCCCTGAGAGGGGAGCGGAGCGCTCCGGAGTTTTGAACTAAGATGATCAGGTCGATAGCGGTCTAGAGGGTTAGGGCTTGGTGTGTTTCAATGGCGTCACTTCAATGATATTCGCTCGTAAGTCTGCTGCCCGTTCGTGCTTTTTTCGTTTCCCAATCTCTTTGTGCGGAAACAGGTAATGGAATAGGGGTCGGGTATCGAACAGTTAATGCGTAGAAGAGAGGATTCGGTGGAAGTTCAACTCTGCCTTGGTCATTCAGTGGAAATGAGTAAAGCTGGAACCTATTCCCGCTTTATCGTACGATACAGTAGCTCTCAGTTGAGGATCCGTACAGCTGGACAGGCCAACTCAAATTATCCGAGGGTATTGATCCTGTGACATGAAACCATAGACTTGACAACTTGTCGCCCCATTCCCCAGCTTCCACCTAATTAGTAACAACAGATAGAACCAGGAGAATATGCTCTTGGAAGCTCGAACCCCGCGTTCTAGCTCATGATCTGGGGAATCTGGGGATCAGTTGGCGGACCGCTATGGTGGCGCAATGTGGACGTAGCGTGGGTCTCCGGACCGAAGCCCGTAACCCTCCGGAAGAGCCCACCGCGAACCGGCATCGGATAGCACTCGAGTGCGAGATGCTTAAATATATCCCAAGCCCGCTGCCCGTAGCTACCAGACCTCGGCTATATGTGCTTAACCCGAAATACCGGTTGTAAGTCCCCTTGCAGTAGCCTTACAGATGGATCCCCTGGAACAGTTTAGCACCGCCCTGGACACAATGTCCGACAGCAGCTCTCTTAGCCCGGAGCCGCATCTGTCCAACAAGCAGCCGGTGCGAAGAGCTAGCAAGGCCTGTCTGGCATGCCGAGCTAGAAAGGTCAGATGCGACGTGACGATAAGATCTCCATGCGGCAACTGCCAGTGGAATGGACAGCAGTGTGTTACACATGCTCGACGTGCCAGAAGGTATGTGTTGGACATGAAGTAGATGATGGAGAGTAACAATAATTATTAACAATAGATCTCTAGACGGAGAAGAAAGCCTGTTCCTACTGCTGTCCCGACCGAATCAGGTGCTTCAAAGGAGCTTGAATTGAAAGATGGCGCATGCAATCTGCTCGAGGAGTTTGCCATTGACTCATTGGAGGCACCAATATCTATGGAAGACTTGGAGCTCTTAAAGGCAGACATTGATTCGGACAAATCTCCGCAGAGTTTATTGTCAGATGATGTCGATGCCTTTGATCTGCCAAAATATGTCAGACCCCTGACCAGCCTGCCTCCAGACGACATGGAGTATCTGCATTCAGAGGGCGCTTTAGATCTGCCCGACAGCACTCTACAGAACGCCCTCCTCCGCGCATTCTTTGAATACGTGCACCCATATGTTCCTACACTGGATCTGGATGCTTTCTTGCATTCTATAGAAACACATGATGGGTCAGCGGGCCAGGTTAGTCTGCTATTGCTGCAGGCTGTACTTGCAGCTGGGACGGCACATGTCGGGCTGGAGCATCTTAGAAATGGCGGGTATCAGACACGGAAGCAGGCCCGCACAGCGTTTATGAAGCGAGTTGGGGTAAGTTTGTTCCTGGTAGCTTGAATACACTATTCAGTTATTAACACGGATGAATAGCTCCTCTATAAGTATAACTGCGAGCTGGATCAGATGGTTCTCACGCAGTCGCTGCTACTCATCACTTCATGGCAAGACGCCTCTGACGAGCACGGCAAGACATGGTTCTGGATTGATGCCGCAGTTTCCCACGCCTTCGCAGCCGGACTGCATCTGGAACCCTCAGTAAACAAGCCCAACCTATCAAAGCGAAAGCAAAGACTACGCCGCCGAGTATGGTGGTGCTGCTTCATCCGCGACCGGCTGCTCTCTCTAGGCATGAAGCGCCTACCGCGAATCAAAGACGGCGACTTCCACGTATCAATGCTCGAAGAGGCCGACTTCCAGCCTGAGCAGATCCGCAGCGACGACGACCACGCCAAGTTCGAGGCCATGTGCGTCTACGTCAAGAGCCGCAAGAAGCGCGCCGAGCTGGCCCGCATGTGCGTCGCGCAGGCAACTTTATGCCGGTCCATGAGCTTCTTATCCAGCAGCATGTACGTGGCGCCTCACGACAACTTTTCCAACTTCTCCGAGGCCCGCAAGATGACGCCAGACGGCGAACAGAAATTCACCACGTACATCCGAGACCTGCTGGAGTGGAGAGACGGCTTGCCGGAGAGCGTCTCGTATCGCCCCATCTCGAGTAATGACATTGGCAAGGACGGTAACACGAGCATTTCGATGGACCGTGCGGTGCTGCATATGATTTACAACACGGCTGTGCTGTGCCTTTACCGCTCGCGGTTCATGGTGTTGCTGAACGAGCCGACTGCGTCCACGATGGAGAAGGAGATGTGCAAGATTTACATGCAGCACTCGGCAAAGAGGATAGAGGAAATATCCAAGAACATTTATGACCACGGTCTTGATCGATTACTTCCTAGTATGGCGGCAAATATCGCTGTGTCAACTGCCAGCGTCTATCTATTAGAGCTAAAGGGCCATCTTCAGGGCTGTGCAACCGAGAATAGCTATCGGCAAAGCAGAAAGCTCATGCAGTCTATGCATGACATTTATGCAGGCGCTGATTTGTCGAGAGAATCCATTGAATGGGACAAGGAGGACAGCTCGGAAGAGGCCCCTGAGATGGCGGAAGATTATCTCATAGCGGACCAGGATTGGCTCAAGGACTTGGAGGCTGCGACATGCTGGTTGGTGGCTGAGCCGTTCAGGGCAGACAGCTTTCTACAGAATCCTGGAGAGGGATTGGACGTGTTTAATGAGTTTTTTGTTTGTTAAATGATCATAGAGTACTGGCTCGAGAGTCACTGCTCATACTGGCGTATTTTTGGATTTGGGGATTATGAATCATTGGATATTGATGTTGCAACGGCCTCTAGATTAGGAAATACCCAAGGTATAATACATGGGAGCTGAATCCCCATGTTTTTCTTGTTGCAATCATCTTCTTGGCTCTACTGTGAATTCATTATACGTAGCACGTATCCATCATCTTCGATTCCCTTCTATCTTGTCAACTCTTAATTGCGATATCGTGTCTGTTAACCGGTCATTTGATCTTACTCATACTCCATAATCTCAAAATCCCCATAGAAGCCAAGAGATATCGACGCGTTACCCCGTAAACAGGACCGCGTACCTCTCACAAAGTGGAGTATCGGACATTTCCCACGCAAAACTCATCCATCCAAACAAGAAAACGCGAAGCCCTGCCCCATCACCCTTTCTCAGAAAATTGCCTAATGCGGTATGTGGCGATCCAGCTTGTTCCCTATTATACAAATCGAGTGAAGTCGCATCTGCTAACCCTTCCCAAAGCTCTTTTTAGCTCCCGCCGCACTAAACCTTGGAACAAAGATCAATGCTTGGGATTCCAATTCGTGTTGCATCGAGTGGGCGCCGCTACCCCACAGAATGTAAAGGTCGTTTCGGCGAGATGAACCGACTTCATTGGCTGAGGAACGTCTCGGTCCGCATCACCAATGGTCGGGCTTGCGGTCCGCTCGAGCATTTTGCAAGGCGGAAACGTTTTTGATCTGGGGTAAAATCGAGGCTGAGTGAGGGGCCAATAGTTTCCGGTTTGGGAAGCATACGGAGAACGTGATGTTTTGGGTCGGCGATTAGTGGTGAATTTGCAAGCAAAGAGGAGGAGCAAGAGGAGATGATGCGTATGTCCGTGTACTCGTAATGGCAAGCCACGCTCAATTCAGTAGCCGGCCTTTTTGTGTTACGGACCGCATTCTAGCCTTCTGCGGGGGGAGGAGGATTGGCAGCCAAGATTCGGTTGATTGGCACGATACAACTCAATATATGTAAGGGGGCTTTGTGGCTGGTGTTGCATAAATTGGCTTGTTGGTAACCCAACAGAGATTCGAGTCCAGCCCGAATTCCCCTCTCCAAGATTTTCTCTTTTCCTTTCCTTTTCCCTATTCTTATTCCTTGACAGCAAGCGTTCATATTCTTTATCAATATTCACAATGGCACCCTCAGCTACCGAGCCTAGCACCAATCCCCTGGACTTCCAGAGCGGCTTTGTCCAGATCATCAACGGCAAAAGCTCGCCCACGGCAACTACCCGCCATGGCATCAACCCAGCAACTCTCAAGGCGAAGCCTGAGGTTCCCCTAGCCACCAAGGAAGACCTTGACAGTGCGGTTGCTGCTGCAAAGGAGGCTTTCAAGAAATGGTCCAAGGTTCCCTATGAGGAACGCAAAGCCGCTGTGCTAGCATTTGCAGATGCTATTGACAAGCAGCGGGTCGAGTTCCGCGACCTGTTAATCTCAGAACAAGGAAAGCCTGTAAGAAACTTTTCAAAAACTTGTGATATAGTTTGAACATTTTGTACTGATCCGTTGCTAGATTCCCCAAGCAGATGGCGAAACCAATGCGGCTATCGAGTGGATCAGGGGCATGGCCAACATCAAAATCCCCGAAGATGTCATCGAAGACAACGAGAGACACACCGTCATCACAAGATACATGCCCCTGGGTGTTGTCGCTGCCATTGTCCCCTGGAACTTCCCCCTCTTGCTGGCAACGGGAAAGATTGCCCCTGCTCTGCTCACAGGAAACGTCATCATCGTCAAGCCATCGTAAGTTTCACCCTTAAAAAGAACCAATTCGTTCAATGGACTCCCATCTGACAATTTACAATTAGACCCTTCACACCTTACTGTGGCCTTAAGATCGTCGAGTTGGCACAACAGTTCTTCCCACCTGGTGTTGTCCAGTCTCTCAGTGGAGATGACAACCTTGGCCCGTGGCTTACAAGCCACCCGGGCATCGACAAAATCAGCTTTACTGGCTCAACACAGACCGGAAAGCTGGTTATGCAGAGTGCATCCAAGACTCTGAAGAGAGTAACTCTTGAGCTGTATGGCTTCCTTCTTTGGCCTATATCATATTGAGAATTCATCTAACAGCGTGATAGTGGTGGCAATGACCCGGCCATCGTCTTCCCAGACGTAGACGTCGACAAGGTCGCCGAAAAGGTAACATCCCATGTATCACATACTCCAAGTCAGATGTAGATATACTAACAACAAATAGGTCGCCCTATACGCCTTCCTCAACTCCGGCCAAGTCTGCCTGAACCTCAAGCGCATCTACATCCACGAGTCCATCTACGAAGAATTCCGCGACGCCATGGTCAAGCACATCAAGGCCTACACCCTCGGCAACGGCGCCGACGCCGGCGTCAGCCACGGCCCGCTCCAAAACTCCATGCAGTACGACCGCGTCAAGACCTTCTTCGACGACATCGAGAAGCAAGGGTGGAAGGTCGCCGTCGGCGGCAAGATTGAGCCCCCGACCAACGGGTTCTACATTGCCCCTACGGTCATTGACCGACCACCTGAGAATTCCCGCATTGTCGTTGAGGAGCCTTTTGGTAAGGATACTCTGCTGCAGTAAGAAGTAGTGAAGCATGCTAACTTATATTGCTCTTTAGGTCCCATCGTCCCTCTTCTCTCATGGAGTACTGAAGAAGAAGTCATTGCCCGCGCCAACAACACAACCATGGGCCTCGGTGCCTCAATCTGGTCCAACGACATTGAAAAGGCGGCTAAAATTGGTCGTGAAATGGAGGCCGGCACTGTCTGGATCAACACACACTTTGAAATCTCCCCCATTGTGCCCTTTGGTGGACACAAGGAGAGTGGCATCGGCGCCGAGTGGGGACTCAACGGACTCAAGAGCTTCTGCAATGTTCAGTCAATGTTTGTAAGCAAGCAGGTCGTAAGCTAGAGATTCTGCAAACCAGAAAGATACCAAGAATAATATACCTTGTTGATAATAATAATGGGGCAGAGTGCGTGGCGGAGACGACTTTGCTTCATGTTCCTTCAGCAAACACTTGCTTAGCATCTACGATTGACAATGTATCCCAGCACAGTAAAGATAGGGTTGCAGAAGAGGCATATCGCAATGAGTGAGCGTCAACAGACGCCCTCGTGTATTAAATAGCATATAATTCTCATCTCAAGGTGCGCCAAACATGCGAAACTACCTAGTTGCCGATTTTTCCAAATTGATATGTGCATAAGTCATACTGCTGAATCCAAAAAAGGGCTATAACATCATTTTCACCGTTTGTCATATATCGCAATAAAACAAAAGCCGTTTTTCATAGAGGCACGCTGCCGTTACCAAGGAAAGCAACGTTAGGATCGGAGTTCGCATCGGGCGCCATGCCCGTGAAGCCATCGCTATTCTCCATATTCATCTGAGAATCAAGCGGGCTTAGAAACGTATCAGTGGATAGAGGGGGCGGTGTCAATGCATTTTCGTTGAGCGCGGACATGGCCACGTAATCGACCATTAGCCATAGAGCAGCTTCCAGTTTTGGATCAACCTCTGAGGTTGTCGGGTCCAAAAGAGCAGAAAGAGAGTGATAGTTGGCGTCGAAGAGCATTAATTGAAGATGCTTAAGTAGCAAGTGGGATGTTAATAATTTGACAAAATCACAAATAAGAGTAGGCCGCGAAGACTCACCATTTTCGAAGCGTGGTCCCACCTTCTTCCCACCCGTTCTAGTATGTGGATAGCCTTTTGGTAATGACTCAACAGTTCTGGGTCCGTGACTTGTCCCTTTTCCTGGTCAATATGGATAGCCAAGGAGAGAATGCCACCGGCAAGAATTGAGGCATATGCGTAGAAGGAGGATTGCACGTGGCAGCCAGAGGTAATGGCGTCCTCCACAACGGAAGATATTGCTCGCGCATGGTCACAGCTGACTTCAAAAGAGCGGGTCAAGAATTTTGGCGGTACTTTACAGTTGCCTTTCTGGAGCCTCATTCGGAGAAGGAATGGGTGATTGAGGAGACAGTGGGCGGTGTGGAAAGTGATACGAGCAAACACAACGTGTTCAAGAGATTGGAAATCCAGTGTGCCGTCGGGTTTGCGATACTGCTGCACGATCTGAGGGATAGGGGTGGTTTCTACTTGAAGGTGATGGTCGATGAGCAGCAAGAAGGTATTTAGTAATGTGAAATCAGACCTGGGATCCCACGGCGGCATCTCGTCAATTTCGCGCCCGTGCAGGACATATCGTACGCATCGTCCAAGAGCCGTGGCGGCAAGTATCGTTTGAGTAAAAGTACTGTTGACCGCTGAGTCTCCCTCAGACTTCCAGTTGATGAGCTGATGGAGTGTTGGTGTTTTCTTCCAGACGCCCCTTCTGAAAGTCTCTTCGTCAACTGGTAACTGGACATGTATGTCCTCCTCAGAAATGGCTGGTGGACGACTTTGGCCGACTGAGACCAGCTTGTCGAGCAGATATATTGACCAGAAAGCTCGGCGGTGCTCTTCCTGTTCAATCGGGCTCAATGTGCTCTTCGGTTCCTTCATTAGCTGCAAGTCTTGAGCAATGCGGACGGCAAGACCAATCTTGAGCCACCCTGAGCTGGTGCGACCACCTGAAGGGAATTCATGGTTAACGAAAACACTAACTTTTCATCCTTTTTCAGAAGATGACTTACATGTGAAGTCGACCACTCCAAGAATATTACTAGCCTGTGCGACTTGTAATGTAGGGTTGTTCTCGACGGTTAGGTGATCATTGAGGAGAGCCAGCCAAGCCTCCCTAGCATATGCCTCGGTGGCCTCGCGCCTACAACCTGCAAAGTAGTCGGAATCTGAGAATTTGAGGGCTGACGCTAAAATGCCAAAGAGTAAACATTTTGGGACGAGACCGTAATTTAGTCTCTCCCGAAAGCTTTGCTCGTGGAAATATGTGTATGGCTGATTATGAACATGAAGGAAGTAAGTATCGATGAGGTGAGCCATGACAGGGGGAGGCGGCGCGGTGGTAAATCTCCTGCTGCGGAGTTAGCAAGCTCCGTTGTATATTCCCGGCATAGGCAGGATAGTATATAAACGCACATTGCATTCGCAATATCGGACACGGGGTGCTCTGTTGTTTCGGGGACGGACGGTTGGAATTGCTGCTGAGGTGGTGATGGTTCTGTGAATTCTGGAGAGAGATCCTGGTAGGTGGTGGATGCTGCCAGGTCGGGGAAAGTAACCTGTCCATTTCGATTTTCGCCGTTTCTTGAATACTATTAGCAAATGATGGACTCTCAGCTCTATCGACGCAAGGTTGACGCACAGGAAGCCTATTAAGCCCTGGCTGTGCAGCTGGGCCAGTTGCGATTCGATGGTGTTGATTCTGTTGAGCAGCTCGGGCTATATCGATAGTCAGAATGCGAATGCAGATTCAGGACGGATGATGCTCACATCGACGACGCCGGTGCGAGGGAAGAGGGTTGACGTTGTAGTGGGAGCGGACGGCGATCGACCCTTGACGGAGCCATTGCTGGGCGCAGCGTTGGGAGGGTTGGTGGCGGAGTAGGGCTCGTAGTGACAGACGCGATCGACTCGGCGACAGTTCATGCATCGGGGCCGCTCGCCGGAGCATCTGGTTTTGCGATGCCTGCAGGGTTTGATTCGCACACGTTAGCTACAGTGGTTTCGCAGCATTCACATTCACATTCACAGCTCCCCAGGCCGGAGAAGGCCAGCCATTAAGCTCCGCTCGGCAGCTGAGGCGGCGTTTCCCGACCTGTGCCAGCGGCTGCAAGTAAGAGCAAGACACGGAGAAAGAGGCGAGTTCGCGCACCGACAATTCGTGCAGGCCTGGCGGATGCGGCGGATGGTGTTGACAGTCGGCGCCGGCCGGGCTCGCGCATCGGACCGCTCCCAGCTGGAAGCATCGGCTGCTTGTTCGGACATGGTGCTACCGCATGCCTGTGCGACGGATGCGAAAAAACCATCGATCACGATGTTCGATTGAGATGCAGCAGAAGACGCTGAATAAACGATGAGCGGGGTTGCACATATAGCGATAGCGTGCCTGCATAACTTAAAGCTTGCACAACTCCGGGTCCCACGAAAAGTAACCGGTACCCGACGCTGGCAGCGGGGGAACCTGACAGAACCTGACCAGGGCAGCCTGTCAGGCCCCTGCCCTGGTCAGGCCCGCGCTTTTTGAGTTTTGCAGCGTGATGCAATTGGCGAGTCAGCGGCTGACCAACAACTCAGCGCACCCGGCAGGTACCGTTGGCGCTAGAAAGTGTACCCGGTACCTCTGCTAGTGGCTGATCACTAATACTGTGCAATGCTCCTTTACAGCAGTAGCGGCTCTTTAGTGATTGATGGCCTCTGGGGGATCTTCCATGTTCTCCTTTCATGGGCGGTCGGGCAGTTTTGAGGTTTGGTGTTCGGTGCCCGTTGCACCATCTTCACGTCGTGTCTTGGTAGTGAAAGCTTCCCACTCATTCTCTGCTTCAGCCCTTAATCCGAGTTAGATTTCAGCCAAGGCTGCGGTTACAGCCCATCGCGAGCTGCTCTCCAACAATCATCTGAGATTCTGACACTGAGATTCTGACTTCCTCCGTGGCCGATCCGGTGGTCGCGGCTGACAAACTGCCTAACCATGCGTAAAAAGGCCATCGAGAGCGTAATATTCCGATTGCACTCGTCAGGCGGCTGAAGCCAGACCTCGGCAAGTTGCCTTAATGCAGAGACAAGCCATTTCCCCCTCTTTTCCAAGTAGGACTCGCACCATTCGTATCCTCTTCAAGAAGGGGAAACTCCCCGAGATGCATAGAGGAACCGAATCTCCCGTCGTTTGTCGGGATTTCACACTCTCTGTCAACTGTGCCATCAACTAGACTGCCTTCCATTGCTTTTCAAAATCCGTTTGTCGATTGAACCGTAGTGCCCATGTTGATTGTCCAGTGACTTGAACTCGAAGCGGGCGCCAGGCATTCCAGCCAGAAGTAGTGCTCTGCATCGGCTCTCATTATGCAGCAGAGGGTGTGGTGTCGGCCTGTCGGCGCCGAAGCGTGCTCGGGACTAGAGGCCCGATGGAAATCACAGTTCCGACATATCGTATCGTTCGTTGTCCCAGTCTTGGGGGCGTTCTGCTATCCGAATCTTGGTCCTGCCAACATCTCGCCCTGCATGATGACTCAACTTCTATGATGCCTTAAGAGAGATTAGCTTACATCCTTATGAAGATGGAGATAGCAGACGGCACCGATATCCCAAACGGAGTAGTAGTGCCGGCTACCGCTTACCTTTCGCCAAGCGTGACTTGAGAGTCGAAATTGGAGTTGAGCATGGTCGAGATCACAAAGAATCGGCGGTATTCCGCTCATCGCAAGCTCAAAGAGAGGCGAAACGCCGCGGCTATCCGGGCGCTTGGGCGGCGATCATCCGGGAGGCCTAGCGAGTTCATCCCCGACGACAATCGGCCGCCAGACGCGTCTCTTCCCCCCGGGACGCGACCTCGCGCGTAGATCCCTGGAGATTCATCCGGCAGACGACTTCGGCAGAGACGCTTGATGTTAAATTTGGCTTTGCAGACGATGCAGAGCCGGTGATGCGATTATACTAGGTTGATACCGACCCCTCCATTTCTGGGCATGGTGGACCGGTCCGCAGAGCGGTCCGCGTGGGGCAGCACTCCGCCTGTTTGCTTGCAGTTAAGTTTGACAGCAGCTGAACATATTAAGCTTGAAGCATCATGTGATGAGAGGAATTGACAGAAGAGCATAGTTAATAATAAGAAAAAAAACCCATATTGATGCAGTTTGGGTGGCTTGTTATAACGTTGTATCCAAACAGCCCGCTGCAAACACATGACTCGGATACATGTATACAGGTATGTATGAGCACTTACATCCAACATAAAGTGGTCAAGATAGATGGAGCATGTACATTTGCAGCAGAAACAAGAAGCTACAACAGTTATCTATATGTCTTATGCATAGGTAAGTTCTACCACTGTAAGTGACGCGTATCTTTGGCTGTGATACCATCAATGCTCACTTTTTTGCGGCAGGGAGGACAGTCCGGAGATCTAATAGTTCATACGACTGAATCGCTCATCTTGTAGCCTTTTTCTCTATTATCTGCGACCCCATATATCCGATGGATACGCCCTCTGCATCAGAAGCTATGAGGGCTGCCTCCTCCTTCGCCTCCTCATCCCTTATCCTGACTCCTTCATTAATTCTTAAACGATCAGTAGTACGTTGTCTAATTTGGCAGCATCTGGGCACCGCAAGGATCCTTTTACTGGTGAATTCCTTCCAATCCACCGCAAATGGGAGGCACGCGTTTGCATATTCGCCTTCGTCTTCGTCCATCTCAATGATGTTTATTTGGAGCACTTCGGGATCTGCATCCCCAGGTGGGACCAAGTGATTGAATATAACGCCGTAGTAGTCTATTTGACTAAGACCAATTGCAATGAGAATTGCCGTTAGTCACGATCGAGCGAACAGGGCCAAGCAAATTCTCTATGCATCTGGGCCTGGAACTCACTCTATAGTTTCTCTGATCCAGCCGAGATACTCGCCACGCACGACGAGGTCATTTTCGATATCGGGGTGAGCGGCAGAGCCGTATATAGCTCGGTGCGCAGCTTCGCGAGCGATGGCCCAGATGGCTGTGGTAAGCAGGGGACAGAAAAAGCGAGACTAAGAAGATTTCGAACACCACGAATTAAATCATACGCCTACTTTTGAGGTATCTGCTACTATAGCTATATGTCGCCAATATTTACTACTGTATCTACATTTCTCTAGTAGCTACCATTATATCTATATTTTTCTAGTAACTGCTATTATATTGATACTTTCTCTAGTAAATGCTATCGTAGATATATTGTAAAACTTAGGTGCTGGCTGAATATTGGGCATTCCCCTACAAAAGCACCACTTAATGAGCTAGTCGGGTGCTTATATTACTGAATATATGCACTTATTCACTTTGTAGTCTCGCTTTTTCTGTCCCCTGCTTGTGTGGTAAGGCGGAAGAAATTCATTAAAATGCCACGGCTCGTTTGGAAGAAGCTGTTGTGTAGACACAAGCGGCCCCTCAATCTGGATGCGAAGCGGCTTGTCCGGCGGGGGCGGATGATGGGCGTGGATTGACGACCGGATGCAACTTGGGATATGAAGCTGAAGAGCCATAGCTGGTATTACGCAGCTTTGAAGATCATAGGACCTGAGCCAAGGCTGCAGAATCAAGAAAAGGATATTTGATAATTCTCTCGCCGAAAAGAGGAGATAGGAGAAGAGACGGATGGTGGGTTAGGAATGGATAGAAAACTAGTCGGTGCCCCAGGCTTTTTCAAGGATGTCAATTACCTTCAATCGCCAATGATCCCAACTTTCCTGTGTTGAAAGAGGCTCAGGCCACGTTGTTGCCAATGGAATGGGAGCATCCTTCAACTCGGCCGGGTAGAGCGCATTTTGGATCGCTTGCCACGTCAATCCAGAAGACACATCAGCGATGTTATAGAGGTGTCGACAGTCGCCCTCAAATATGATACGCCCCGTCGTCTGCCAGATCTTAGCGACTGGTCTATAAATTTTCTCCCCGTGAATGGGTCCGTCCAATTTATCGAGCCGGAGTTTCCCTTCTTTCCCAGTATATAATTGGTAGAATATTCCTTTCATATTACAATTTTGTTTTCGAGCATCTGCAATAGAGGTAGTGAGATGAAGGTTTTGTAAGGTTTCATCGAACCAAAGTCTCGTCAAAAAAGTATCGGTTCGGCAAAGGTATTCGACAATTTCCAAATCCGAAACAAAAGCTATTGCCACACCCAACGGCGATAGTGGATAAGACGAACTCACATGATACAGAAGTGTATTCTTTAGTGAAATATATCTCAGTCCAAGGGTATCATACATCAATAGACTGATATCCGACTGAGAAGATGAGACGTCGCCTTCCTCATATAGAAGTTTCAAAGGGGAAAACTTCCGAGAGGCTAACGCTGGTAATATTGCTAGTTGAATATGTCCTCTAGGTGATGTCAAATACATGACGCCTAATCGTTGAACAATATCAAGAAATAACTCCAAGTCATGTAAGTTTTCATATATGAGCTCAGCACAGTTATGCGCAATCCTGTGATATAGATAGCGGTTGAACCGATCATATATAGGAGGCTTTGAATTATCCATATTAGCAAGGCTGCTGACACTTAGCCGAAGGAAGTCTGAGAACGTCTGTAGTTTATCCCATCTATGAGTTTCCACCAACCAGAGAAGTGCTTCGTGGAGAAAAAGAAACAGATCTACGTTCGGTGCTGACAATAGGGCGTCCATGGCATCCCATTTGAGCTGAGTATATGCGAGTCTCCATGCCTTGATCAAGTCGGTTGATTCGACTCCCTCAGTGTTTTTTACCGCTGTATTTAACAAAGTAATATTATCAGAGCGTATTGCAACTAATAAAATATCAATGTTCTTGAGGGTCCAGTCTAGCTTTAAATTCATAACTGATAGAAACTTTCGAGGAAATTCTGTATCATCCCGTAATAATGAGGATATTATGAAGCAGTTTTTAGATACTGGATGAAAATCCGGAGAGCGAATTCCGATAGCTTCGAACAACTCTGAGAAAGCTTCAAATGTATCGCAGAGCCAGTAGATCAATATCCAATTACAGTGGTGTACTTGCATCCAAAACATTCGATCAGAATCCGTTGGAAACCCCCCAGAACACCGTTTGATGTATTCAACAATGCGATCAACAATTTGTTGAAGAATAGAAGATGTATGCGTTGTCGGTTGAATCTGAAGTTCTTGTCTAGATCGAGTCAAGGTCTCGATGTCCTCATTTGTGGTACTAGATTGAAAGGTACGGTCAAGGAGAGACTTTCTAGCACCAATACAGGTATGTAGAAGTGCGGCTGAATATATCATGGATGCGTCCATGGGAAGCGGGTTTGGGGAATGTTGAAACAAAAGCAGAGAGTTTAAAATGCAATCCAAGAACCGCTTATCTATGTCTAATGTATTAACATGTTATACTTTCCGAAAAGAATTGATGAATACTAACCTTGATCTGCAAAAAACTTGATTGGAAGATCTTTCGTATCCGAGGAGTCGTTGCACGCATTAGACGTTGCTATCAGAGGTACAATATAAGTAGCTTTCCTAACAGCATAAAGAAGGCGCTAAGCTTACATCGGCGCTTATAAATGTCTTGTCCTAAGGAGTTTTGCACAATCAAATTTAATGAGAGTGCATTCATAAATTGCTCGCTCGGCATCACAATGATCACTACACACTCGACTGGCGGATCACGCTCGTCGTCTTGGTACTCGGCAAATCTGTGAACTTCTGCTTAGCAGTTGATCATCAAGTATTTCTGGCAGCCCTACTTTTGGAATAATATTTCTCCATTGCGTGTTTGCCATTTTAGCTCAGGCTGATCGCCTGTGTTGCGACGACGGGGGGTGAGAGCCGTAGACGGGGGCAGATTCCAAATATCCAAATTGCATGTCAAGAGATCCTTCAGCTGGAAGTTAATTCTGGAAAGGGTATTGAGTTTAGATGTTGCTCCCTTAATAAATTTCAATTAGTAAAAAATGACTTAGACGTATCATTTTATTATACTTGCTTGAGTAAGACGCTGAATGTGATACGCGCGACGGTCATTCGATGAGCCCATGTGAGTCCGCTGGGGATGTATGGCAATCATGTCGGTCAATATCCAACATGCTTTCAATAGATTTATGAACCCTTGATTATATGTACCATTGTATTCGTTAGATTCTGGAGCGGCCCCCAGTTGTGACTCTGCCTACTCTCTCATTAGTGATGAGTATATTTTGGCAGAATACTTTTACACTTCACCTTCATGAGCCACCATTGACCTATTTGAAGCCAGCTATCAATGCCAATCGATGCCCAAGGACGATTGTCAAATTCTGCCTTCTGTAGAAATGCGTCTGTCAACTCCATCAAAGCATTTGTGTCCAAAGGAGCTGTAAGCATCGGTCGATCCCGCGGAGCGCGATCAGACACGAGAAGCTGTCGCAGCTCATCTAGCTTTTTGTCGGTCTGTGTATTTTGTTTCTCTATGCGTTCCAAAGATGAACTTTTGACCATTAGATCACTTTATTTAGATATCTTTTGGTAGAAGGCACTCACTTTTGAGCACCCTGCAAAGTAAGGGTGAGTTGAGAGTTATGAAGCATTATCTATGATCATTTAGCACATGGCGTTTTTTTCGAAGCTGATAAGAAGCTCCCTCACTTTGGCGCGTAGATCATTGATAGTGTGAAGCTCCTGTGAGTACTTTAATCGATCCCAATAAATGCGCGGATTGAGTCGTTTTTCTCGTCCCTTAATTGGCGCTTGGAGCTCTGCATAACGCTTGGATAGCTGCTGCATCTTTTTGAGTGTTTCTTCTGATTGCGACATGACGCGATTAACAAGGTTGACCCGAACATCTCCAGAGTGTTTCAACACTGAGTCTTCGTCTTTGAGCTCTTCGATGAGCAACTGGATGGTGTTGTGGAGGTTTCCGAGCTCTTGGTTAAGTCCACGGAGCTCTTCGGGTGCATCTCTAGAAACTTTGTATACTTGTGAGTAGAGCTTCCAGCAAAGCTCCCCCGCAGCGATAAAATCGCCTATTCCGAAACCGAAAGACATGATGCTTTTTGCGGGATGTGTGAGGCAAAGACCAAGATCCAAAGAACAAGGTACGGTCTTAGGCATCAACGGATAAGTACTACCTACCTAGGATATATATATAGATGGAGTGGGTCTCATAAATACCAATGCCCAATCCGAGTGCGAGCCTCTGTTATTGGTGGTTGCTGGCGGTTACACGAGGCTGGGCGATTTCGTTGGCCAACAGGCATAGCACAAGGCAGATCTGTCAAAGTAATAAGCCTTTGACTGCGCACCCCGCACATTACAGCTAGACCTCGCGAACCATGGGTAAGAAATTCCTTTGGCAAATATAAAAATGTCGTGAGCGCTCGGACAATGACGATGTCGCGCCAAAAACCCTCCGCTATGTCTTATCACTATACAAATAAAGTGATGGATTCGCTAGTACTTCGATAAAGTCATAACTGAACACGAATCATCGCATCGTTGCTAAGACGCTGTCTATCGGAAAATACGGTCTATAAATATGTGGATGATTTGATATGCAATCGCAACTCCATCAGACCTTGAACTTTCGTGGATCCAAGCTGGCAACATTGGCACTTTTGGCCTCGCCATCAAATATGTACTCAGACATTAGCTTCCCGGTTCCCGGACCATTCTGAATCCCCCAGCAAGTGTGACCGGCAGCAACCCATAGGCCGGGAGTCACTGTTGGCCCTATGAGAGGCCCGCTCTCTTGTCCAAACCGAATGTGTCGAGGCAAGTAGCAGGCTTGTTTGGCCTTGATAGGCGCGGCCGCTAGTACGGGACTCACTGTTGCGAAATAAGAGATGATATCGTCACAGTAGGCCTCATCGAATTGAACCAGGTCGGCCGTTTCTGGCAGCAGCACGACGCTGTCTGGCTCACCTGAAGTAACAATCAACACATTTTCGTCTTCAGGCGGCAGTCTTCCCTTTCAATTCACTTACCACAAGCATATGCCTCACCAAAGGGTCTGGCGTAGATCTCGGGATCTACTCTACCCTTGTGTTGTCTCTTCTGTCCCAACTTTGCCCGATGCTCGGGGATAAAGTCTGGCGGCAGTTCAATATCTGTGAACACGGCATACGCACTGACGTTGACATCATAGACGACGCTATGCGCCCTCAAGCCTTCGACCTTGGATCGGGGAAGCACTCGACCAGTCCACGGACCAGCTGCGACAATGATATCGGTGACATCTGTAATCTTGCCAGCTTCATTGGTTGTCCGGTCCAGAATCTCGACTCCTTCGACGCTAGTTTTTGTGGTGATGAGTGTTGTCACCTTTATATTCGTCTTAATGGTAGCACCCCCCTTCTGAGCCAGCTCTGCAATTGACGTTGTGAAGTGATACGGATGAACCTGAGCAGTCTCTGTAGCTCCCGGAGACCCCATCTCAGCCCACCCCCGGACCACTTCTCTGTCTATCCAGTCCAAGTCTGCGGGCATTTCTTCGTCCTGGAGCAGCTCCATGGCGGCCTCATCCTGCTTTGGAAGCTTCTCCCATTCTTTGCCATGTTCATCTGCAGATTTCTGGAGCTCGCCAAGCTTCTTTTTCGTAACTACGGCCTCGATGCTGCCGCATTTCAGCTTACGGTAGCCCCAGCGGCTGGCTCCATCGTGTTCAGCGGCAAGCTCTGCATGAAGCCCGTAGGACAGCGGAACAAGAGACGCCGGGTAGGCCCAGAGCCCAAGAAGGCCGCCTGCCTTGCCCGAAGCACCAGTTGCCACAGACGGAGCGGCTTCTAGAAGGGTGATGGTGTGCAGAGCAGGGTTGAACTTTGGGTGGCGGGTCAGATAGTAGGCGGTTGTACAGCCGATGATGCCGCCTCCTAGAGCATTGGATCGTTCGTTAGCGATTTAGCGCTGCAAGCCTCACTAAAACTAAACGTCTGTGCGGGATTGTTGGAATGATCCTTTAAGCGTGGGCGTTGAAGGCGTATGTTTATTTTAATTGTAACGTGCAACTTCAACAGTAGTGCGATAATTGCCCATCTAGGTTGGGGGATGGACGGATAAGGAGACACATACCGACAATGACTATGTTTCTCTTTTCTTCCATGGCTAGCTACGGGTTTCTACTTGCACGGATGCAGATGCAAACGCAAGGGGAACGTTCAAGTTGAATGCTTGAGCTGCTCAGGGCGGTGGGTCTTGAAGTCATGGAGCAATGACGTAAGCTAGCTCTACCCTCAACTTCTGGGAGTAGATGTGAGAGCTCCAAAGATAGAAGCAGGCGGCTGTAACAGATAGGTACGAGTACACAACTACGCCATTTATAAATTACTGGTTCAGATGTTGTCCTTGTGAATTATTCGAGTTTGGATGTTTGGTTTACTCTCTGCCCGGAGAACCACCCGCGATGCAGCTCACTGACAAAACTGTTGTTGCAATACTAGCATGTGATTAATCCCAAAAGCAACATCGATTCCATATTTGAGGTCAGCACTCTGTCTATTAGAAGACTAGCTTAACCACCATCAAACTAACATCTTCGAGAGAAAAGGGAGATCCATACACTACCCAGTAGCAATGCTTGGCAATTTCTACCCGTACTACTCTTTTACAGTATCTAAGGAACGCACCCCCACAGGCATGAGCTTACTTTGTGGTGCTACAAAAACGCCTCTTCATTGTCCACTGCTGATCGCCACTGTCATACGGACTTGAGTGTGCCTGGCTAAAGCGCTAACGAGGACCCTGTGGAACTCCTATTTCCATTGAGCATTCTTTAGCCTTCCCGGCAATTCAAAAGGCTACGTCAGGTGGCTGCCCTTTGTATCAGACAGGATGATTTGCCACGACTCGCCGAAAGTCTGCACCGCAACGATGCCTAGAACTTGCTAGATTAATAAACCAAAACGAAAAATCAAGTTCAAATCACACCAGCACCAGGTGCGGGGTTATCAATCTTAATAGCGGACAAACTCAGTGTTCCGATCCGGCAGGTATTTGAGATTGCGTCTTGAAAAACCCTTTGTCCAGCTCTCCACCGTGGGGCCATGCCGAGGCTGAAAATGCTAGTTGATGAACTCATGGCCCTCGCTCCAGCATATGCATTCGTCGGACCTCCGCAAGGCTGAGGGCAAACAATAACAGCATCACCTGTCTTTGCTTAATTCAAATTAAACGATTGGCTCTGTGACTTCCCGCGGGACACGGAAAATGTCCCATTTCGCAAATTCCAAATTGACTTCCCGCGTGCTGAGGCGGACACCGCTGGGCCCGAAACCCCGGAGCTGCGACACAGGCCGTTTTGAAGCAATACGCCGAGCGCCACTAGCAGCAAGACGTCACCAGTGGACTGACTTGAGGAGTTTCTCTTTATATTCTGGCGCGGTCCGGCCTGCAGCCTCGACTTCGATCTTGCATCAACATCGCGTCCAGTCTCATCCCGCAGCCTCTCGCAACAGACTCTCTTCCACAATGTCTTCTGCTACCAACTTCTTCGACTTCACGGTGCTCGACGGTAAGCTTTCGACATTTTCCCTCCAAAGCCCCTCCATTCCCATCCATCGCCCGCACGCATCTAAGCCGATAGCTACCGCCCCGCTATTGCGCCAGATTACGATCGATCTGCTTACAAGCCCGTTGAACAACTTTTCCCGCTAACGAGTGTGCCTTTTTTTTCTTACAGCCGCCGACACCGAAGTCCCTCTGGCCAACTACAAGGGCAAGGTCGTCTTGGTCGTCAACACGGCGTCCAAGTGCGGCTTCACCTACCAGTACAAGAACCTCGAGTCCGTCTACCAGGCCCTCAAGAAGGAGTACCCCGACGACTTCACCGTCATCGGCTTCCCCTGCAACCAGTTCGGCGGCCAGGAGCCCGGCAGCAACGAGGAGATCCAGAACTTTTGCTCGCTGGAGCAGAAGACGACGTTCCCCGTCATGGCCAAGATCAACGTCAACGGCAACGATGCGCACCCCCTGTATCAGTGGCTGAAGAAGGAGAAGCCTGGTCTGCTTGGTCTCGAGAGGATCAAGTGGAACTTTGAGAAGTTCTTGATCGGCCGTGACGGCAAGGTTATCGACCGCTGGGCCAGCACTACCGAGCCCGAGAAGTTCCAGAACAAGATCGTTGAGGCCATCAAGGCGCCCGCCCCTCAATAATCGATGAGGCTTGAGGAAGAGGAATGAGAAAAGGAGAAAAAAAAGAACGAATAGATTGTAAATAACGAGCATGTAATATTTGACGATTCAATGATACCTCCTCTACCTAGGTATAGAACGGCCTTTGTGAAAGTTTCATTCAGGTCGCATACTAGATGCTACATGCGCATCCAGTAAATATACCCGCATGAAATCGCCTTTTCAATTACAAACATGAAAATACTTCTTTAATTCAGACTTTAAAACCTGTGAAATAAATTTCACCCCGTCAAAGAAATCACGGCGCTCATTCACAATTCTGGCGCAATCCCGCGACTCAAATCAGGCATAGCAGCTCCATCCATCCTTATCGATAAGACCCGATACCAAAAAATTTGGGCGGCGTCCATCCAACCTCTCCATCACCCAAGCCGAACGTCAAAACGACAACAACACTCCCTAAATCCTCCAGTCAAGTCACATTCCCATTACACCGTAGCAATGGGTCGCGAACTCCAGAAGAAGAAGCGCCGCTCCGGCCGCGCGCCCGTCCGCCAGTCAAACACCACGAAAAAGATTCTCAATCCCCGCGGCAACTCCGTCATTGCGAAAAACTGGTACGCCTTCCACTCCCCTTTGTCTCATCTCATAAAAACTACGAAAGAAGGATTTCATTGACTAATTGCTTTTTTATTTGAATTGTAGGGACAAGAAGGAAACGCTGGCGCAAAACTACCGCCGACTGGGCCTCCTCGCACGACTAAAAACTCCCACCGGCGGCACTGAGAAGAAGCTCGCCTCCGCATCATCATCAGACGCTGCTGCCCCCAAAACCTCAAGATCCGACCCTTTTGCCATCGCAGCCGCCGAAAAGGGCGTCCTTTCAGAGGCGAAAGTCGAGCGCGACGCTCAGGGCAACATTATCCGCGTGCTAGGCCGCAAGGCGAACCCCCTCAACGACCCTCTCAACGAGATTGATTCGTCCGGCGAGGAAGACAACGGCGACGACCACGAAGAATGGGGCGGTATCAATGACGATGGCGTCGGCACGACAGATGTAGTCAAGTCGCTCATTGAGGAGGCGAAGAACCCGGCGCCGCCCAAAGTCAGATACTTGAGCGAGCGCGAGACGGAGTGGCTGGAGAAACTGGTGGCCAAGTACGGAGACGACACGAGGGCCATGGCGAGGGATCCTAAGCTCAACCCCATGCAGCAGACGGCGGCGGATATCGCGAAGCGATTGAAGAAGTTGAAGGCATCGGCATAAAAAAGATGGATGTGGGATGATTCATATTACTGGGTTGTTTTTTTCTCTTATTTCCAGCAAATGTATATGGGCTGCAAAGACCAAGACGGTGCATTATTAAATCACGGCGTTGGGAGGATGTTTATTTGAATATCAAGACAAAAGGCTTTACTTTTCTTCATCTCTTCCGAAATGGAATCCCAGCTACGGTAATTTTCCTTGATAATTTGAAGATTTCAAACAGAAAAAGAAGTGCAAAATGAAGAGAAAAAAAAAAAAAAAAATACAAATTACATTTCGTGTGCAGTTTCCGGCCGTTCTATATACACCTGGTATCTCATCAACGTTTCATCATGTTACAGATGTCCAAACAAGAGGAAAAAAAAATCGGGATGCCCTCAACGCCGTAGAGATATTCTACCCCAAGCAAGCATAAGCATCCAGGCCCACCAGAGACCCCTCCTCCCGGTTTATGTAGTTTGGTTTGTGTGTGTCCAAGTCATTGATAGTGCCCGCTACCGTCATCATATATCCTTGTCTTTGTGCCTGCCAATGTGCTTTCCTCCTTTGCCCTATATCTTCCCCTCTTTAATGTTCTATCCGATCATAGTCGGCGGACGGGAACTGCACCGGGCCATCAGCATAGGTGTCTGAGTGTCTGCCGCTGTAGGGGCCGGGCGAGGGTGTCTTGTGTGTGCCGAAATCGGTGCTGAGGTTGCTGCCGAGATTGCTGCCGTGGTACTCAGTCTCGCTGTCGAAAAGGGGGCCGCTGTTGCTTCGAGGGGGGAGAGCGCCGTAGCGGTTGGGATCGTCAAAGTCGTCGGCGTTGTAGGGAGTGTTGTCACCGTAGCGGCTGTTCATGGTGGTGTGGTGGTCGTCGTAGCCTGGAGCATCATGATCGTCCATGTTGACCCGCTCGTAAGCCTCCTCGTCGTGAGGTGCCATGGAAAAGGCAGCCTTGTCAGGGTCGATGTTGTCGCTACCGCCAATCTTGCGGCTGTCGTAGCCAGGAAGGGCGCCGTGGAAGTTGTAGTACTGCAGGGTGTAGGCACTGAGGAAGGCCGTTCCAATCCAAAGGAGACTATAGTCATAGGAAGCATGGGTTAGCCTGGTGGCGCAAATAGTTGACATAGGGATGAATATATACATACGTAACAAACACTCCGACAGCAACAATAGCCTTGCTGATGCCACAGCTGCCACCGCATTGGCCAGAGCTGTTATAGGCTGCTTGGGTGGAAAAGGCAGAGAGCCACAGGACGATGAACAGGCCATCGACACCGAGCATGACGTATGGGTTGGCGAATCTACGAGTACGCTCGAATCGAGGGGTCATGATAAGATAGATCCATCCGGGGATGGAGAGGAAGCACTGCAAAAAGGGGAGGGGCAAAAAAGTCAGCGACCGAGTCCTTTTTGCCATGTGACGACAAAAACTTGTGTGCGCAAACTCACCACTGCAAAGGTCCATCCGTTCAAGCCCACAATCCTCGAAGTATCACCGCGGAAGACGGCAATCTCCAAGCACCACGCCAAAAAGCCCAGAATGATCTGAAACGAGTGCAGGCCCAGCTTCAGGTTCGGGAGAAGCTGGGGGTCAATCTCGAAGAGCGCCATGGTGCCGACGTCAGCGATCGAGAGTCGTCGTCGACAGAGGGGTTGGTTATGCGAGTAATGTCAAGTGGCGGGCGATGATGGTTCGACAGAGGCGTTAAAAAATTTAAGGATAACCACAGAGAGATGTATGTGAGACGGAGAGAGAGAGAGGCGGCGTCTCTTTTGTTTTCTGTGCCCGCAACCCGGGAGATCTGCGAAGCGAAAAAAGGTCGAAGAGCCTGGCCCTGAAGCTAGCAAGACTGAGGCTGAGCGGGATGGCGGTTGGCCGTCCGTCAGCGGCTATCGAGTTGGGTAAAGTAGGGCCGGTAAGCTGATAATGGCGGGACTTTAAATAACAGGACCTCGTCTGCAATTTCGAATTTATTTACCAAAAAAAAAAAAAAAAACGAAACGGAAACGACGGGTATGAAAGGGGAGGGGGGAAACAAATAATAAACAAGGCTCTAAATGGAGCTGAGCAGGATTATGAAAGAAAGAGAAAATACTTGCATTGTTTACCGACCAGGCGAATAGAAGAGCGATCGATAGCAAGCAGGATGGAGGGGGAGGGTCTGGCCTGGGTCAGCTTCTGGGAGCCACGCGTTGCGGCATGGCAACCGGCTGGAGACTTGCGCTGAACCGGACTGCTGTTCTGTTGATTTGATTCGAGCCTGAGAGCCTGAGCCACAGCCACAGCCGCGCGGGCTTACTTTGGGATGGGATGGGGCGCGTGCGGTTGGGGCTGCGCCACCCGCCAAGGCACTTTGGGAAACTTTCGCTTTCGGTTCCTGTAGATGATGATGCTCATGACGATGATGATTTGGAAGTATGTACCTTATGCATACTTGGCATTTTAGGAATTATGCATCTATTCTTTCTTTTTTATTCACTCAAAACTCTTAATTCCACCTCGTTACTATTACGAAACAAAGGGGCATATACTGTAAGCGTCAACGAAAATTCAACCAGCTTGTTGTGGCTCCGCCCTATTCCGGCGGGTCTCGGCAATGCGTCCCGCAGTCGGTACATGCTACTGTAGAGGCTATTGTTTACAGCACAGCACTGGGCTATTTCAATCGCTGAGTGTTTTGCATTTGATCGGGCTTTGTAACCGCTACGTCATTGGCCCATGACCTCTGAAATGAGACACTTATTCCAGACATGACCTGATACGGCTCCATTATCCGAGTAAAGCCAATATATCATGCAAAAACAGGCATCTCTTTTTTTTTTTTTTTTTTTTGCTTCGTACTTATTACTACTTGTAGGCAATACCTGATACCTTAGTACTTTGGCATCCAAAGTAAGCCATTACCTGAGGTAGACTATACATAGTAAAGGGTACTCCATACAATGCTCGTACTAACCCAGCAAGTGCCTCGTAACCTAAACGACCTCGAAATCTCCTCAACCCCGTATTATCCAGAATCATTTACAGGCTTCTCCTCGTATTTCTAAACGGAGCAGCTTCCCCCATGATCCAACCCTGCCTATTCAGCTGCCTCAGCACACGAGGCATCTCCTCAACGTCTAGACAAACCCACGTCGCCCAGCCAATCTCGTCTTCGCTGGCAACCGGGCCTCGCCGCTGCGGCAGCAACACAATCTTGCCCTCCTCCTTGTCATCCGCGCATGGCAGGAATGCCTCCGCATAGCCTCTCGTGTACGGCGTTCCGATCACCTGGTTCTGGTAGCTAGAGTAGCCGCTCCAGTCCTCGAATACCATGCCGGTCCTGTGGCGGTCGATGCCCCGGTTGTATGCCGCCAAGTCGAGGCTGGGGTGCAGGGTCTTCTTGGCGCCCATGAGACGCCGCACGTAGGTGCCGTCCACCTTGTTGATTGCATAGTGAATTGCTTTAGCCGCATCAGCGAGCCCTCTGACGGTGTATTTAGGCTCGATCTCGCCCTGGAAACCATGGGATCCGTCGTCGCTGGCGAAGTAGAGTAGACGAGGAACGCTGAGCTGGGCCACAGTGGGCACCGTCGAGTTGCCAAAGTAATTCCAGTCATACGCCTCCCCTCGTGTTGCGTTCGGCTGTCCAGGAAGTAGGATGTTGAGCCTTGCAGTGTCCCAAGCCCCGATCCTGTCTTTCAAAATCCGCGCATGTACAATTGTAACCCACAGCATGGCAACAACGGAGTATTCGTCCTTGCATCCAGGAGCGGAGTTACCTACCTCCTGTCGAATACGTCCAATCAGATCCGTCACGAAGGCCTTTTTGAATTCAATAAGCCGACAAACCAGTCTGTCCTTTGGCGTGATCAGAGGCAGTGGCTCTAAGCGCCAGTTGTAAAAACAAAACATATTTCGGTCGATATCGGCCGATGGAACAAACGTCGTCCGGTCCCAAATATGGCCGTTGTTGTCACCGCGATGCCACGTAAAGTCAATCAGCCGGGAAAAGAACCGACCAATAAACTCTCCGTCAAAGACGGCTTCGTAGAAAGAAAATCCCACCACAAGGCAGCGGCTCAGAAGAGAAAGCTTGATCATCACTGTTGGCATCCCTGTGGTGAGACTCAATCCCGCTTCCGAGCGAAAGAAATCAGCGCCCAAGGAATTTGAATCCAGCTGTGAACGCATCTCTTCGAATCTAGGGTCGATTCTGGTACGACCATGGGCATCAAGCAGCTCAGATTGCGCATCCTTAATAATCATGGCTGGCGTGCCCAGCAGTGTCAACTTCCCATCTTTATCCGCTCCAACACTGCAGCAAAGGAATGGCCACGCCTCTGTGGCTTCCCTGAAGGCCTCTAGAATCTCCCACTGAACCGTCTGAGTCTCCCTATCATAGTCATGTTCCGTTAGAAGTAGACGAAGAATAATGGCGATACGTTTGTACTGTCTCATGCCGTTTTGTTCGATCGGCGTCAGCTCATAGCCGGAAGCGTACTTCGACATGGCAATAATATTATGATGAATAGATGAATTAAGCAAGAATCCTGTTTCTTTCTGGTTTCGAACACTACTATAATATCTCTTAGAGCTAGGGCAAGAGCGACCGTTTTATATCTATATCGTGCTCGTCAAAGGCAAGAACGGGTCAGTGAACGAGTGAGCATTGAACAATAAGCCAGTAGTACCAAATGTTCAACCAATACACGTATATGTCCGTTCTGAGAAAGTTGCTGCTTCGAGTTGCTCTTTACTCCCAATATGTGAATGCCTGCCTGTTTGCGAAACCATATATCCAATTCTATCGAATGTAGTAGTTGTTGAATGAATCCTGGTTCCATAGTATCACAGCTGGCAAGCGCCAAAGAGCCCAAAGAGCCCAAAGAGCTATCTACTAGCGCTTGGCAAGCATATTCTTATTTTCCGTCAAATGTGGCAGCCTGTCACGCTCATCGCCTAGAGAGAGTTTCGTGGAGTGTGTGCTGTCTCATGAGCGATACGCAGATGAGAGCACCAATGGCCAAGGTGAGCATTGTTAACCAGACGCCCCTAAACGCCTCCATAAACGACTTCAACACCCCATCATGCCATCCTAATGGCAGGTGTTTCAAGAAGTTCAGGTCATCACGGATCTTTTGAATGATCTCGGCAGCATGCGGCTCATCACCGAATCGCTGCCACAAGCGAGCGTTGAGCACGTTCTGATAGACAGCTGAGCTGGCTGTGATGCCAATCGTACCACCCAGACTTCGGGCAAGATCTATACCAGTTAGCATTTCATCATTTGATCTATGGGGAGGGACAGAACGCACAGGTCGCTGATGTGATGACAGCCTGTTGTGAGTGATCAACCGCCGCAATGCATGCTAGCAGAGTTGTTGTCAACATGGCACCATAACCTCCGCCCACCAGGAAGAAAGCCACCATCGTCACCCATCCTGGGCTGGTTTCGTTCTGCGACGCGAAGAACAGAATTCCAGCAATGACCATTAGCATGCTGCTAATGCCCAGCCGGATGTACCGACCAGTCTTCTTCATAATGTAACCGGCTCCGACAGAGCAAATGGAGATACCAACAGGCGAAGGCAGCAATTTCAGGCCTGCAACTGTTGGTGAGTCGCCACGAACCTGGAGGTATAGAGGAACATAGAAGATGCCTGACAAGGTAACCATGGTAGCAAGAAAGTTGCACAAGCAGGCAGACAATAAGGTACGGTCGAGGAGGAGCCTAACTGGGATGATGGGCTGCATCGCTCTGCTCTCCCACCAGATGAAGCCAACAAACGCCACAATGGAAAGCGGGATCGTCGTAAGAGGCAGGGGATGGATCCAAGGCACGAGATTTCCGCCAGCATTGACGCCGAGCAGTAGGAGAACCAGGAAGGACACCGTGAAGAAGACGCCGCCAAAGTCGATTCGTGCAAGGTAAGACTTGTTGGACTGCTTTGGTGGCACCCTGACGAGGATAGCCACGGCTATGGCGGAGAGAATCGCGGGAGGGACTTGAATGAGGAAAGCCAGCCTCCAGCCCATTTTGGTGTGGTCGTTCATCAGTCCGCCAAAGATGCCTCCCATCATGGCCCCTGAGCCGTAGGATATGTTTCCAATGCCTTGGACAACACCACGATTGCGCAAGGGAACCAAGTCGGATCCCAGAAAGGTCGAGATGCTCATCAGGCCGCCACCACCGATACCCGCGATGACACGACCGAAAATCATGACACTGGAGTTCTGGGCTAATCCGCAGATGAGATTGCCAGCTGCAAAGAACAAGTTGCTAACGACTAAGCCCGGGCCTCGGCCAAAGATGTCTGTCAGACGACCCGAGATGGGCTGGCACGCCGCATTGGAGATGAGATACGCAGTTGCAAGCCATGAGAGCAGACTGAGGGACTGGAATTCACTCGAGATGGGCGCCGAGAGCGTGGCGATGATGGACGAATCGATTGCCCCGAGGAAGACGCCTAGGTAGGCGGTTCCCATGATGAGGCATAGCTTGGCGAAGGACACTTCCTCGGCCACGGCCGTCGTCTCCTCCTCCTGGCCATTGCCACTGTCGCCATCATCATCGTCGTCGTTGCCGGCCAGCAGCCGCTCATTCTCGCTCTCACTGCGCTGATGCCGTCTCAGAATCGCCGCCGCTGCCGCCGCCGCCCCCGTCAATCCACTGCCGTCTGTGCGTGACTCTGACGCGCCGGATCCCAACAACGGCGTGCGCTCCGAAGCCGATGCAACCGACTCGGCCGGGGCCTGGCGCCCGCTTGGTTCTACAGTCATGGTTCGACTTCTCGAGCTCGTGGGCCAGCAATTGGCACAGCACTCCTGCAGCAGTGGGTTTTAGGGAAGTGGGAATTGTGAGAGTTTAGCCAGCTAATGGATGATGATGATTGGCATTGGCAGAGATCAGGCAGCTGGAGAAAGGCGGTGGACGTTGCCTGGCATTACGCCTTGCCACTTTGGACGCTGGATTTCGATTGAGATGAGCCTGCGACGGAGCACGTAATATTTGGTGCTGACAGATCGGCTACAGTGGGTGATGAACTGTGGCTAGTGGTTCGGCTGGTGTACTCGTATGTGGCTTGCCTATCAGTGCACGGTCAACGTATCTCCAGCCCCTGACCTTCCGCCTTCACGATCCAGGTTCAGGGTTCATGTTCTAGACCTTTTTGTTTCCAGCACAGCTCAGGGATATCTTTCGGCACATTGTTTTGTGGCTTTTGCCCAGGCGCGTACGGAGGTTTTACTCGGCATTTGATTTTGACAGCGCTTAATCGCGATACCACTTCAGGTCAGGAGTATCGGCGCATATCTTGTACCCCAGCCACTACAGCGGTAGTTGCCATAGCCGGACACAGAGAACAGACATGAGTATTTTCGCCATCTGATACCATGTAATTATATGTAGTTATCAACAAGTATTTAGACTATCATACTCTCTAGAACCACAGGTGCTAGTGGCCAATTCGGGTGCTGGTTGCGACGCCGCTCCTTATATCCTATCCCTTGACCCTTAGTGCCAAGATAACAGGGGGTTTGCAACACGGAGCATACGATGGGCAACAATTGATGGGCAAGCGATTGATATTATCTCGCCATGAGCACCCCTTCACGTGTTGATCACTGGCATAAAATATACCAGAATCTATGGCTATACACCGTAATGGCATGGACATAAGGGATAATAGGTAGGCGTAAGCCAACGTTCCAGCGTTGTAGCTGTGTATTCTTCTATCGTATATAGTTTGAAGTATTTGATATAGGAAATAACCATGAAAGTCTCGCAAAGATGATTGCTCATTCTTTGAGACTAGCATCGAATATTAGATACTATTGAGTGATAAAGGAGATGAAAGAGAAGACGAGAAATCCAAAAATTTTCGGCAACACACCACCGGTGGTGCCAGCGCCTCGGCCGTTAGTATAGTAGTAGACAAGAAATTTTAAAGCTTTTTTGGAAAGGGTATCATGGCCGTCCGAAGCAGCCTCGTCGTTGCATCCGGTCATAGTCCATCTAGTTACCCCAACCATCGTTCTTGCTGTCAGAATCGCTGACAGAGCGGCTGTCGTTGGTCACCGTCACACGCGTGGTACGAGTGATGGCAGGGCCATGTGAGCCATGGTGCAGATGCTCTGTCGACTCTGAAAGGTTCTTCATGTTCATTCCCTCCTCCTCCAGCTGATAGTAATCCTTGTTCGCGGATACGGATGTCTTGGTGGTGCCACCGCCGCGAGCATAGCCGCTTGAAACTTGGTTGGATCTGCCGCCAGAGTGTAGCATGCCCGTTCCCTTCTTGATGGCGGGGATAATACCAGCTTCTTGGATGATCTTGGGGATACAAGGCACGCAAAGAATGAAGAAACCGCATGTCATTTCGGCCGAGGCCCAAAACACAATCGGGCCGAGGGTATAGATAGAGTCGGGGGAGTTACCGTGCACCACTGTCACATCGAGTCGGAAAGATGCCGCAACAATAGCACTAGAAAGAACACGAAAGAATGTGAGCTGCTTGATGTCTCAAATGTGAAGAAATCGCATCCACCAAGTGCGATTTCCATCAGGAGATAGGCTCTACTCACAGTACACCCATGCCAAAGATGGCAGCAACACCAAGTCTCTTCTGCCACGTCATCTGCAGGGTCCAGATAGTGTGCTGCGGCAGACAGAACATGGCGACATCAGATCCAAGCTGAATACTTGCAGAAATGACTTGCAGCGTATACAGATTCCAGCACGTACCAGGGACTGTAAAGTCCCAGATGCGCTCGTGCGGAGTACACTGAAGATTAAGAGCAATGATGATGGCGATACCAGCCCCGATCTGGACAATCGAAATCACGACGGCCCCCCAAAAGAAGAAGCTTTTGGTTTTTGAGGTGGGAACAAACAATCGAACCCATTCGACCATGATAGCTACCTTAAGCAGCGGAAGGACGAGAGAGTAAAAGACACCGAAAAGAAACACCCACTGCATGATGTGTGTTGCATGTCAGTTCTCTGGAGTTGCGAGGACGAAATATCAAAAGGCGACTACTTACGTAGGTAGTTGGAATGACATCTTTGAGTCGGACATTCCATGCGTGAACAAGGTAGCCAGGATGCTTGAGCATCTCGAACGTAGGAATCATGGCGCCCCAATAGCAACCCTATCCAATAATCAATCTCAAGGTTAGCCACGACACACTCCTCGTTTTTTGTACAGGTAACATAATGGTTCACGAACATAAGCCGCTATAGCCATAACTATAGTGCAAAGACGTAGTCAGTAAGTGCATACACGGCACGACGGTTGACAATGATGATTGAACTGTCACCATGAATCGGAAATCGAGTAAACTTACTTTCTTCCGCCTGGAACTTCTTCGCCAAAAGGACTCGACCGTAAATTCGAAGGAGAAAGCATAGTGTCGCAACCACGCAAGTGAATACCTGAACGCCCAAAGCAAGTCCATTGTTATTCGGAGGGTTGTCCAGTATCGAGGTCTCGCCAGGAGGCGCCGGAATGGCGGGGCCGTTGAGATCCATGATGAGATGGGGTTCAAGTTTGTCAAGACAGCGTGTTGGGAGAAAAAAGTACAAATGATTTCCGTCAACCAAGGATAAGATGTCTGTTGGGCTTTGGATGGACGACGTCCCAATACAAGACTAGCTACTGCGCGCTGCGCTCTGGTCAGTCTGCAAACACTCTTCGTCTGTTTAACCTCTCCTCGTCAAAAAGGTGGGACTTTGTCCAAGATAAAGTTGTTGGATGAAGATGGCCAGTTGAGCATCAGGAGAAGGAACTTTGCATCTAGCCGAGTCCCTTTCACAAATCAGAAGACGGGAGCTGAGGCTCGTACTATTGCGGCCAATGCGTAATCTGGTATCGTCCCAGGATTCGAAACGAACACGACCAGGTTCACCATGCTGCTTACTGGCACCTGTGTGCACATTTCCAGACGAGAATACTGAGCCGCTACACTTGGTCCAAGTCGCGGTGTTGCCGGTGATCTTACTGAAAACTCTTCATGGACTACTTTACCCATTTGCATTAGCTTCATTTCTGTACCTGATTCCCCTCAGTGATGTGTCAGAAAATATTTCCCAAAAAGAATTGTAGATCATCCTCGTTCGCCGGTCCTCCAATGTCAACTACCATCCCCTGATCATCTTCGGCTGGAGGAAAGCAAAGCAAAGCAGGGCCGGCTTCTGACATGGACCACCCTGGCTCAAATTGTCGCGACTCGGCATCATCCACATTTCAGCCATTCTAGGTTAATGCCGCCCGCTCCGGAAGCGGACCGCGAGGGCTAAGAGGCCAAAACCCTGACTAGAAAGACCGGCATGAAAATCCCATCGCTTCCAATTGACGACGGTGCCGGGATCACCAAAGCTAGCGCACGGGATGAAGTCCCCTAGGCCTTGAGCTTTGTTCTCACATTGCTCTTCCGCGCAGATGATGAACCGTGCTAAATAGTGTGGAGCGTAGATGTCGATAGTGTTGAATCCGTGCGACAGCCGAGTGTGTGTTCCAACACCGCCGAGAACATTGATACTACAGTACCACTCATGTAACCCCCACGTTGGTGGTATAATACACATACTCACGGTGAATCCTAAACGGGCTATATACAAACTTCGTTGTGATTGATAGGTAGTGTACTCCGTATGCACATGTGCGGAGATGCAGGCACACCTGGTAGCAAACAGGTGCGAGTACAAAAGGTGCTACACTCTCACTGTACAGTATGTAGGGCTCGTACGAGCAGCATTTCTTCCCCTGAATTCTCCACTAGAGCTACAATTGCCATCGGGTTTCCCGGTTTTGGCCAGGTCATGAAGTCTACAAGGATCTCGTTGGAGGAATACCGCTTCTTAGTCTCCACGGTAGCATTCAACGGCGTCCTTCAGGTACAATGCAGAGGGGTTTGGGGGGAACGGGGATATCTTGGAATCTATCATTTCCGACTACGTTAGTTTCAAGGCCTGGCTCATATGTCGCATTAACTGACCTGAATGCATGTATCGAATCCAAGTTAGTGTCTTCGCTTGAAATGATAGCGCTGCTCGCGAGGAGGGGGGAGAAAACACGCCGTAAAGATACTCAGTCTTGATGCTACGACTGGCATATTTAAAGACATTTAAGGGGAAGCAATAAAGTTCGAAATGAAAGCAAATTGAGAGCAAGCCAAGAACTCTATACCCAACCAAATAACATTGTTTTCCAACACTGAGCTTCACCCCTTATTCCATAGCTTAGTTTTCTCTTTTCTCACTTCCCTTCACACCATCAGCCGAGATCATGGCACCCAAACAAGAAGTATTCAATATTCGTCCATTCGGATGGGAGAATGGTCCTGAAGAGCAGAGATTCAAAGTTTCTACTCTGGACTACCTCTCAGTCATCTCCTACAACAATTATGCACTATTCTTCAAGATTGACGACGCGGCCAAGCCTCAAGCCGTCGAAATCATGAAAGAAGGCCTTGCGAGGACTCTCGGTCAGGCAAGGCATCTATGTGGCACTATTGAAAAGGATCCCGGTGGTGGCCACTCGTACGTTAGCAAGAAGGATAGCACCACCCGCTTGTTCGTACAGTGGCTGGATGCCCCTGAAGATGCTGACAAGTACCCGTCTATCGATGATATCGAGAAGGCAAACTTCAGCGCGGTGCCTCTTGGTGACCTCAAACTCTGGAGTGTCGATCCAATGACCTATGGCGAGAAGCCCGAGGCTCATCCCGACGCTAGCCCTGTCGTGGCTGCGTTCAAGATGAACTTTGTCAGGGGCGGGTTGGTCTTCAACATGCATCACCATCACTACTCTAACGATGTCATGGGCTGGGCCGGTTATACTCGTCAACTGGCGGAAAACTGTTACGCGGCCTTAAACAAGACGCCGTTCCCTGCTTGGGATCCCAAGAACCAGGATCTCTCGCCCTTTGTCAAGACCGAGCCACCGGAAGATCAGAAGGTCGATGGACCTCCGGCACCTGAACGCCATCCCGGTCACATTCAGGGAGTGTCTCTGCTCTTCCACTTGCCCAAGAGCAAAGCGGCTGAACTGAAGAAGCTGGCCACGCCAACAGAGGGATCATGGATCTCTACCTATGATGCCTTCTCTGCTTTTATATGGCGTACGGTAACTCGCGTCCGTGCCCCTATCTTCAACCCAGATCCGGCGTCAAAACTCTTCTGGGCGGAGGCCATCGACATGCGCAGGCGTTGGCACAGCCCCAAGGTCGCTCCGCGAATTCGGGGCAATGTCATGTTCGCAGCTCTGTCCACGACCGCCCCTGTCGAGCAGCCAACAGTAGCCGAGGTCATTTCAGAGTGGCCGCTGTCCAAGATAGCCCAGTACGTGCGCCAGATGACGGACAGTGTCACTCAGGAGGCCCTTGACAAGACGTTGGACATGGTGGCCACTGTTCGCGACAAGACAAGCCTCAACATTCGCATCGACTCCCTGCCACCCATGTCGATTCTTCAGACCGACCACCGTGATGCTAGCATGGCCTCGACTGACTTTGGCTTCGCAAAGGCCATTACCTATCGCCACCTTACAGATCGTATTACTGAGGGTGTCATCATCGTTTACCCACCCCGCAGCAATGACCCAGAGTCAGATGAGGGCCCAGAAATGTCCTTCTTCTATGAGAAGAGGTTGGCACAGGATCTCATTGAGGACCCTGAATGGAACAAGTTCTTCGAATTCAGAGGTGTTGATGCTGAGGATGCTACTGCTGCAGCGGTTCTCAACTAGTTGGAGCCAACGGCGAGCAAAAGTTCCCAGCTGTTGGTTCCTACTTGTGTTTGTTTGTGTTGTTGTTGTGTGCTTGTGTGTCTACCCCTGGACTTTTATTTTAGGATATACTCGTAAGAGCACCATGGAGGTGGAGTCTGGTGCCAAGAACCACACATATGGATTGAACCGAGCAAAGGTTGACCTACTTACCTTATCTACATGGATGGAATACAAATACATACTGAGTCACTTAGTAATGATCAAGAAGAAGAATAAAGTCACCTAGATACTCCAAGGCGCCAAGTCCTTTTCATCGTCTTCAAAATGTTGATACGAAGTGATTGTTCATAATAATGATACGAAGTGATTGTTAGTGACAAAATGTTGATACGAAGTGATTGTTCATACGTAGTAATACGAGTAGTGTAGCAACTCATGCAAGAGTCGCATGATTTCAGCATCTTGGCCAGTTCTTTGTAACCAACCATATTTTTATCACAAGCTAGTAAAGATTAGGCAAGTGCTGTACGCAGTACATATCCATACAAAGTCCTCTGTAGAGTAGTGATTCTATCATGGATGGTTGACAAAGGCAAGGGTTGCGTGATCCCTGGTCCGAAAATATTACACGTCAATACCTCTAACAACGACGGCTACCTTGGCTCAAATTAAATACTGCCTGTTTTTGCGGGATTGCGGCAGGCTCCAGCAATTGTAACCAGGGGGGCCATGGCCGGCAAAATGCCCGCCTTGGAAATGCTGGGGGAGGGATTATTCCGGCATTGACATCAAATTTCTGTCATTGAATGTAATTAATTCCGATGGGTCGGAATCGGACGACGTTACGGATTATTACCAAGAACCCAATGCTTGGCATGCGCATACATGTTGTTGAAACAGAAGCCTCAACAGTCTCCTGGAGTTTAATCTTTTTGTTTTCAACACATGTATACAGCATTCCTTGCTCATGATATTAAATGGTAATGGCCATTTGTATATGGGTAGTCTTCTATGAGATATTTGATGGACTTTATCCACACTTGCACAACAATGAACAGGGGTTCTCGGGCATACTAGTAGTGAAGATCTGTCCCAGTCGTAGCCCGTCGGAGCGGACTCCGTGTTCTTGTAGCGTAACATTATCAATAACGGGGATAGCACAAGGGTACTGACCGGCTTCTTGTTGTTTTCTTTGCTTCTGCGCATGTTTCACGTCGACGTTCAAAGTTTAGCTCAATGCTACGTGCTTCAACTCTATCGCTAAGCCTCTGTCGATCGCTTTTAGCACCGGCGTCCTGTCTAGGCCCCGTTATGGAGCCGTGAATCCCCACAGGGCGAGAACAAAAGGCCATTTCCTATGGCGGGAATTTGAATCCTCGGTCATGGTACTGTACGTAGGAACCAGGTAACCAAAGAGCCAGGGAGCCAGGAAGCTGCATTTCCAGGATCTCTTGCTCCTTTTATCTGCTCCATCTAGAAATGATCGTCATAGATGCAGGGTACATAGAGGGGCCGATGCAGGGTTACTGTACGATACTTGCATGCAGTGGTTCTGTTTCTACTAGGATCTATCGCCAACAGCTATGACTAACACGACGGCACCAGTAGGAAGTGCTCGGATACGGCTACAAGTGCGTATTACGCAGACCAGCTAGCTACAGGGTCATTTCTTTCCAATAGATCCTCACAAATCTAGTCTTCTGAAGGAACCAATCGCCATCCTTCAGCTTCCACGTCTCGTAATAGTGTCCTCCACCAGTACCATGCACCCCTTTGCTGGCCTCCTTGGTACCGACCAGATAAGTCACGCCGAATATGGCCTTGATCTCGTCTGGAGCCACCAACTCTAGCTCTGGATAGCCAGCAACATGCATCGTTTGGACAGAAGTGAATATTCTGCTGAAATATGCCACCCAGTCTGCCAATGAGGTCCAATGATAGTCGGTATCATTGATGTTGACGATATTATCATCCTCATCGACAGCCGTAAAGGTGAAGTCGGGTAACATGACCTTGTCAGCCAGGGCCCATTCATTGGTGTCGGCGAGACGGCAGTATAGCGCCTTTTTGCGGATAATGATTTCCGCGGCACCGGCCGGAAGAGCGAGAGCCATGGTTTGAAAATGCTGGCTGAATGGATATCCAGAGAGTGTGGAGAACTTGTCTGACGAGGAAGAGACTCTCCGAGGACGCGAGAGCAGCGTATGGAATTACAAGTTGTTCCGTGAAAAGATGAAATGATCTTCACATGCAAACCGTCATCTGCGGGTAATTTGGAATGCTGCCCCTGAGAGAGAATCTGTGTAGAGTTGGAAGAAGCTTCTTTTGGGATACGGATGTACGGATATAGAGCTGGCTATGGTGCTGCCGTTATATGTTTGTATTCATGCTAATGAAGAACCTTGGCAAATGCAGCACACGACTAACAACTTCATTTAGTAACTAAACCCACACGCGTACGCATGAATTACGAGGCAATAGTTGTATGCAATACTCGTATGTTTTCATCCTCCAGCAAAACTCGCTCCTCTATTGACCCCGGTCCTCACAGAGGCAGGGCACAGAAGTAAACGCTTTAGCTGAATTGGTAGGACCAACTCGGCGTCTGGATCCTCGTTGTCGTTCAATAAGCGGGACCTCATATATGAGAGCCAGCACGGCCCATGTTCAAACTGGAGACCGTATGCGGAGCATCTTGCGAAGAGAAATCCAGGGGGTTATATTGTTGACTTGAAGGCTCCAGGAGAAGGTCGCAGAAAAAGACCGACAGCCGAGACGACTCGTCAAACGCGCTAACAGTGTAACACACTCTCAAAACACAGCGCGGCAATATGATAGCTTACAGTAGCCATGCTAAGACGACCGAATGTCGTACAAGCCAATGGAGGTGTAACTTTCTGCGCTTGGGATTTAATACCTGCATGTAACGACAAAAATTAGGCATTCAGCAATTCAACACCATGCGATTTCTTTGTCTCCACGGGCGTGGAACCTCCAGCCAGGTATGTTGGTCGAATCTTCGCCTCTAAACAGACATGGTGCTTTGCTGGCTGCTGACGTATTTTGGCTAGATTTTCGAGCTGCAGACTGGTGAGGCTATTCTTAGGTCAAAGATGCTGATATACGCGTGTTAACGGATAATTGTGAACTGGCAGCGAGGCTCCGAGAAGAACTCAGCAGCCATGAATTTGTCTTTATAGATGGTGTTGTGTCAACAGAGCCGAGCGAAGGTGAGGCCATCTACAACTCTCTACCCTGGATACCAAAAAAAACTCGGCATAAGCACACACACAAGTCCATCTTATCAATCTCCCCGGCGTCTCTCCCCCTTATTCTGCATTTCTAGTGCAAGAGCTAAAGACTAACTACGTGTCTGCGCCTCAGGGGCTGAAGCTGTTGCTGATGAATTCTTTGGTTGGTTCGACAAACCCATTAGCCAGGCCCAATCGCAAGAACTCCTTCTCGGTCTGGTGGATTTCATCGCCAACAACGGGCCTTTCCAGGGGGTCATGGGCTTCTCAGAAGGCGGTATCGTCGCGGCAATGCTCCTCGCGGAAGACGCTAGACAGGGCTTCGCAGGCTTCCAATGCGGTATCCTTTTAAGCGCCGCGCCGCCATTGGATCCCGCCGGCATTTCTCAAGAGCCGGCGTCGCTCAGATGCCTCAACCCTGCTGTGGACGGGTCCGTGATCTGCGTCCCCACTGCCCATATCATTGGTTCCAACGAGCCGTTTGCCCGCTTAGTAGCGTTGTCGCCCCTGTCTGGCCTCTGGATCAGCAGCGGCATGGGGGATCCGGAGAAGCTGCACCAGTCGCTGTTTCAACTGTGCCATGACGAGCGGGAGCTGGTTTTCCATCAGCTGGGGCATGAGGTGCCCGGAGCGAAGTCGGCTGAGGGACTATCAGGGGCTCTTCGGGCCATTGAGCGTACGATCGAGCGAGCACAGTTGGGATGAGGACACGTTGACGCTCAGGGAGAATTACTTGAAAGCGACGGAGCATATGTGATGATGTCCTTTTCCGCACACCGCGTGATGGTATCAGCATGCAGGACTTGGAGGACGAGTAATTGTCAGCACGGCACTTCATGTGCGTATTAAGAAGAGAATACGCCGGAAAGGACATTATATTCGCACTTTGCTAGGCAGACAAATAATTAACAATTTCTTACATCTTTTATTTTGCTTTGTATGTCAAAGAAGAGTCTATCCGTGCCCAAGTGTGCACTTTCTCCATTGAGTACTCCGTATTTCCCCGAGGCCCTCCATGAACTCGGCAGACAAGTGCCGCTCCAAGCTTTGATCACCGAGAGAACAGCAGCTTGAGAATTTGGACCTAATCCTGATTCCCGTGTCGACGGGTCGGTGCTACCGGTGGAGAAATCCTGAGCTAAACGTCTAAACGTCCCGGGGTAACCTTGCAAGCCGGCCCTACAGTCTTCCACACCGATGTTGCCAGACTTGCTCAACCGCGGACCGAATCGCTCGCGGTCCGCTCAGTACGGAGCAATTGCAAACGTACCAAGTCACTTCCTTGAATTGGAATGATGTTGATGGGATCTTCACTCCTGCTTGCCTTAGTCCCGGGCAATCTTCACAATTGTCAGACTAACAGTTTGACGCTAGACACTTGCAGATGCAAATCTAGAGTACGAGTATGGAAGGGAGGCGGTAGACTGCCAGGGCCGAAATATGGAGCGCCGATGTTACATATCACTCTGGCGGGATTCCGTGAAATTGGTTCGGTATTTGAATTCCGTATATCAGGGACGCGCGGTTGCTCAATCAGGAGACTGGAAAAGAATTCAAGGGTTAGCAAAAATCGAGCTAGTCAGGGACGACCAAACGTTGGTAGTAATTCAAACCGACTTGGTATGATTCCAAAGGGAACTTTGGGTAGGCGTATGAACCAACAGGTGACAAGCGTACTGATCGTTTGTATGAGCAGCGTACTGATCGTTTGTATGAGCATATGGGCCCACGTCTCTCTAGATGACTGGCCATACCTACGATCGCCAAAGCAGTCCTTATTTTCGGATCAGATCAGCCAATGCGGCATATTTACTTGTAGTGGAATAGTGGTAGTGTTTCGACTACACTCACATTCGGCGATCTGGGAAGGATATTCGGTCTGTACTCCTCAATCCGCGTATTGATTCGTTACCAACTCATTGACACAGTCTCACATTCTATCGCCGGTCATTGCCCCCGTCAGGTCCATATCATCCTTTTTGTGGGACGTTCGGTCTAGTTTTGCCAGCCACCCAAGAGGTTGACCCCTAATACTGGGACGGTACGATATGATCGAGACTGTCCGGTTTGCTGGGCCATTTTTGTCATCTTTATCTGCATGAATGTGATGACAGCTGATCTAAACAGCAGTCTGTGCGTCCTAAAATTATAGACTTTGCATGAAGTTCCAAGAGAACCAATATTTGGACACTACTGCAAGTCAACGGCCAACATCTTCTCACAGAACCTTAAACCAACACCAACAATATATAACAACAACAATTTACATGAACTAGTGAGAGTAAACGAGCCCCAGTGAACGAACGAGAGATAGACTGACTGATCTGTTTTACATACTAGTAACAGACTACTCCGAACTCCCTGGTTGTAACCGAGAGACCCATCCGGCCCTCGTCTTCCATCTTCCCCGAAAACAGCAAGTACCTCTCTGCCAAGGAGAACTTTTTCAAGCTTGTCAGCGTCGTTCGGGAGTTACTTTGCGCCGGCTGGGTCCAATAGGGGCTATTTCAGGTTATCGCTTGATCCCATACTAGCAAATCTTGCGATATCTCGGTGGGATAGGAGGGCCCTGAGAATCGCTTCGTGTACTTAGCCTCCTGGGGATGTTTTACAAAAATGGGACGCTCTCTTGAAGACGGACTCGCAAAGTAGAAATAGGGCATCCAGTCCTGCCTTGAGTTCTCCAAAGCAAGCATTCCATACTGCTGCAGGCACTTATCCTCCTTTACTCCCACAAGACTAAACAGCGTTGCTCAACATATTGTTCTTTGTCATTGCCACTTGGTATAAAGCAATCCCATCATCTATTATTACTATCACTACTACATACCTACATCAACATCTTTACTACAATGGCACAAACCACATCCCAAATTCCTGACCAAGGACACGGCGACATCGCCGTCGTCGGATACTCCTTTAGACTCCCACAAGATGTAAACGATGACTTGAGCTTCTGGGATGTCTTGGAGAATCGACGAAATTTGATGACCAGCTGGCCTGAGTCTCGCATGAATGCACAGTCATTCTTGGACACAAAACCAGACAAGGTAAGAAGCTGGTGTATATACTCCCGGGGCTCTCAGGCCTCACGCTGATATCTCGCTGACTTGGCTTGGCAATTGTACAGCCCTTCCCCAAGGGAGCACACTTCATCACAGAGGACATTGCTGGCTTTGACGCACCTTTCTTTTCGGTAACAGCGAAGGAAGCTGCGGCAATGGATCCAATGCAACGATTGACTCTGGAAGCTTCATATCGGGCTTTTGAGAAAGGTAAGAGACACAGATCCAAAAATCTTCGAGAGTGACTCCCGTAGTAGGCAACTGTGATGTTCTCCTGCCTTTGTACTTTCTTATTACAATCGTTTTATTGCCTTTGCCATATCATGTTCGTGACTACATGTTATACTAACGATGACTCTCACAGCCGGATTCCCTACCGAAAGCCTAAAGGGATCACAGACTGCCGTCTTCCATGCCTCCATGTTAGAAGACTATGCGAGACTGACAGCAATGGATCCGGATAACGCAGAGCGAACAGCCATTACTGGTGGTACAGTCTCCTGCGTGATCCCCAACCGTGTCAGTTGGTATTTCGATCTGCGTGGACCGAGCGTTCACGTCAACACGGCATGTTCCAGTAGTTTGGTAGCAGTGGATATGGCGTGTAAGACATTGCGTAGCGGCGATGCATCATGTGTGAGTCAATCAATCAAATCCAACCTCCGATCCCTGTTCATGCCCGCCCCCCTGCAATGGAATGTTCTGAAGAAGCTTCCACGAAGGAATTTCTTGAAAAAGGCAAAACGGCTAAGTCGTATTTTCCTGCATTAATAGGCCCTTGTTACCGGAGCCAACCTGCTGCTGGACCCTGCCATTTTCCATCTGCTGTCGAGCCAGAATTTCCTGTCGCCGGACAGTCGCTGCTACAGCTTTGACCACCGCGCGAGTGGATATGCCAGGGGTGAAGGCATCATTGCCGTCGTTCTTAAGCCAATCGCTGCAGCCGTCCGAGATGGTGACATGATCAGGGCCGTTATCCGCGCTACGGGCTCAAATCAGGATGGATACACTCCGATCTTGACGCAGCCGAGTCAGAACGCGCAACAACAGCTTATTGAGCATGTATACAAGCAAGCCAATCTTCCGCTCACCGAAACGCGATACGTTGAGGCACATGGTAAGCTGGACCTTGAAACGAAGACAAACAAAATAGAGATCGCTGCTTACGCTTAATACAGGAACGGGAACTCCGGTAGGAGATCCGATTGAAGCAAGGGCTATAGGGAGGGTATTCCGAAAATACCGGTCTCAGGAAGAGCCGCTGTACATGTAAGTCATTCATCTTTCCCCCTTTCAGTTTGTGACATTTGTTAGCTGCTTGAATTTCAAGGATGCTGTTTTGCTAACACGGCTCACCGGCAGTGGCTCCGTCAAATCAAACATTGGCCATCTTGAAGGTGCCAGTGGCTTAGCTGGTTTACTGAAAGTCGTTTGTGAGTCGTCATTTGTTTCATGCAAGATATTTTGTCTACTTGATAGCTGACATTTGCTCTCTAGTGAGTTTGGAGAGGGGCGTAATCCCCCCTAATGCACTCTTTGAGAAGATCAACCCTGCTATAGACGCAGACTTCTGGCACATCTCGGTATGTTCTGACTCTTAGTAATAGTCATAAGCAGTGAAGAATTCTAATTCGGCATGTGTTTCAGATCCCAACTGCAAGCGTCTTCTGGCCCAGCCAAGGCCTGCGCAGAGCCTCCGTCAACTCTTTCGGTTTTGGTGGCTCCAACACTCACGTCGTAATCGATGATGCGCTACATTACTTGCGCGAGAGAGATTTACCTGGCAATCACTGCACAGTTACAATTCATAAGAATGTAGCTGGTAGATTGGTATCGCCGCAATCGCCGATTATCGATGGCCCTCTGGAAGACTTTTCCGATTCTGAGCTCTCAGTTGACTCCGAGAAGACCGCAAATACCAAAGCATCTTCACAGTCTTCTACCACAGAACGTCTTCCAAAGCTGCTTGTGTGGTCTGCTGCAGACGAACAGGCAACCAAACGCTCTATACATGACTACGAGCTCTTCTACAATGAGAAAATCGTAGGCGATCGTATCAAGCTCGATCGCCTGGCTTACACGTTGGCCGCTCGCCGGACACATATGCTCTGGAGAAGTTTCTCCATTATTGGAAACGACCAAGATGGCAAAGCGAGCCTTGATACCGCGAAGCCTATGAGAAGCTCAGCAGATGCAACACTGGCGTTTGTGTTTACTGGACAGGGAGCCCAATACACAGGCATGGGATGGGACCTCGTGAAATATCCCGTTTTTGCAGATACCCTCCAGAGGATTGATAAAGTCTACGAGAGCCTTGGATGCACATGGTCTATCTTCGGTAAGAGAACTATTGCTCGGTTTATTGAGACCTACGGTGGAATATGGCTAACAAACTTCTTCGCATTATAGATGAATTGCGTTCCAGTAAGAACATCGACCTGCCACAGTACAGCCAGCCCTTGTCCACAGCAGTTCAAATTGCCCTGTTGGAATTGCTGGCTAGTTTTGGTATTGCTCCCAAGGCTGTAGTCGGCCACTCTTCAGGAGAGATTGCCGCTGCGTACGCCATTGGTGCATTGTCGTTGGAATCTGCCTGCAAAGTCTCCTATTTCAGGGGTCAACTTGCAGGAAAGCTCAGGGCCAACAATGCTTCATCTCCTGGCGCAATGATGTCAATCAATTTGGCCGAGGCGAATGTCCCAGGATATCTCGCTGCAATTGGTGACGAATTTTGCTCTGTTTGTGTAGCTTGCATCAACAGTCCTCTCAACTGCACATTGTCAGGTCCTGAAACGGCCATTGACGCCATCAAGGCACAGGCTGATAAGGATGGAATCTTTGCTCAAAAGCTCAAAACTGGAGTCGCCTACCACTCACCAGCAATGGAAGCCATTGCCGAAGAGTACATTACTAGGATGGGATCACTGGAGGGTGCTTCTCGCCAGGACCTCAAAGTTGCCAGCGCTATTCCCATGGTTTCATCGGTTTCGGGCAAAATTGTCCGCCCGGCTGCTCTGAAGACTGGTCAATATTGGGTCAACAACATGGTCTCCCCAGTTCGTTTCGCAGATGCCGTGCAACTACTCACCCAAGAGCCTTCAAAGGTCAAGATTGGGCTGAGCAACGTCACTGATCTGATTGAGATTGGATCCCATCCGGCGTTGCGACGTGTGGCCCAAGATACTATCCGCCAAACTGGAAACAAGAAGCAGCAAATCCGCTACCATGCTGCTCTACAGCGATCACATCCTCCTATCCAGACGACTCTGGAGCTTGTGGGACAGCTGTTCTGCTTAGGACATAGTGTTTCCATCTCTGCCGTCAATCAGGAGTCGGGTGTCGACTCCAAGGAACAGGCAAGGAAGCCTGCTTTCCTAGTTGATACTCCCGACTACCCGTTCGACAGATCCCAAAAGTACTGGGCCGAGTCTCGCATCAGTCGGGACTACAGGCTTCGAGGCAAGGTAAACGGCGATTTTCTCGGAGCCCGTGCATCTGACTGGAACCCTCTTGCTCCTCGCTGGAGGAATTTCCTGAGTGTCGAGTCCGTTCCGTGGGCTGGTCACCACAAGATCAGTGACACAGCGCTCTATCCCGCAGCTGGTATGCTTGTCATGGCTATTGAGGCTGTCCAACAGATGGTCCCCAGTGATGGTCAAGTTTCAGGCTTCCTGGTCAAACAAGCCGATTTCATTAGCCCTATACTTGTGCAGGAGACGTGGGAGGATAGAACTGAAACCCAAGTTCACCTCCGCTCAGTAGATTTGCAAAAGAACCACAACAAGGATAACTCTCTTGGATTCGAGGTTGATATCTTTTCATATACTCGTGAGAGTTGGGTCAAATGTTTCAGCGCCAGCATTCAGGTTGATTATAATGAATCAACAAGTGCCAGCGAGCGCAGGCAGCTGAGAGATAGCAAGATTCAAAAGCAGTTTAGTCAAGCTGAAGAATCATGCGTCTGGCCAGTTGATCCCGCTGTCTTGTACCGCGATGCCGCAGATGTTGGTTTGCAATACGGCGACTGGTTCCAACTCGTCCAAGATGCACGATGGGATGCAAAGGCCACTGCTGTAGCCTCAGTCGACGTATCCAAGGATAGATATAAAACGAACAGTCTGGTGCACCCTGCTGTGCTTGATCAGGCTTTCCATGTATTGCGTGTCAGCTCTGGTCAGCAGTTTGCTGCCAACGTTCCAATTCGCCTACTGGATGCCTGGTTTGCATCTTCTCCGAAATGGCAGACTCCAGATACCGGCTCTATCCGATGGATCTCGACATCTACTTCGGCTGTAGCTTTTGAAGATGCTCAGGGGCATGGCGAACGCGGAACTCTTGCTGCTCTCGCTGACGATGGCACAGTTCTCTGCACGATTGAGCAGGCCATCACAGCAGCTGTCTCAAACGAGACTGCGTCGAAAGACAAGAAGTTACTGTACAGCACTGAGTGGAAACCTCAAATTAGTCTGCTTGAACCCCAGCAGCTGTCTCTTGTATGCAAAGCAGATCCATCTGAGAGAGACGAGACAACCGTGGTTAGAAATCACGCCAAAATTTGCTCAGCTTTGGATCTCGTCTCCGTTCGCGTACTTCAGAGATTGGATCGTGCTAAGATTCCCGACGCCCTGGCTCGTCACGTTGAGTGGATGGAGCATCATGTCAGCAATATGACTCCCGAAGATAGACTTCTTGGGGAAAATATCAGCGACGAAGACCTTGAAGCTCGGCTTATTGAAGTCGAAGAGGTGTTACCAGCTTGGAAGCTGTACACAACTTGTGCGCGGAAGCTCCCCCAGATTCTCACCGGAGAGATCGACCCGCTTCAAGTCGTCTTTGAATCAGATCAAGCAGAGATCTTTTATGCCGACCTCTTCCAGAAGCTGTGCCAGGACGGCCGTCTGGGTACAATCTTAGATCTAGTCTCCCACGAGACTCCGACACAGCGTATTCTGGAAGTGGGTGCCGGTACTGGTGGTATGACTGGCCACGTTCTGTCTCTTCTGCAGCAGCGTGAGGAGCGAACTGGTGGTTCCAGTTTCGCTGAATACACTTACACTGACATATCTCCGATGTTCTTTGAGAGAGCAGGCGATAGATGGCCCCATCTCAAGGCCCAGGGTCGTTTGACGTTTAAGACCTTTAATCTGGACAAGCCTATTGAGGACCAAGGCTTCCAGACTGGATCCTACGATATCGTTGTTGCCGCCAGTGTGCTCCACGCAACTCCTTATCTGGAGGCAACGGTTCGCAACGTCCGTAGGGCTTTGAAGCCTGGAGGCCGCCTCATCCTTCTCGAGGTCATCAACCCTGATGACATCGCCACGAACTTCATGGCTGGTCTGGTACCTGGCTGGTGGGTAGCTCGAGAGGAATGGAGACCTCATTCTGCAGCAGTCCCTGAGCATCTGTGGGATAAGTGCCTGCGAGATAATGGCTTTTCAGGCAATGATGTGATTCTTCGGGATTTCAAGAGCGATTCGTGCCATATTATGAGCATCCTCATCTCAACTGCGGTCGAAGAGCCCGAGTTGGCCCCTGAGATCAATTCCGGAAAGCTCATCATTGTTGTGGATGAGCAAAAGTCTTACCGACAAACTCGGCTTGCTGAGCTTGTGCAGAAGGAGTTGGATCCCGAAGGCACCAAGGCTTTGAGCATTTGTGCTTTCTCTCTCGATGAGCTTTCCAAGTCTCTTAGCGACTTAACTCCAGACGACGTCGTTGTCTGTATTGCTGAAGTTCATAATCAACCACTGCTCTCTAAGCTCAGCGAAGAAAGCTTCAAGTGTCTCCAGTATCTTGTGGGCAACACTACTAAGCTTCTCTGGGCAACAGCTAGTAGTACTGATAGCGAGGATTATGCCAGCTACGGTATAATGCAAGGCTTCTTCCGCGCTATTCGAGCCGAGCAGGCCGATAGCCATATCATTTCGCTTTCCATCGAAGGCAAGGTGGACTCTCTCAAGACGGCACAGTTCATTGCAAAAACGTTCCGCGCTAGCTTTGAATCCCCGTCGTCTAAGGAGCTCGAATACCTTGTGAGAGACGGACTTTTGATGACTGGCAGAGCAATTGAGGATGTGTCTGGAAACGACAAACTTGCTTCTTTGACATCTCGCCAGCTGCAACATAAAGCGTGGTACGACGGACCTGCTCTACAGCTCTCTATTGGAACCCATGGTGTTCTGGATACACTACGATTTGTACGTGATACAAAGTATGATACTGACTTGGGCCCGAATGAGGTGGAGGTTGACGCCAAAGCCTGGGGTCTCAGCCAAAAGGATCTCCAAAGCGTCATGGACCGTCAGGATTTCCACCATGGCCTTCAACTGGGAGCCGAATGTGCTGGTGTTGTTACTCGTGTTGGACGTGATTGTGATGCCTCTATCAAAATCGGCGATCGTGTCTGTATGGTGGCACCCGGGTGCATGCGACAGTATCCCCGAGGAAACGAAAAGGCCGTCTACAAGATTCCAGAAGCGATGTCGTTTGAGGTAGCAACATCCATGCTCGTCCCATCCATGACGGCTTATCACGCCTTGATCAACGTTGGTCGTTTAGAGAGAGAGGAGAAGGTTATCATTCACAAAGCTGCCAGTACTGTGGGCCAGGCTGCTGTGCGTATTGCCCAGATGCAAGGTGCCGAAATCATTGCTACCTTCTCAACCCCCTTGGAGCGAGACACTCTCACTAAGACCATGGGTCTATCCGAGGACCATATTTTGGACAGTGCCGACATTGATTTCACTCAAGCTGTGATGCAGTTGACTGGCGAGTACGGTGTGGACGTTGTTTTCAACCAGCTTGCCGGCGAGGACGTAGTCCGGGCCTCTTACGAGTGCCTGGCCGCTGGAGGACGATTCCTCGATATCAGTCGCCATACTCGTGATGCCAATAGCGCTCTTTCTATTAGCACCTTTGACAGAAACACCAGCTTCTCCGTCATTGATGTATTTGATTTGAACCCGAGAACGATTGGTACGCTCATGAAGAAATCGATAGAGCTCATGGAGCAAGGGCACATTCAGGCCACGCAGCTTCAATGTTTCAATGCATCAGAAGTTGAAGGAGCTTTCCAAGAACTTCAGAAGAGTGAAATCTCTGGCTGTATCATCATCAAGCCCCAAGCTGAGGATGTAGTTCCGGTAAGTAGATGCCCATTTACAAATGGATAAATGATATCATACTAACAATGGTCAAATAGAAATTCATCCAAGAGCAGCAGTCGTGGAAGTTTGACGCAAACGCGTCCTACATGATTGCTGGAGGATCCGGAGGCCTCGGTCGAGCCATCGCAAAGTGGATGGTTGACAATGGTGCAAAGAATCTCATTATCCCATCTCGATCAGGAGCTGCATCCAAGGCTGCCCAAGAAGTGGTAGAAGAACTGACAGCTCGGGGTGTCAAGATCGTGACGCCTAAATGCGACGTGGCGTCGGAAGCAGATCTTTCAGATGCGCTGGATGAGTGTTGCCGTACCATGCCACCCATCAAGGGCTGTATCAACGCGGCCATGGTTCTTCAAGATGCCGTCTTCCAAAGCAGCATGACTTTTGAGCAGTGGAACTTGACCATGCGCTCTAAGGCTCAAACTTCCTGGAACTTGCACCGCTTCTTGCCCAAGGATCTGGATTTCTTCATCATGCTCTCTTCCATTGCCGGTGTCATTGGCCAGATGGCCAGTGCCAACTACTCTGGAGGGTGCACATACCAAGATGCTCTCGTGAGATATCGTCTCGCACACGGCCAGACTGCGCTTTCTCTTGATATCGGTTGGATGCGTAATGTTGGTATCGTTGCCGAGAACAGCGCGTATCAACGACAGCGTCAATCCCTCGAGGATATGAAGCAGATCGAAGACACCGAGTTGCTCGCCGCCTTGACCATGTACTGCGATCCAGACTCTCCGCTCTCCCAGACAGTGGCTCAGGCCAAGGGCCAAGTCCTCCTGGGACTAAATACTCCCGCTGATCTCCTCGTGAAAGGCCGCAGCCCTCCACAGCTCCTGGACCGGCCGCTGTTTGCCCCCTTCTCCTTCATCGCCGACTCTGGCGCTGCAGCTGCTAACGGCGCAAACAGCAACGGGGAAGCGGCAGCCGGGATTCGTTTCAAACAGACTTCAGACTCAGGAGAGCGCAGCGACATTGTGCTTCGCGCCCTGGCTGCCAGACTGGCGCGTGCCATGTCCATCTCGTCTGATGATGTCGAGTCTAACAAGACGCTGTCGCACTATGGCGTTGATTCTCTCATGTCTGTTGATTTGAGGAACTGGCTTGGACGGGAATTTGGTGCTACGCTTTCTGTTTTTGAAATCATGGGCGGCTCTTCTATTGCGAAGATTGTGGATTTGGTGGTTGAGCGAAGCGTGACTGGTGAAAAATAAAAGTTGGATGACGTGCGTATAAACGCCAGCAATTCTTATCTTATAGATCTTGATAGAATACAAAATACACTTGACACCGAGTTATATCAAAATTATCTTTTTTCTTCTTCGATTACATACCTATATATACATATGCCAATCTCTACAGAGACTTCTCAACCTCCATCGCTTCCTTGATGCCCTCCTCAATGGCCGTCACGCGAGCCTGCTCCAAACGCTTAAGCGGCCGACGGGGGTATCCTCCATATCCATAGAAGCTCTGAATCGCCTGCTTCGTGCCGGCAATGGCCGCCTTTGTCAAAGGCCAGTCGCCACGGCTGAGAATCTTTTGCAGCCTCTCGGCCTCCTCCTTGTTGCCCTCGGCGTACGAGTTCCAGACCTTGACGCACAGCTTGGGCATGACGTTGGCACCGCCGGCGATGATGCCGCTACCGCCGCTGACCAGCGTTTGCAGAGTAAAGTCACACATGCCGCCAAAGGCCATGTATCCTGAGCCCTCCTGGAAGGGAGTCTTGGCGTTGGTGCCGAGAGCAACACGTGTGAGCTTTCCGGTGTTACCACAGGTGAACTTGGTGCCGACAATGTTCTTGTGCTGGGCCAGCTTGATGAGCAGGTCGCTGTCCATGTCGATTCCGGACACGGCACCGGGGTAGTTGTACAGGATGATGGGGATGGGGCTTTCGTCGGCAACGGCAATGAAGTAGTTGTAGATGGACTCTTCGTCGGTCTGGGCGCGGTAGTATGACGGAGGCAGGATCAGAGCAGCCTCAGCTCCGGCTCCGGCTGCGAGCTTGCACAGCTCAATGGTGCCTCTGACGCTGCCCTCGGTGGCTCCAAACAGGACAGGTGTGGACTGGAAGCCGGCGGCATCGAGAGCTTCTCTTGAGGCCTTGACGACGGCAATCTTCTCTTCTCTTGTGCAGTGGACAGCTTCACCGTTGGAACCCATGATGACGAGACCAGCGAGGCCGGCCTTGGCGAGTCGCTCGGCGTGCTTCTTGATGGTGGGGATGTCGAGATCTTCGGTGACGGGGTCAAAGAAGGTCATGGTAGGGGCGTAGATGCCGCATGGCAGCGATTTAGCAGGAGCCCCCATTGTAAGGTTTGGATGTGTAGAGTGAGGCTTTTGGCGAGGGTATCAAAGGAGGAACGCAGACGGAATGGAGAGGAGGATGAACAACACGGAGAGGGGAAAGGATGGAGAAGCACGTTTATGGAGGAGACAAGGAGACAAGAAGGAGATTATTGGATTTGTATTCCTAAAAGGATGGATCCAATCTTTATAAACCAATACAAGCACGAGTTGCGTGTTCGGGCACAAATTATAGCCGTCTATAGCCACAGACATGACACTCTCCTACTCATGGGCACATGTTTCGGAGGGGCAGCCACCGAAGGGCTCCGATATCCATGCTGTAGCTCGGCCGACCGACCCCGACTCCAAGAGCTGCTATCCGAAGACGGCGATGGAATGGGTGAGACTTAGTGAGCTGGAGCCGTGGCGAGCGGCAGCATTGGATCAATATTGCAACGGCTCTTGGTAGTGGATATATAAGGCAACTTGTTCCGGTCGAGTCGATGGAGATGCTGGGGAAGAGGATTCATGTACAATGGAGATGGCGGCATGGGCGTGAATGCTTCATCTGATTGGTGGATATTTCAATTTTGAGCATTTCCCACCATTCAGGAATAGATGTGAGAAGCCAAACCCGCTCCGCCGTACCTGTACTTGGTTAGTTTGATCCATCCGTCGGTAGTACGGCTATATAATTTTTTGTTGTTTTTGGAGATGTCGAAACATGTCCGTCGGGTTTATTCAGGCCGATTTTAGGAGCACGGACAGCTGGCTGACAGGAAAATGATGGAGGAGAAGTAGTTCAGGCAGTGGGATACTATAAGGGATACCCTTGACTACTTGTCTGGGCATTGGGTGCTGACTTGAACTCAATGCAATGCTCTGTATCCTGGACTTTTTCTCCAAGACTGCGGGGTCGTTGATGCAGCGCGGGGTAGTGAATCCCGAGACTTAGTACATGGAGATGCTTCAATTGTATAAGTCAAGCGTGGATCATCATGCTTCAAGCAAGCACAAACCCCTGACAACAATAAGCTATTTCGCTTTGCATCATGTATCTGCATCCATCAAGGTAACACAATGTAGGCAATTAAATGGCACATTTTGAACTAAAGCAAATCCCACGAAAATGAGGGTCCAAAAGAGCAACTGAATGCTGCTCCACGGCCTTTATTTATCCCTCCAATTGCTGCCCCGCCAATGCCCCTCAATTCCTCCGTCAGCATGTCACCAACTCGGAAGCTGGCATGAGAAACGCGACTCGGCAAGGCTGTAGATGATCTTTTTCTTTTCGAGTCTTTAAAATCTCGATGCTGTAATATTCTTCTTCTCTTCTCACTTCGTCTTCATAACCCTTCTCGTCATTGCAGCGTGTCTCTGTTCTCTCCATCTCACAAAGATACCCCACCTCCTTCACGAATATCGAGACATTTTGAAGACACTCTACTCACAATGGCGACCCCTCTCAATGTGTTGATGGTGAGTCCCGGCTGGAAACTTGTTACAAAACATGTCTCTGTACTGAGTGACCGACTGTAAAATCTAGATCGGTACCGGCGAGTATACCACCGGCTTCGTTGGCGGTGGCGCCTCCGGATCCGACAAGAAGGTGGGCGTTGTCGGCCTCACCCTCTTCGACCTGCGACGACGAGGCAAAGTCGGCCAGCTGGGCATGGTCGGCGTCAATGGCACCAAGTTTCCCGCAATCCGTACGTACAAGCTCATTGAAGATGCTCCCGGGCCAAAGTTGAGACTGACTGTGAACTCGCCGCATTGTAGGAGAGCACCTCAACAAGAACATCACCCAAGTCTACAACAACCTGGACACCTCGTTCGACTCATTCCCAGCCAACGACAAGGTCGATGCCGACGCCTACAAGGCCGCCATTGACCAGCTCAAGCCCGGCGATGCCATCACCATCTTCACCCCCGATCCTACCCACTTCCCCATTGCGCTGTACGCCATCGAGCGCGGCATCCACGTCCTCATCACTAAGCCCGCCGTGAAGCTGCTGGAGCACCACCTGGAGCTGGCCCAAAAGGCCGCCGAAAAGGGCGTCTACGTCTTCATCGAGCACCACAAGCGCTTCGACCCCGCCTACTCAGACGCCCGCTTCAAGGCGCAGACCCTGGGCGACTGGAACTACTTTTACTCATACATGTCGCAACCCAAGTCGCAGCTTGAGACGTTCAAGTCCTGGGCCGGCAAGGAGTCCGACATCTCCTACTACCTCAACAGCCACCACGTCGACATCTGCGACTCCATGGTCCAGCAGCGCGGCTACCTGCCCACCAAGGTCTCGGCCACCTCCTCCAAGGGTGTCGCCACCAGCCTGGGCTGCGTCGACGAGACCGAGGACACAATCTCCCTGCTGGTCACCTGGGAGCGCAAGGACGAGCCCAACAAGCGCGCCATTGCCGTCTACACCTCCTCGTGGACAGCGCCTCAGCGAGCCGGCATTCACACCAACCAGTACTTCCACTACCTGGCCAAGGAGGGCGAGATCCGCGTCGACCAGGCCCACCGAGGCTACGACGTCGCCGACGACCGCGCAGGCCAGCTGCAGTGGTTCAACCCGTTCTACATGCGCTACGCCCCTGACGAGGACGGCAACTTCAACGGCCAGACGGGCTACGGCTACATTTCTATTGAGAAGTTTGTTGATGGCTGCCGCGCGGTCAACGAGGGGAGGGCCACACCAGCTGACCTGGACGCCAAGGGTCTGCCTACTCTGAACAACACGATTGCGACGACAGCCATTCTGGAGGCTGGACGACGGAGTATCGACGAGGGCCGTGAGATTAAGATTGTGGTTGAGAATGGCCAGTGGAAGCTGGTGTAGAGACATGAGTTGTATGCCAACCAAAATAATGAATAGATGAAATGAAAGTTATAAAAAAAGTAAAATAAATATTTAAAATGATATAAAAACAATTTTCTTCACTGTATCTGAATGCTGTTGTGCTTTTTCGCTGCCAATTACATGATTCATAGCGCAAGGTGGGTACTTGTACACATGTGAAGATGCTAAGAAAAAATCATGAGCCCACCACTAGCAGCAAATTGTGTATACCAAAACTCAATATCAAACTCACAATACTTTTTCTCTTTCACTCTTCCTTCTCCCTACTATCCCAACCTCTTTAAATAATAAACGAATAACCAAAAAATGTCTTCAGAAGACATCTTCTCCAACCAGCCCTCCATCTCCAGCCTCCTCACCCAACTCCGCCGCAGCACCCTCACGCCTCACAACCGCCTCAAGTCCATCCACGCCGACGCCGCATTCGTCGCCCAGGTAGCCTCTTCATTCCCAGCCTATTTTTCTCATTCAGAGTCCGATTCAGCTTCCGGTTTAGAGAAGCGCAAGAGAAAAAAGAGGCCGCTGGTGGCGAATGAGCGATGTGGCAGCTGGTATATCCCGCCGGACAGGAAAGACGGCAGCGCATACTTTAAGAGCACGGATGGACATGAGCGGGCGTGGAAGTTTAGCACTAGGAGGCTGAATCTGCATCTTATTGACATGATTGAGAAGAATGATGGGTGTGTTTCTTTCTTCTTTCCAACTCTCAAATGGCTATGATTTACGTCTCATGCTAACATCAATGTCAAAAGAATCATCATTGTAGACTCTACTCGCCGCGGCAAACGCAAGTTCTCCTATCCCCCTTGAGAAATCTCCTATCTCATTCATTATCAAACTCATACATCATACTAACCCTTCAAATCCAGGCATGCCCGATGCCCTCTCAACCACCATCCCCATCTGGTGCACCGTTCTCAACATTGCCCTCCTCCCAGACAACCCCCTTTCTTCCAACCTCTTCCTCCCCCCTTACCTCCCCGCATCCACACACTCCCAAATCACCGCTCTCATACCCACGTTCCTATCTTCTCTCAAAGAACTCAACCTCACCTTCCCGACATCTCTCACAAAACCTCTTCGTCCCCTCTGGATCACACAGGATTCCTCTCTCCCTCCTCCGCCAGACTCAGATGACGACGATGAAGACCAAGACCAAGACCAAGGGGTCATATTCCAGGAATACCGACCCGTCATCTGCTGTACAGCCAGTAGAAGAGTCGTCGGTAGCGAAGTCGATGAAGGAGGCTACATCCAAGGCGCAGGAGACGACACCGAGAACTGGGCCCTAGGCCTCACCCCAGACGTCTTCTGGGCCAACATCACAACTTTTCTCTCCGCCGCAGAAGCCGACGTCCCAGACCTCATCATCAAACTAGTAGAAGAAGCCAAAGCACAACGCCAGTCTGCCCCTTCCGGCGACGCAAACCCAGCTACCCTCCCCCGAAAGCAACTTACACCACATCTCTCCGTCCGCGCCATATCACCACTCGATCTCTCATCGCCAACGCCCCCTCCATCACAACAGCAACAGCCAAACGAATGCCTCATCCTTCTCACCGAAACACCCACCCCGAAAGAAACATGGCTCCTCTCCCCAACGCTCCTCCGCGTCGGCCTTGGCAAACATAAAACCGCCAGCCGCAACCTCCGCCTGGCTCTCACCGAAATATGCTGCTCCTTCGCAACCCGTTTCCTCCAGAACCACCAGCAAACCAACGCAGCAGATGCAGCAAGTACCGTTCAGCCGCCTCAAATCATCGTAGCTTGCGACTCGGGCAGGGACCTCTCCGTAGGCGTTGCCCTGGCGCTATCATGCTATCTCTTTGACGACGAGGGCCGCTTCCGCGTGCCTGACGACAAGGTGGCGTTTACCAAGACGTTGGTCAAGATGAGGCTCGGAACTATCATGACGGTGTATCCGGAGGCGAATCCGAGCAGAAGCACACTACAGAGCGTGAACAGCTTTCTGATGGACTGGAGGAATTAGCAAGGGGGTGGATTTGTAGCGAACATTCGTATAATTGGAATACATGACATGACATAAACCAAACAAGTATCCATGTGCTTTTGAATCGCTTTATATTTTCAGAAAGCGTCAATTCGTTCCGTCATATCTAATCATATCTAGCCTGCCACGTTGGTGTCTCTGTCTTAGTCTCCTGTATGAACCAAGCCAACAAGCAAAAGAACCCAAATTCCACGCCTTCTCAAAAAGGCAAAACCCCATAATGCAAGAATAAACAAAAAGAAAAGAACAAAGCCAGTTTCAAACCTCGCCCTTCTCAATCTTGGCCAAAGCAGCCGGGAACTCGCTCCAATCGCGCATAATCACCACGGCGCCCGCATTTCGCAACACGCCCTCCATCTCCTCCTTCTTGTCATCGGCATACGGGCCAACATACCCAATAGTCCTGATGCCCGCTCTCGTAGCACTCAGGGTACCACTCTTGCTGTCCTCCACCGCAACGCTCTCAACAGCAGCCTTGCCCAACACCTTGAGCGCATGCAAGTAAACAGCAGGATCAGGCTTGCTCGTCGGCTTCTCCAACGACGTCGCCGCCGAAAACACCACGTCCCCAGGAAAGTACTTGTCCTGCCCAACCTTTTCAATGCTCGCGCGCACCCTCCTGAGCGCCGACGACGACACCACGGCCAGCTGGTACTTGCCGCTCTGCTCCAGCGTCTCGAGCTGCTCGTCGACGCCGACGCAGGGCCTCAGCGCCGCCTTGAGCTTGGCGATGACGGCGTCCTCCTCGGCCAGCACGTACTTTTCGAGGTCGTCGGGCGCGATGTCGATGCCGTGCGTCTTCTGCAGCGTCGTGAGCATGCCGCGGAAGTTTTGGCCGACGAATTCCTGGATGAGGGTCTCGCCGGTGAATTTCACGTGGACGTTGCGCTCGGCGCAGATTTGGTTGATGAGGTCTGCGCAGGCTTCGAAGGCGAGCTCCTCGGAGAGGACGAGGGTGTTGTCGCAGTCGAAGAGGATGGCTTTGATCTAGAGAGACAGGAGATTAGCTGCTGCAGAAGCGAGGGATTAGTAGAATCTGGAGGAGAGTTGGCTTACTTCAGGCATCTTGATCAAATGGTCTGGGTATTATATCCAAGAGAGGAGAAGAGAGAAGCAGAAGAAAAAGGAAGAAGAGAAATAGAGTACAATGAAGCGTTTACTAGGCAAATGTATAATGTATAAAGAAGAAGAAAAGGAGGAAGGAAACAATGAGAGAATTCGGGAACGGCTTCAAGTATATAAGGCACGAAAGATCACCCAAGTCAGAGTAAGCCAGGCCAATTAAGCTCTCCACATGGCAGGCCGCTTAAAAACAGGCACAGGTACGCATGAAAGGCTGTTACAATTACCTCATGTGAAACCCCGAGTCAAAAAGGGCATCCAGACGTGTCAAAACACATTGCAGCAAGTGGATATCCCTCTGCTAAATCTTGTTTCTTGGCGCGATGCCGATATGGATTTCAGCAGTCAGCCCCGTCTCACCAGAAAGTGCCAGACGCACAATTGAATCATCATTACTTGGTTTCCTTCACATGCCAAAACGAGTAACTCAGCCCATTTACAGTAACACGTCCTTAGTATTCTCCCCTACTGTCAATATTCCTCCTAATAACTCTCTTTCCTCCCCCATTCCAACATTGATCCAAAACAATCAAAATCCCCCCCTTGTCTAGCCCTCTCCTCTCCCCAATCACCACTCCCCAATTATTCCCATCAAATCCCAGCCTTGCTTCGTCTCGTTCCCTTTTCCCGTTTTTTTACCCCTCCCCCTCCACGGGTCATCAGTGTCGTCATCGCCCCTCCTTGAACCAATGTTAGCAGCCCCCCAATTCCCCCATGCTAAAATGATTCGTCGCTCCGTACGGATAAAACAAACCGCCAGGCTCACATTGTCACTTTATTGCCGATATTAAACGCGCATCATGTTATATCCTTTGTCCCCGATATCATAAACGCGCATCATGTTAATATCGATGTCAGCAACGGCCCCGGTCGAAGCCAATGAATAAAAATTATTTAGTCAATTCGCTTCGCTGGAATTCTCGTCATGCTTTTTGGCTGCTCGTGACCACGTCTTGGAACGCGACCTGGAGACGGCGCCTCGGGTGGCTGAGACCGAGACACAGCATGTTAATTACTTCTGAACAGCTCAACGCCCAAATCATCAAGGCAGTCTTGAACGAAGTTATGCACTCACAAGTGTTAATTAATCTACGAGGGCTACATCGTCAAAAAAGGCGCTGGATTTTCAACAGCTACCTATTAGTAACTATAGAATAATACATGTATACAGAAACTACCTTTAGGTAAGACGCAATTATTGGTGCCAAAAGCAATGCAATTCTTTTCAACCGCTATCAATCAAGTGTTGTGTCGCTACATCGACCAACTTAAACATAATGTATAAATCTCCCGCAATTCCTCAATCACAAAGGCCTGGATGCTATCGTCTTACTCGTGCCAACAAAAAAATCCTCCGCGTGCTTAAACTCTGCCAGAAATTCATCCCTAAAACGCCTCTACTCCTTGTCAATTCCTCTTGACATTACAAAGGTGGCCAAAGAAAAAACATAAAGAGAAGAAGAAAAAAACACGCCAGCTCCTCATTGTCGTCGTCCGCGGCATGTATGCTTGACAGACGGGACTGTGCCTGACTGCGCGGACATTCATTCCCAGCCTTCTCAAAAGGATCATGCGACTTGGTTTCTCTGAGGTCCTGTTCATGTCCCGCATACCAAGCCCTCTGTCGTTATGTGTGGTAATTTCTTTTTCCCTTTTTTTCTTTTTTTAATTGTTTCAAGCCTTGCTGGAAGGAAGCGCCTGTAGATTGTCTAATTCCAATCTTACAAAATTTCCTTTAGCTGCGTCTTTTGCTCTGGCGTCAAGGTTGACGGAAAGTTGACCCTGTAGCGGACAATGAAATCGCCTCGTTGCCCGGGCTTCTTTGTCATGGGCATGCCCAATCCAGGGTACCGATCCTCGCTTCCGGGTTGCGTTGGGCCGCCCTTGTCTATGCTGATCTGCTTGCCGTCGATTGTAGCAACTACCCGCTTCCATCCAGTCAAAGCCTCCTTGAGGTCCAAGGTGACGGTGTGCACAATGTCGTTATCCTCTCGCTTGAATAAGGGATGCTCTTTCTGCAAAGCTGGTTAGCATTCATATTCAGAAAGCGGTCAAATAGTTGAGAGGGGGTTGTGTAAGTGAATTGCTTAGCTTACCTCTTCGACAATAAAGTGCAAATCTTGTCTACCGCCCTCCACCTGGTCGCCAACTCCATTAAACTTGATTTTGGAACCCTTCTTGAGCCCTGGCTTGATGGGTACCTCCAAGATCTGATCCGTTTGCACGCGCTTGCCTGATTTATCAAATGTCTTGCGCTTAATCTTCATCTTCTTCGTCGTTCCATTGTACAGCTCCTCGAGAGTGAGAGCTAATGGCCGCTCAACGGTGGTAATCTCGGGCGTCGGCTCGCGATTCCTCTGTGGTGGCTCAGCGAAGCCGGATCTTGTCCTTGTCCGACCTGATCGCGGACCGCCAGCACCGCCAAAGGAAGAAAAGAAGTTAAAGTCATCATCGTCGTGGCCGCCGCCACCGCCGTGCATTCCTCCGCTGCGCTGAAACTCTGCAAACAGATCCTCAGGGTTCATGAAGTTGTACCCCTTGGTGCCGCCTGTGCTGAAGTGGAAAGTTCTAGCACCGCCTCCTCCCGGCATGCCTCCGAAATCGAAGCCGCTGAAGCCTCCAGGCATGCCGCCTGCTCCCGCGTATGGATTGGCCCCTGGACCGCCTTCGGGTGGAGGGGCACCACCCCGCAGCAGGAACTCGAGGCCATACTGGTCGTAGATCTTGCGCTTCTCCGGGTCGGACAGGATTTCGTAGGCTTGCGAACACTCTTTGAACTTTTCCGAGGCGTTGGGGTTGTCCTTGTTCTTGTCAGGGTGCCACTTCAAAGCAGCTTTTCTGTTGTACGCATTGTGGTTAGCTTCTCTTCTTTTCACTTTTTTGCATGGGTTTCGAATTGGCTGGTTGGGCGGCAAAGCTGTGTGGGGAGTAGCATGCGAATGGTCGTCGGCGGCCAATTGCCACCCGCCAGCCTAGCTTTACCCAAGTATGACGACAAAGGATGGGAGTAAAAAGCCGGGCGCGAGAGAAAGGAAATCAATGAGCGAAATAGATGGTTACATACCTGTATCCTTTTTTAATCTCGTCTTGCGATGCCTCGGGCTTGATACCCAAGGTATCGTAGAGCTTGGTCTCTTTGACCATGATGACGAACTGGTCGGGCGTGCGTGCTCTCTAGCAGTGGTGGGGGCCAGCGGCAGCTGCTGCCACGGCAGATTCACAGTATTTGATGCGACGAATCGACTGTAAGACGAGAGCCTCACGAGACGTAACGCTGGTGCTGAGAATCGTAAATTGGATAAAGAGGCGAAGCAGACAACAAATGATGCTATCGCAGTCGGGGGGTCGAATTGTAAAGGTAGGGAGAGAAATGGGTAAAGGTATGGAAGATGAAAAGAAGAAGAAAGATCGGTCAAGGAATTCTGGTATGGAGGGGAAACTGGGAGAGAAGTGAGCGTGAGCGTGAGAGCAAGCCTCGCTGCTACTAATATTCAGGCCTGGTCAGGTTACCACAGCACAAAGGTGAGCCGGTTGTGGGGCTGGCCTTTTTTGCTGGGACCTTGTAGAAGCTTCCCTTCCCGCTACCGGCTATGACGCACGAGAGCTGGGGGGAGATCAAGTACATACAAGTATCAGACGGCAGCGGTTGAATTTGATCGACACAGCCAGGGCGGACAAAGGCCTGAATGCTGGTTTGATCTGATGCTAGGCTGCCAATGGACAACGGTCGGCGAGGTGAAGAATAGGTAGCCGTGGTGATAGTTGAGATTAAGAGGTAGAAGTGAGTAGACCAGCTGCACGAGGGGTCTGTCTGGTGCTATATAAGCCGTGCTGGTACGATAACGTCTGCAGCAGACAACCTCTAGCAGTCGATATGGATGTCTTAGTGCCTGCACACGTCTGAATTGTAAAGCCGTCGAGCCAATAAACGTATTAAAGCAAGTAAAAAGAGGGGGGTTTGTCATGTAAGATGAATGTGATGTGATGCGGAAACGCTGCAGCTGCAGATGCATCAACCTACGGCAGGCCAACGCACACAACAGGTGCTAATGCCAGATACTGGAGCCAAACAGGGAGAAGAAGAAGAAAGGGTCCAAGAGGGAAGAAGAAAGAGAGAGACAGAGGCAGAGATGGCATATATCGATCTCCTTTTTGTCTCTGGGCCTGGTACATGAAGCAGAGCGGAATCTATTGGCAGCAGGTGACTTGCTCAGGTCGCCTCTTGCAAGCGGTCCGGGGTTGGGCAGGTGATGCTCTCTTTTTGTGTCATGCCATGAGATGATGGGTTAGAACAAGCTCCCGAGCTTCTTTTTCTTTTCCCTTTTCTATTCGTATTTTTGCCTCAGGTACCATTCCTTTGTTTCATCCCCTCGTATATCATCTTGTCTCTCACCAGGTACACGCTGCATCCATTAATCCATCCATCCTTCCACATCAACACCTTCATCCTCCCTCTCCGCCAAAAAAACGTCAACCTGGAACCTAAATCAACCTTGAGCACCACCCGCTTCGCCCCACGCTGCAGGGATCAATCACGCCCACTAAACATGGGCCCTAAACAGCTCGCTGGCAGCACTAAGCTCCAGTTGGCAATGACCCGTCAACCTCCATCAAACCCAACTCCCTGATGCGCTGGTCTATCAAATCCAATGAGGCCTCAATCCCAGCCACGCCCAGCCATCCCACATCAAAGGGAATGAATTGTATGGATTCCATCTTCTTTTCTGCCCCTGCATCCTCCATTCGTCTGCTACAGTACATGAAATCCCTGGGTGCATGGGCCTTTCATGATCCCTGCGTGTAGCTACTAGTATACAGGACGTTACGTCAGGCCCAAATATGTAGATACATGCTGCAGCACTTGATGCCCTACTGTACTCGGTAACAACCTGAGAAACTCGGAACAGCAAAAAGAGAAACAACAAACATTGCACTAAAGCAGCTAACCGAAACACCAAGGCAAGCAATATCTGTACAGTAGAGCTACAGCTTTGAATCATTCCATGTGCAAGCTTGTGGCCGGCCAAAAATGTCCGTCTCGTGGAAGCTTCTAGAAGCTTCCACGTCTAAACTGGCTATGCCCAACTTGCGAATGCTCGCGAGATCAAGCATTGCAACACCAAGCTCTTAGAATTGGACAACCCCACGATTAATATTCTCGGGGATAGCATCAGAATGAAAATTAAGATAGAGGTTAATCGTAAAATAACAAGACTGGCTACTAATAGTTATCTTTCACTTCGCCGCTGTAACCGAGTTCTGAGTCTAAATCTCACTTAAAAGTGAGAATCTCAGCGCCAAAAGTCCAACAATGCCATTCAAAAATCTTGCGCTATCGTGCCCACTGAAAGTGGTGCATTGCAGTCCGCGATTAGCTCCCTATACAAACGACCTCGCCACCAGTCCGTGACCTCTTCCCATCGTTGATTCTTCCCCGAAAGCCTTTAAGACAAACTTGTCCTCCTTGCCTCTCTTCCGTCTTCTTCTTCTTCTTCTTCATTTGGCAGGCAAATCATGACGTGCCCATGTAATTATGCCTTCTAAGTCCCCTTTTCTAGACATCTATTCCTGGATATCGGATATCTCCATGTCCATACTTAGATCTCTCCCAGTGTCGTTCCCCAAAGGTGGTCGTATCAGTGACGGCGGCCGAACTCGCTCTTGCATTTCCGGGCTCTTAGCCACCTGAGCCTCAGCCATCTTGTTCACTACGTCGTCTGTCTGGCTGTCTTCAGAAGGAGTTGGCCTATGTGCTTCACCCTTGTTTGCCGCTAGCGTATCTGGCGTAAGAGTTGCAGATTCAATCGTAATCTGAGCTGGATCACGATTAAGTGTGGTCGGTGGGATTTCGAGAGGCCCGAATTTATCCTCAGCGTCAGAGCCCCTGACATACTCCGACTTGCCCCCCGACATGTCCGCCATCTCCATTTCTGCCTGTTCTACCTGCTCGTCAAATGCATTTTCAAACGGACTTCTATCTTCGCTGCCGATAGACGCTCGGTTGGTGTCCATAGAGTCCATGCTATCTCGATGCTTTCGCTTGGAAGGTGAGATTGGGTCGACAGAAGTATGCCTCCTTTCCTCAACGCTGTCAGCCACAGGCCGCTTCAGCTCTTGCCGGAACGCCTTATTATCCGATCTAACAAACATATTCAGGGCATCTGACAATGGGGCCCTGGGCGTGGAGATTGCTTCTTCAGTCGCATATACGAGCAGTGGCGTCTTTGTCTCGAGCCATACGTCTCTAAAGATTCGCTCAACTTCTACCTTCTATCAAAAGGGAACAGGCGTTAGCGTTGCTTTTGGTTAAAGGGGAAAAAAAGAAGCGTAGCATGTTACTGTACCTCGGATCTAACCAGTTGGTCTTCGTTGGGAGAGTACTCTAGCCGCCACCACTGATCGACCGGTGATTTCGGGTCTTCTGATTCCACAGATTCCGGATAGAGGCGCTGGCAGACGTAAACAATGTCTCTATCAGTAGCCACGCCCCGGAGAAGATACTTCTTGCACGTCATTGGCTTTGGCCGGCCTGGCTTGTCTGGAACAGTCAAGAGTTTGCCGAGGAAGCGTTGTTTGGCTTGAATCTGTTCTAGCTGAACGCGGAGGTCTAAGATGGCTCATTAGCACGGCTTGTTCACTCCTTATCCTTGGTTATGATTTGACAAATCTTCTCACCTTCGGTCTTTGCTTCCATATCATGCAGTATCCGTTCGGTCAAAAGAAGTACTTCGTCCACCTGTTCAGAGTGTTTGGCCTGCACTTCGGTCATTTGACATGGGGCGTCCCGGTAATTGGGGTACTTGTTCGTGTCGAACCCCGAAGCCTCCATCGCCTGAAACCGACCAGCGCTCTCAAGATAATCTGAAAACGCCTTCCACTGCTCCGTAGCATTGCGGATCATGTCCGTCTTGTTAAACGTCAGCTGGTTCCAGTCATCTTGCCATTCTTGTAGACGTCGCTCTTCAGTTGTTACGCTATCGAGTGCATTCTTGGTTTCCAGTAAAGCAGATGCTATCCGTCTGGCCTCCTTCTTACGGCTTTCCAGATATCGTTCAGGATATAGCACTTCCGGAATTTCAAAAGAGTCAAGTGGCCCATCGTTTCCGACTTTGATGGTTAGAACTTCGCCCATCTTCTTAAACATGGCGATTCTAGACCTGTCGTCGGCATCATGCCACGATAATAGGTCTCCCCACATCAAATAATCGAGGGCTTCGTAGAGAGTTTTGATGTGTGCATACTCAAGCCCTGAGTGGTCGAATTCAAGCAATCCAAATCTCGCATGTTGGATCTCGCTGTCCTCGTTAGTGCCAACGCTTGCCAGTATCGCTTCTTGATGCAAGGGCTCCAGCAACTCCCCATCATTGGTGTCGCCGAGTTGGGCATAGAATTGCTTCTCTATATCACTTGTTGTATCTTGCATCAAATTCGTAAGCGTATTGACTGTTCCATAACTCCTCTCTGTCGAATCGAGAAACGCCATGAGCCGATGGATTTCCTCTTCAAAGTTTGGCCTCGCAGCATTGTCGTAGCCCCACCCCGATTCTTCTGGCTGCATTTGACGTAAAGCCTCTGGGGGTAGGATTTCTTGTCCATTCCACCATTCGTTATTAAAGCCGTAGGATGCCGCAGGAGAGCCGCACCGTAAGAGAACATTCCTCGCTAAGGGAATTTGACTGAAAATCGTGAGCAAACCACCCAAGGTGTGGTGTCTCGCTGAGCCGGATCCTTGGATCAAGAATGCTGGAGTTTCGGGAGATCGCTTTCTCTGGGCTGGCGATGGGGCGTTATCCAGCCTTGTCTTGAGCGGCCCAACAGGAACCATGGCCCAGTTGTCCTGGTCGTATTCGGTACGGTTCGCCGGGCCAAAGTACGGCGTTGAAGTCGACTGGCTTATGACGCCTGACTCTTGTGGAGGGATCGATAGCCCCGCTTCTTGTGCTGATTCGCGCAGCGCCCTTTGCATATCCTCGTCCTCTTGGGATTGCATGGTATTTCCTCCTATCAGCCGTGTTAGAATAGTTTATTCCATAGGTACGGGGGAGTGCAGAGCACTACCAGCTGTGTCCCCCGAGGCCCAGTCGACCATCCTACCTAGTGGGGACCTGACGTTGGACCGCGAAGGAGGCCTTGATGGAGCTCCGTAGCCAGGCGGAGGAGGCGTCACCCCTTGTATGATATCGTTGCCGTTTAATGATTCGATGTGAAATGCTGCTCAGAATGTCAGCTACCAGATGGTACTCTCCCCATTGGTGTGGATAGCTCCCCCTTCATACATCTGACACCATCGGTACCGGCTGCACCGTCTCTATCGGCTGAAAACATGGACTCGTTCCATAGCGAAGTATATTTTTGTCGGAACTACAGCCACACAGATCAGTATATTGCTACTCGGTCATAGAATCCTAAGCGACTTGGGGTATAGGAGTCGTGCGTACACTCTCAGCGTTGTCAAAGTATTGCATAACGACCGTTTCGACATTTCGATTATTATTCTGTGTCGTATTAGCTGCCACAGTAACCTGGCGCTCCAGTGTAATGCAAACGAACTCTGAGGGCGTTTATGACCAAGTTACGGTCATCGACTGGGTTGAGGCCCGCAAAGTCAATGACCTGCGAGATGTCATCTTCGGACGGCTCCATCGAGGCCATGGCGAATGGCGGCCACTAGTAGCTCTATTCGGAACAATGGCGAGATTGTTGTAGCTGTAACAGTAAGAATACCGAGATTAAAATACAGTTTGCGTTTCCGGGACACCAGCCAGGGCCTGGTTCACGCCCTGTCTCTCCCTCTTTCTCGCCTCGTTTGACAGGCACAGGAAGGACAGGACAGGACAGGACAAGACAGGACAGGTGACCCTAGCTCCAGAAACGGAACAAAGCTATCGAAGATGCAAACCAGGGCGTGGCGTCTGCGGGCATAAAGAAGCAAAAATGAGCGAGAGGCCAATTTAAGCAATGAAAGAGGCGGAAGAGCGTCGCCAGCAAGCGACGCAAGCTGTTCGTTGTTGGTGCGAGCCCTGGCCGTTTGATGGGATGAGCACCTTGGGAGGTGAAAGGCGGTTGCGGGCAAAACGTCAGTGAAGGAGGGACCTGAGTTCATGCCGATAAGATAAGCTGCGGCTATGCGGCCAGCATGTTAGCCTGAGTTAGCTGAGTTAGGTACCTGGACAGAGCACTGAGGGAGGGGCTGCTGGAAGTAATCTGGCAAGCAGATGACAGAAAAACCAAGGCCGACAAGAATTCGAACACCCACGAGTTAAATCATACGCCTACAAGGGGAGTAGCTGCTATATCTACATTTCCCTAATAACTGCTACTATATTTATACTTCTCTAATAACTACCTATTACTATATGTATATTTCTCCAGTAACTGCTGCTCTATTTATATAATAAAATATATATGCTGGCTAAATACTAGTAGGCGTTCTTCTGCTATATAAAAGTACTACCTACTTAATCAGTTGATGAGGTGCTTAAATTGCTAAATGTATGTACTTATTTACTTTGCGGTCTCGCTTTTTCTGACCTCCGCTTGCCTGGCAAGCCTGGAACCGCTGCAAAGCATAACCGCTGCAGGGCCACGTACGAATTACGCAGCTCTTCTGGTCAAATGATGGATCATATGTACTAGATACGTACGTATGCATACCTATGGCAGCCCAAATACATTTCCTACTAAGCTAGGCCTATAAATTGCCACTTAATATTTACTAGATATGTGTGCTCAGTTTAGTATTAAGATCCTTGGTGATCAACCATTTCGTCTCCAGGGTTAGATAGATGTCATCGGCTTCAACTGATGAGATGGACTTTCTAGCCTTTTTCAACCCAAACAGCTTATTCAGTCACTTTCTCATGCCAAAGGAACACACTGTAGCCTTTTCTTCTTCTTAAATAAAAGTGTATGTATATGTGCTTGGTGTATCAACGCGTCTATGCGCTTCTGCCTTCTATGTAACTTGGCTGCCCTCAGACTCGAGCTACAAAAACGATAAAACCCCGCTAATATGAGAAATGCATGTAATGACCCAAACCGGCAAACGCAAAGCAAAAGCAGTAGTGTAAAACAAGAAAACCGCAAAAAAAAAAAAAAAAAAAAAAAAAAAAAAAAAAAAAAAAAAAAAAAAAAAAAAAAAAATCAAATGTAATCCTTCCGTGGTCCAAGAGTAGAGATGCCACGCCATGACACCGGACCCTCTCCCAGTCCGTTCCATGCAAACGTAGGTAAGAAGCCGCCAAACGCCATCAAAACGGATCCGCTAGTTGAGTAGGTGAAGTAAGCCGTCGATTTTGGCGTGCCGGGACAAGCCAGCCAACCGGCCATTTGCTCTTTCGCGGGGGAAACAGCGCATTTTCCAAAGGTCATGTTGCGTTCAGATGGGATGCTCATTTGTCATCCTCATCCTCTTCCTCCTCTTCGTCATCGAAGTCGTCCATATCTTCTTCGCTATCGCTTCCTCCAAAGTCTTCCTCCTCATCTGACATATTCCAGAAGTCTGCGTCGTCATCGACCGGCTTGACCGGTACTGGAGTCAATTCCTCCATGCTGGGCATCTTCATACCCTCCGGGATGTTTTTCTTGGTCGCGGCTACCGTAGCCTTGGCCAAAGTATTATACTCGGGACGGTTATCTCGGTAGAGAACGCTGGCATCGACGTTGGCTGCTGAATTAATCTCGGGGTCGTCCATGAGAAGAAGAACGGATCTGAGAACAGATTCAACTCCGTGTAGAACATTCCATCGCTCGCTCGCCAGTTCGCCGGACTGCTCGTCCTCGCCAGGCTTGTGGAGAATGGAAATGCAGAGGTTTCCGTCGGAATACACGTTGGGGTGGATGATGTTGGGGGTGAGGAACTTGAAGGCCGGTGGCTGATAGGGATAGTCGGATGGAAATCTCATCTCGGCCTAAAGCACCTTGTCAGTTTCTCATCGGTTCTAGCCAAGGCAAAGTGACTGTGAGAGAGAGCATAGTAGGCGGGCTTGGCTTACCTTGAGGAACGCTCCATGCCAAACGCTATCAGGATTGACAACCCAGAGGCCAATCCTCCACTTAAGAAGATTGGTCTCGTCCGTCTATATATGGTGAGCAAGAGACTCGTTGCTGAGTCTAGTCGATTCGGGTGAACTTACTGTAATCTCTACCCACTTCTCCTTCTGGAGAGACCGCAGCTCCTGCATAAGGCGCTTCTGAGCCATGACGCTAGTAGGAGGAGTAGAACTGTTATAGGGGAAAATGAATTAGAAGAGGAGTCCCCGAGTCGTCGTTGTCCTCTTTGCTCTGCGAACTCGACGCACAGAGCAGTGGCTTCTGGCCGAGTGTCGGCAGCAATCGGGAGAGTCTAGGGGGCGGATGGACGGGTAAGGCAGATGGGCACCACCGATGACTCGATGCTATCGTCCGAGGATATTCGCTGGGGCGTGAAAAGAGACGCGTATGAGAACACAGATCAAAAAGAGGGAAGATGCAAGTAAGAGAAAGATCCCCGGGCCGCAAAGGGTTGGCGAAGGTAGAAGCGCTCGTCGAGGAATTTCCGAAACTCAGCCGGGCCGGCTACGGCACCACAGATGTGACGGCATCAGGTGGCTGCGACAGGTGACTGCCGCAAGTCCCGGGCGGTGAAGCCTCCAAGGGCCTCTAAGGGCGCCTGTTAGTCGCAGCTAGACTGCCAAAAAGCGCTGCTGCCCCTCCCCCAGGCGCCCCCGCCTGCAGGGGTCCTCGCTTGGGCTTTAGGGGTGCATTCCGAGTCCGAGGGCTGCTATCATCGGCAGGGACTGCCAAGTATTGCTCCCGTGGCGCTGGTCATCGGCGCTACTTGGGCGGTACGAGCTGGGCAATAGGCGGTACTCGTATTAGCCGCCACGTGAATTGGCTGAGACGAGGGGGGAAAGGAGTTTGACATCTGTCATGAGAGCTGAATATCGAATTGAATTCCCTCAGAAGAGAGACAAGAAGTCAGTTGCCAATAGTAATAAATGGGCATCCAGCTGCACGGTACGACAACATACGATGGAACCCAATTCATGCATTGTTTCAATACCAAGTCATTCCATATTAGAGCCCTGCTGCAGGTCTCAATTTTAGAGAACCACTCTAATGTTCACTAAGATTCGGTACGGAGTACAAGGCAAGACTATGGCCACCCACTACGGAGTAACCCGAGTCCTAACAAGCGTGCTCTAACTGGAATTATCAAGCCATCGATCTAATACCGAGATCTGCGCCGTCATCCTCAAGCCACGCCACCGGAAGAAAAATTCATTTTTGCTAGCATGAAGCTGAACTTTCTATTGTAATGTAGGGGTAAGAAATTAAAACTAGCGGCTTCCATAAGATTCCATTCAGCTCGTTTGAGCGCACCTTATCATTGCTTATTCTCGCTTCATCGGTGGCCAATGGCATCCAGTGAAATGGTTCATTCAGCCGTCTGGATGTTGTGTGGCGCACATGCATTTGGCCCGACGGCTTCCATGTTAGGCACCAAGTGAACCACATCGAGAGACTATAAGTGATTATTATGAGCTATACCCAACTCTTGGATAAAAGTAAAACTGGATAAATAACATCTGTCCATCTACTGCGTATATATCACGGGAATAGTCCAATGCTACCTACAAATCATCGTCAAAATATACATCGCTTTGACTTATATGCACAGATCCCCCCTTGCTCAACTACATCCTTCAACCAGATAAATCGTAGTACATGCATGTCCCTGATCGGAAGTTGTACAAGAACGAATGCTTCGAGCCACCCTTCTTTTCATACTTGTACCTCCAAGTGTCGAGTTGATCATGAATTTCACGGACGTTCTTCTTCTCCGACGTTGCCACGCCATGTTCAGCCCTCCGCCAGCTTTCAGGGTCCGACAAGGTTGTGCTCTGTACAAGCTCCATTAGGTGGTCACTAGTTTCAATGGCCAAAATAGGGCCTTCGAGGAATGAGTTCATCAGCGAGGCTGCGGTGACCTGTGCTTGTTCCACTACTGTACGCCGATTGAACTTTTTGCTCTTGGTTTGGGCAACCAAAATCTTGACTTCCTGCTCGTGATCTTTCTCGCCTTGCGTTGCAGGCTCGGGCGTCCCGCGGAACTTTGCTGCGGCTTTGCTGTCTCGGTCTCGTATCTCAGGTCTTAGCCAAGAAAGGAGCTGTGCCATGGGTATATCCACATCCGGCACATCCTTCTTTCCAACAGTTTTAATTTTCAGCATAGAATCTTGCTTGATGATGATGATCCAACAATAGCTCTCATCCCGGTGTTTTGACATGAGATCTTCTGGAGACCTCGCATCTCTAGCAAGTTCTGCACTGATATCGTGTGACCAGAGTAGCCGCAACACCTCAATACCAGACGATCGAAGGGTTGCTGCGTCAAAGCTTGCCACCAGAATATCGCACTGCAACTTTGGTCTTAGCCGGGCACCTCAGATTGTCGCATCATTGATGGGTACTTACACGTTTACTGCTGAATATGCTGCTCACGTCTTCTTCACTCTTCTTCAAGAACGAATAGCCGCCTGATTTTGGCGTCTTTGCCAACCTTTCCCAAGCCAGACTGAATCCGACAGCATGGCGTTTCTCAAACTGTCCTCCAATCTTGGGGCGTTGCTCGTTGATCAAGTGATCATACCGGCCACCGGCGGCAAACACATCTTTGGCTTTCTTATCGTAGATGCAAGAGAACAGGATGCCACCGATATAAAAGCTTTCCTTGAGACTGTTGAGAGGGTTTATATAAATTTTAGTAGTGATGCCCAATCGTTTGGTATACTCAACCACCTCCTTGAGATGCGCTATTGTCGACGCGGCCCGCTGGTACATATCGCTGCCTTCAAAAACGAGCTTGAGTTTTGCAAACGCTTTGTTTGGTGTATCTGTGTCACACAGTTAGCGGTGATACAACTCTCTTGGCTGTGCGTAGAATTCGTACCTCGGAAATCGAAACGCTGAAGTTCGTCAATACTAGTGGCTGATATACCCACAGCAGGAGATCGAAGCTCCATCCTAATCTTCTGCCATGTATGGTTGTGAATATTCAACCGAGACAAGACATCTGCTGCTGCCCTTCTAGAAGAAGTTGGAATCCCACAATGCTCAAAAATGAGCTGAAGGATGTCGGAGTGTCCGATGTGGAAGCACATCTGTGATGCAGACAAGGATGGAAATGTATGAAGAATCTCATCCAGGACCTTCAATACCTCGGCCTCTTTTAATGCCAGATCCAGCGTGTCGATTGTGACAATGTCAAAATCCACCTCACCAAACATCTGAGGCTGTCCCGTATCTTGCTTATCTCTAAAGACGCTGCCAAACGTAAAGGTGCGCTGCAGCGGAGGAGTTTGCGAGTGTTTTGCCAACATTCGAGCGTGTCCCATCGTAAGATCATAAGGAAGTTGGAGAACAGTGCCGTTAGAGTCAAGGAGTCGGACAGCGTTGTCAGCCTGGTGCACCGTCTTGGGATATATCGAAGTTCGTGTTGCTTCGAGGGCTCCGTGGCGGCGAAAAATGGCCACCAACGCATTCTTGACAATGCTTTGGTTCAGAAGCTCGGCAGAACTAGGTGTGGTGCCATTCATGTCCCACGCGAAATTCTTAGCCGCCTCCACGGGCCGTGCAAACAGCGTCGACAACATTTTCTGGTAATACGGCGAATTAGGGTCCGCCAGTCCGGCCAAAGTCCTCCTGATGGTCTCGCTCTCCATCTGAACTGGCAGTTTACCACTCTTGAGCAGATCAGCACTGGATGGTCGTTCCTTTGGGTTGTGGTTGACCAGCGAGAGCACAATTTCCGTTTGTGTCTTTTCAGGGGGGCGGAAATCTGAGGGGAGAACAGGGACAGGACGTCGAAGCTGCCCAAGGACATCGGCTTTTTGCATGCCCATCATAGGCAGATAGCACATTTCAAAGAAAATGATTCCGAGAGAATACATCTGCAAGTACGTCAGTTTTCACGTAAAGAGATATCAATAGAGAAACATACGTCGACCTTAGTGCTATACATCCCATTGGATGCAGATCTCACTTCTGGGGCAGAGTAATAAGCTGTTCCAATACTTCTCGTCATGTCATCTGCCTCATAGCCGTTGGCAGTGGTTCGATCCACAGAAAATTGGCCGCTAGTTGCCAAACCAAAGTCGCCAATCTTGACATTATCCACACCGTCGGCACTGCTTGCAATGAATATGTTCTCTGGCTTGAGATCGCGGTGAACAATACTTAACGAATGGATGTGCGCCAGGCCCTCCAGAATCTGTCTGAATAGTCGCCACACTTCTGGCGTATTTTTATACAGCTTGCGCGCGATAAGATCTCTCAAAGTCTAAGGTTTGAAGTCAGTAGTTGCTTAAGAGAGGCTAATCAATCCTTCATACGTACTCGCTTCTCGCAGTACTCCATGGAAATGTAGAGCACAGTTCGATAAGATCGGTGCATTCGAGCGCGCCGCTGCAGGACAGCTAGCCTCTCCTTCTCATGAAGCTTTTCTCGATGACCAACGGAGTCCACAATAGAGCTTTGATCATCGTCTTCTTCTTCATCAGAAGGATCTTGGTCGTCCTCATCATCCTCGTCTTCGTCAGAATCGTAATCAAATTCCACTCCAGCATTGGACGAAATAAAATCCAGGCCACCAGTGCTTGTAGCAAATTGGATATCAATGCCAGCAGATTCGTTGCCGGTGTCTCGGGTATCCTCTGTGTAATCATCGGTTGACGTTTCACCCTCGGTGTCTGTTGAATCAGGTATTTCTTCAACCCAGGTGTTGTAATACCGTACGACGGCAGGATGGCTAAGCTGTGAGAGTAGTCGGACTTCCTTGAGAATTTCCGTAAGGCTTGTCTGTGAACGCTGTGTGATTTTTTTGATGGCATATATTTGCCCATCCAGCTTTTTCCTAGCTTTGACGACTTCACCAAACCCGCCCTTACCAAGTCTTCCCTCTTCCACAAAGTCTTCCGTGTACCGAGACACGGCTGCTGATCTATTCATTGAATCTCGCCTGAGCCTCACGGGAAGGGCTTGCAAAGAACTGATGGACGGGGTGTGGGACAACATGGCAGAACTGTCTTCAAACAGGACAGGAGCATCTGTCGCAAGAAACTCACTAGCACCAAGTTCAAATGCTCTCGGCCTTTTCTGCCTATCGTCTTTGAAGAAACGGCTGACTAGCTCTTGGAGGGGTTGGGAGAGCATCAACGATTCCATCAGATTTTTAGGAGAGGAATACTTGCGAAGCACATCCAACCCAAAAACCATCTGTACAAAAACAATACCAAAGTCCCATATATCAGCCTTGGATGTATACTGAGGTTTGGTAGCCGCTGCAATCTCAGGTGGCAGCCAGTACGCAGATTTTGCGGTGGTGAGCCCAATGGGGCCTTGTTTCTTAGAGGTTAGATTATGAATCTCTCTCTGATATGAGGCATCAGATATCTTTGGTACGATTTCGCCAGTAGATTCCCTAAAGAGAAGGATGTTCCCCGGGTGGATGTCTTGATGCGCTATGTTCTTGTTGTGGAGAAAGTTCAGCGCATCCAAGAGATCTCTTGTCCAAGATCGAACCTTTGCTATCTCTAGATGGCCTGCTAGCTCTAGCAATTCCTCCAGTGAGCCTCTCTCAGCCAACGGGGTTAGAACTCTCACCGTCCACGTGTTGGACGCGGTGCGATCAGCGGCTGCACCACTCTCGACCTTGAAATCAAGAATGTCGACGAGATGTCGGTGGTGAATCTTGTTCCCAATTTTGAGATCTTGTAGCCGAGATTCTAAAGACTGCAGCTGTTTCTTGAATTCTTTCTGATCTTTGCCACTTGGACGCAAGACAGCCTCCTTCAAGGCTAATAACTGGTTTCCTTGGCCATTGGAGAGAACTGGACGCACGGTATAAACGGTGGAAGCCTCTCCGCTACGAGGGTCAGATTTGCCCGTGACAGATCTGAACGTCAAAGTATTTCCCATGCGATCAGTTAAGGTGCAGAATTGATCAAACTCAATCGTCTCGCCATCCGAGATCGAGGATGAGGATGGCCGGTGGGGGCTCAAGCCATTTGAGCGTCGGCTGAACTTTGACTCTCTCGCCTTTTGCTTCTGTCGCTGAAGTTCTTGTTGTAATTCTTCAGCAGCAGCCTTCTCCTTTTCTTTCATCTCCTCTTCTTCAAGGCGCTTCTCCTTCTCCTTTTGCGCCAGCGCCAGCTTTGCCAAGGCTGCTTCATGTCTATCACGCTCTTCTTCCAGCGACGGCAGCTGTTTACCGGACGCCTTTGCCTGTGCAGCATCCTCAAGGATATCTTGAATACCCTCAACAATCTTGTAGACCATCTCTTCTGCTTCCTTGGCGAAAATCTTCGGTTGCGTTTCCAAAAACTTCTGAATCTTGAACAAGGTGACCTCTCGGAGGTAGTTCTGGCCCTTGAGGGTCAAAAGCGGCGGTGTCTTTGGATACGTCGCCGTAATAGTAAAGCCAACAGTAACAGCAAATTCTTCATCACTCGGGGCTTTTATTCGTATGTCGAAAGACGGGTCGGACTTCTAAATGCATGTGTAAGTCGACATGCGCCAGCAAGGTTGAGAAACTAGACTAGGGAGGAATACCTTCCAGGCGCTATGCGCCGCCGTATGCTGAATAAAATCATCTCCATAAATGGCTTCTAAGGCAAAAATCTCGTTCCTCTGGAGCTCTTCGTACTCAATCTTGGTCGTCGCATCCGGACCGGGGGGCTTGAGGCCCGGAAAGCTTGAGTCATCCTTGGAGTTTGTCGACGGCGACGTCAGTATCCTGGGTGTTTTCCACGCCATGGTCGCGTGATACCTAGGTAAGAGCCACAGCTAAAGCCGTGACGCTTTACACAGAAGAAGCCATAGTGAAGACGGCTAGAGACGAGGGATAGTAAGGCTGGTGTGGTATGAAGGAGGAGGATTGTCGACAAGAGCCAGTAGCGCCTCGATGAAGCTATACCTGGTGGCGGGGCAGTTTCATCACCTGGTTCGTCTAGCGATCCCATCAATGGTCAGCACGAGCCAAATAGCTGCCTGAGCCGCTAATTCTATACCTGTACAGGGCTGAGCCAGGACCTGTCCAGTTGGGCTACAGCGGCTGGGTGGCGATCGATCCTCTGCCAGATTGCGGGAACCCGCTAGCTCACTACAGGGTCCTGGTAACCACTAAGTTGCCTGGAACTCTATCGCCGCCGCGGCTTGCGCTGATAAGGGAAAAAAGCATTTCGTCACTGGCCAACACACCGACGGGCAAGTAAACAAACACACCCTCGCAACCCTCAACCACGGACCCTGCAGACACAACAACGCTCCAACTTCTTCACCCGCAAGCTCATTGCAAATACGCTATTACAAAATCACGTCAAGCTTGTGCCGATTTTAACCAGGATTACAATTGTTTGAGCCACTCTATCCAACATGCTGGGCTGGATGCTGGGGCGCGGGGACAACGCGCCGGACGCGGCTGACACCGGAGGTATGTAAAATGGTTTCCATGATAGCAATATGATCGTGTTGGATATATCCTAATGATCTCTTTTTAACGATTAGACACCGCACTTCTCGATCAGCCAGACACTCCCGCTCCTGTTTTTGCTGCTAGATCATTCAAAAGTGCTCTCTTCGGCACTCCTATCCGAGAGTCGCACCGAGTGTTACGGGACAGGGCCAAAGCAGCAAAATCGACAACCATGCCGGCGGACAATACGTTAGATACTCCATTGAAACCCCAAGGTATCTTGCTGACCCCTGGTACGGGGACCTCGAGGCCAAAGCGCGTGTCATTCAACCATGACCTTGCGACAACGAAGACCATTTCGCCGAACAATGAGGGGGCCGCAGTCAGCAAAAGAACCCGTCTATCTGACGTGCTTGACAAAGCGAGACGCAAAAGCACCACAAACGTTTCCAAGGTGGCCGAACCCCGTATTATCAAGGACGAGTCGGATGAGGACGAATGGGAGGAAGACGAACTTGACGAAAATGGCGATTATTACGCACATGATACCACGGTAGACCTCAACGAGCCACACTCCCAATCGGGCAAATATTGGAAAGAAGAGTTCGAAAAGTACCATCGTGAGGCACGAGCGGAGATGGAGAAGCTCCTCAAGTACAAGAAACATCTCAAATCTTACGCGGAGGAGAAGGACTTGGAGGCTATTCATCTGGCTCAGAGGCTCAAGGAGGAACAAGAAAAGGTGGTCACCATGGAAAAGATGATTGCAGAAAATGCAAGCCATATGGTATCGAAACAGAAAGGAGCCTCCAGCGACGAAACTACGGAGTTATTGGCAACACTTACAAAGCAAACAGCTCTCGCAGCCCAATACCGACATAGGGTTCAGGAATTGGAAAGCCAGCTTGAAGAGCTGCACCAATGGCGAGAAGAGGACGACGACGAAGAGAGAGAGCGCATACGGCTACAGGGAACGACTTCGCCGAATACGGCAAGAACTCTAGTCGAAACCCAGCGAGAACTTCGACGATCTCGCGCACAACTCAAGGAGTTGGACGCCCTAAGAGATCAAGTGTCCTCTCTCAAGGCTCAGCTAAAAGCTGCTGATCAACGAACGTCTGTAGATCACTCAGCTCCCGATGAGATCACCGATACGGTCAAGGTGAGAGCGCTCAAAGCTCAACTTAAACAAGCAAGGGAAGAATCATCCAGGAAGGACGATGAACTTGGCCAACTGAAGAAGGAATTCGACTTGTTCAAGAAAGAGAGAGAAGCCCATGATTCGGATACCAAGGCCGTACTTGAACGTGCCCAAACCAAGATTACTGACCTCAAAAAGGAGGTCAAAGCACTGAAGGCCAAAGATGCAGGCCGGATTCATAAAGCAGAGGAAAACAAGTTGGCAAGGGACACCGAGGATGAGGAAATTTTACCGAGGCTCTCCGCGGCAACAAACGGCACTCGCAGGAGCATCGATGTGGCAGATCTTGAGAGACCCCGACATCTTGAAGGAGTCAATGCCAAGTCTCGAACATTACGAGACAAATTTCAAACCGATGCTACGCCGGGCCAGTCTCGAGCAACAGCAAAGTCAAAGGGCACAGCTGAGGCCTCCAAATGGCCGCCCTCTGCGTCAAGAACACCCAGAGAGGTCGTGTCAAAACGTAACCGGTCAGGGAGCGACGCGGGAGAGGACAACATTGCAATTTCCAGTATGCCCGTGCTCGCGAAATCCATGGCTCAGTCTAAGAAAGCGGCATCCATTGACGATACGGACGTCGAGATCGACCTTTTGCAGGACCGCTTTGCTCGTCTCGGCGGCGGTGACGCAGGTCAAGACAGAATAAAGGATGTTCCCAAGACCGGCAACAGCAAGGCGTCATTGCCACCAGAGCGACGAGCGGCTGCTCTAGCTCGGATTGAGAAGAGAATGGCCGAGAAGAGGGCCCAGCGACGAGATGGAACGGACAAGGAAAACGTACGGCCATGAAGAGGCGACGTTGGTCTGAGCAATCTACGATAATACCTGTTTTTTTTTTTTTCATTTAGGGATCAGCGTTGGTGTTATTACAGGGAAAATGGAGGGTGGTTATCAACATGATTTATTATGAGCGAGACCGAGTGTACGGCAAGCTGGAAGCTCTTGCTGCTTGGATTGACATTTTTTTTTCTTGTTCTTTTTCTTTTTGGTTTTCAATCTGTCCATGTTTATACCTATTTGTAACTATTGCCGGACAATGTTGGCGTGTATCGTATCAATCGCGATATCACACGGTCTAATACGGAACGGATGACGAGAGACAATGCAATTCAATTTTTAAACTTTACATACACATGTGCCAAAATGACAGCGCAGAATGAGATTCAAATCCAAGATGAAATTGCCCAGCTTGAGAGTCGCTTGCAAGAGGCAAAAGCCCGTCTGAGCGCTCTCGGCGCATCAAACCCTACCATCCCGTGTAAGTCAAAGAAGAGTCCATCGTCTATTGATCCCGTTTACTCACGCAAATAGCAACACCAGTCCGGCCTGCCCCAGCGCCATCACCATCTTCATCAACGCATTTCCTCCTCTTGCTCTCTGATTCCGCCCTTCCTATCGGATCATTCGCCTTCAGCAGCGGCTTGGAGTCCTTCGCGGCGCATAATGCCCGCGCCTCCTTCGGGGCCTTCCTCCCCCTCTCTCTGTCATCCTATGCCTCCACGACGCTGCCGTTCGTCCTAGCAGCGCATCGCCAGCCCGCGGATCTCGCGTCCTTGGACGACCAGCTCGATGCCGCCGTCATCTGCACCGTCGGCCGGCGTGCCAGCGTCGCCCAGGGCCGAGCGCTACTAAGCATCTGGGAGCGCTCATTCAAGACGACGATTCTCCCCAGCAGCGCCACAGACGCCCTCGTCCTCAAAGACTTCTCGGCGCTGCTTCGTCGAGAGAGCACCAAGGCCGGCGGCGAGGCTCCTCTCGTCTCAGCGCACCTCGGTCCGCTGTTCGGCGCGATTTGCGCCATCGTGGGGCTGACGCTTAGACAGACGGCGTATGTCTTCATGTTGAGCCACGTCAAGGCGCTGATTTCGGCGGCCGTGAGGGCGAACATGTTCGGGCCGTATCAAGCACAGAAGCTACTTGCGAGTGAAAACGTACAGGAATTGATTAACGTGGTGGTGGAGAGGGAATGGCACACGTCTGTTGAGGAGGCAGGGCAGAGCGTACCGGTTATGGATCTATGGGTTGGACGACATGAGCTGCTTTACTCGAGAATCTTCAACAGCTAAGTAGGATACTCTAGTATTCTTTTTCTCTTTAATATTAATATGGTATCATTATGAATGCTGTGCATGACACGAATCCTGTACCCAGTCTACAGTTATAGATAAATCCCAAGCCAAATACCACCAAAAACGCCCTATTTACTCATCGCTGTCGCTATCATACCCCACGAGAGGCCCCGTAGATGCAGGCGCCGTTGGCTTCGATGCCACTGCAACCTTTGCTCTGCCCAGAGCTGCCAAAGTGCTACTGGAGAATACACCTGCGCTCTGCGCCGGTTGTTGTTGATTTGCTTCTTCTTGTGCTGCTGTTTCTGTCTCCCCAGCCGTTCCATCTTCAAGCAGAGGCCGTTCTTGATATTCCACCTCGTATCCTCGTCTTCCAGCCGGATTGACTGCGTTAGGGCCTTGTGCGAAGTGGACTTCGTCTGGGGCCTCGTAGCCTTCCAATCCATAGCTGCTCTCTAGCTTTCTTCTTTTTCTGGCCTCTGGATCTTTGCCCTCGATTTCGGCGATGAACTCCGCTGGCAGCGCCCTTCGGATAGCCTCGGCGGCTTGTTCTTCGATTCGTCGCGCTTCTCGAGCTCGTGCCATGGGGTTAGGGTCGGCTGTAGCCCATCTAACGTTCAGTACCTCGTCGTGATCAAGAGATCTAGTGCTGGTCAGTGGATGTTGAAATGTGAGAAGATGTGGTAATACGTACTGATGCGCCATGGCTTCCTTGGCGAATTCCGCATTTGCTTCGTTGACATAGGTGACAAAAGCAACACCCCGAGAATTCAACACGCGAACTGGAGAACAATGGTCAGTCAAGCCCAAAGCAAAGGCAGTGTAATTGTAGTTGGTGATGGCACTCACTCCGTTCAATCGGGCCCCATTCAGCAAAGTGTCGCGCCACAATCTCCTCAATGTCGTCTGTTACGTGTATGCGGCCGATGTATATTGTTCTGTTCTGGCGCATAAAACTTCCAACACCGCCCATGTCATCTCTGTAATCGGAGAATTTATCTCTACCGAAGCAATCGACATTCGGTGCCGAGAGGTCGTACGGGCCGGGGAGTCGGTGTAGATACATGCAGTCTGCTCCTCGCGGACACAATCCTCTTGCAAAGAACAGGCAGAAATAGCTTCCCGAAACGCCGTCGGCTTTCGTGTATCCGCTGTCGCGAGCGACGTTGCAGCGGCCCTTCGATTTCGTCTGCTGGTATGCCTCGTGGTCGCCACCCGCCCATTTGTTATACCTGGCTGGTATCAGCTGCCGTTCTACCACAGAATTGGGGGGTTCGCAATGCCTCATTACTCACCAAATGTTAAAGGTCGTACCCGTCTGCGGTGGAGGCTCGTTGGTAAAGAAATCCGGGTCGACTTGCGGCCTAGCTGGCCTCCTCTTCCTGCGGATGATCTTCTTGACGACCTTTTTCTCAGTAGGAGCCGCGACCTCGCTGTTCGTCGTTGCAACAGCCATGTTCTGAGTCTCTTCATCGACTAACGGAGCCATTGCGACACCGTCTTCTTGTTGATCCGCCATGATTCGGTAAAATGAAGGACGGAGGGTGATTTTGTTGCGATGACAAGTTGAAGCTTGATGCAAGCAATTTTGTCCAGGTCGACGCGCCGGCAAGGCTGTAGAAGGACAGTGGCGAAAATGGCAGGCGGTGAGGCTAGTGCAATCCCAATTCAAAAGCTAAAAGGCCCCTCCTAAACCTTTTGCTGCAATTGCCAGAGCCCCGCCATCTCAAATCTCAAGTCAGAACTTCAAAGCTGCTCTTCTAAGGGCTTGACCATACGTCTTCAAGTAGACCGATACCCCCTTTTTCTTTCCCTTTACTGTTATATATAAGAAGACGGTATTGCCGTCTATAAAGAACTGGTGTCAACATGGTGAACATTACAGAGAAGATCAAGGAGTGAGTAGGGCTGGTTACGTTATGAGAGGCCACGGCTGATGACTTATTCAGGATTGAGGAGGAGATGAGAAAAACACAGAGTAAGTAAACCTATGGAATATTTGTTACAATTTCAGTGTCTTTGCCATCCCCTGAGTACCCCGAGAACCCCTATAGCGCACCTTGGCCTCATGAGGCTACCGTATAAGTGGCTGCGATTCCATTCGGCATTACGCATACATATCTCCTTTCACCTGCGGAAAGCGTTGTGTGCCGTGAAGATGGTATTCTCAAGAAGACGATTGATGTACTCGACAGGCTAGTCATTATGAGTTTGGGATGGGCCATTTGATACATGTAATCGCAATGCATGTATTCGAATCTCATCCCCGTTGGCCTGTCGAGTATCTCATCGCTTGTGTAAACGGACAACGCTTCCCTACAACCTGCTTGGTTACCATATAATACACGCCAATACACTTTTTATCAAGTTTGTCATACAGTCTAGCTAACCATGAACATAGAAAACAAGGCGACTGGTACGTATTTGAATGATTCCCATTAATCGACCACGGCTGACAAAAGGTCAGAATACCATTTGGGTCTCTTGAAAGGGTAAGTCAAGTCAAGTCTGTCTTTCTGCTTAAACCACCCCTAACTTGACCAGAAAGCTCGCACGTCTCCGAGCGCAATTACTAGAGCCAGGGCCTGGAGGCGGTGGTGGTGGTGGCTCTGGATTCGACGTGAGCAAAAGCGGCGATGCCCGAATATCTCTAGTTGGCTTTCCTTCAGTAGGAAAGTCAACGTTTCTATCCAAAGTCACCAAGACCAGATCCGAAGTAGCCTCATATGCATTCACAACCCTCACAGCCATTCCCGGAGTGCTGGAATACGGTGGTGCTGAAATTCAGCTACTCGATCTGCCAGGTATTATCGAAGGTGCTTCCGAGGGCAAGGGACGAGGTCGACAGGTTATTTCGGCTGCCAAGACGAGCGACCTGATTCTCATGATCCTAGACGCAACGAAGCGAGCTGAGCAAAGAGCTCTGCTGGAGGCAGAATTGGAAGCTGTCGGCATCAGGCTGAACCGCGAGCCCCCGTAAGTAGAAAGAGATGTGATTTGAACACCACGTTCTATCGGCTAACAAAAGATGAAGAAATATCTATCTCAAAATCAAAACAGCAGGTGGTATGAAGATTACGTTTCAATCTCCACCCAACAGGCTGGACGAGAAGATGGTCTTCAACATCCTCCGCGACTACAAGATTCTCAACTGCGAAGTGCTCATCCGGGACCCAGAGGCCACCGTTGATGACCTCATCGACATCATCATGAAGGACCACCGCAAGTACATCAAGTGCCTGTACGTCTACAACAAGATTGACAGCGTGTCGCTCGACTTTCTCGACAAGCTCGCTAGAGAAGACCACACCGTCGTCATGAGCTGCGAGCTGGATCTAGGCATCCAAGACGTCATCGACAGGTGCTGGAAGGAGCTCAAGCTGATTCGCATTTACACCAAGCGAAAGGGCACCGATCCGGACTTTGGCGAGGCTCTGATTGTGCGGAGTAACAGCACCATTGAGGACGTGTGCGATAGGATCCATCGCACGCTAAAGGACACATTCAAGTACGCCCTTGTTTGGGGCGCCAGTGCGAGACACATACCTCAGAGGGTGGGATTAGGGCATCCCGTTGCGGATGAAGATGTCGTGTACATTGTGACGGCGTGGAAAGCATAGTACAATAGCACAAAGAGAAACCATACAGTCAACAATGCCGTTCTCTCCCTAATCGGGATGAAGTGTAATCGATGAATTGCTTCCATGAAGTCGCTATACAGCTTCCACTTGGTAGCTGTATTTCTCAATCATGGCAATTAAAAGCATAAAATAAAGATGAAAATGTTCATGTCGACCCTTTCCGGCATCACCACAATAGGGCACGTACTCAATACGTACGTAATCCGGAAAACGCCAAAGCCCCTTAAAAAACCCACAAGTTTCCCGCGATAGCCTCTAACCCTTAGTTCCGAGGTCTTGCCCAACCTAGTTGCTTCCCCCCGTCTCTAATCATGACGAGAGCGTTTGAAAAAAGGAAGCAGTCGTTAATGTACAAAAGAAATAACCCAGACCAAACGAAGCAATATTAAAAATGAATATAAAAGGGACACAAGGCCCCCAGATCAGCGAAGTCGGGAGGTCAGGGTACGCTCGGTCTTGACGCTTCTAGCACCAAGAGGATTGTCGACCTGAGGGGACCTTGTGCCGATGAGGTTCTCGTCGGTGTTGAGTTTCTTAGAGCTCGCCTGGGCGAAGAGAGACTTTGGTTTGGCCCTTGAACACACACAGATTCTGTCAGTATTTTGAATTCATTTTCATCCATGGGGGTTGTGGCGTTGGAGATAAAGTTCGAGGGGCGGACATACTTGGTGACTTGCTTGCTGCGCAGGGCAGAGAGCTTTGCTGTGCAGGGGCTCATGATGGTATCGGAGGGAGAGACATATTGCTTGACTCTGTAAATACAAGAAGATGTTAGCAAAAAAAGATGAAGACGAATAAGTTGAGAGACAGAGACGGGTTGGTGACATACCCATCCTGAGCCATTCTGGATTGGAACACCTGGCGATGGTACTCCATGCTCTTGACGTCCTTGCCGAGAGGCTGCCCATCGGCTAGAGCGGCGTTGACGTCTCTGTCACCGAGGATCTTGTTGCTCGACATTGTAGTTTTGTCTTTGTGTAGTTCAGCAGTGGTGAGGTCGTTGGTTGGTTGTGTGGTTAAGAAGAGCGTTTGCGTTGCAACAAATCAACCGTGAATGTCACACACCGCAGGAACAAAAAAAGGCAGGGGGGCAGCAGCCTTTTTTGTAAACGTTCCAGAAATGCAAGCGTTAGCTATTCCGGCTAGTTTAACAGCATAAACAAGGGGTAAAAGAAAAAAAAGTATGACGTCCGCCCAATTCATTCATGCAATCGGAGTGCAAAAAAAAGTAAACGAATGACGGACGTTGGCTGGGCAACAGAGTTTTGCCACCTTTTGGTTTCCTTGGTATGCATGAAATCCGATGTGGAGTCGGCAACGGCACTTGTTGGCCAACCAGCTGGGAGGAGAGTCTCTTTTAGCTTCAGTTTACCCAGAACTAGAATGGGATTTTGGTATGAGACTGGGGGAGTTGTTTTAAGAGAATGGGTAGAAACAAAGACTTGTTTTCGGGGTTAAACAAGGGATGGTTGGTAGTTTGTGAGTCATGGGTATGTGAATAAAGATGAAGAGAGCTGATGGATTGGTTGATAGGGATGGTGTGTTGGAGACTGATTTTTTGTAGGGCATTTACAAGGTTGGAAGTGAGAAGGAAGACGAGTTGCTAAACCTCTAACCAAAGTGTATCTTATAAGTCAGGTACAGTTGCATTAGACTTCTTTCTTTTATGAAGTGTGTTATCATACTATATACGCTATTTTGCAATGCAACATCTCGAGATTACCCTAGTTCCCGTATTTTACAAACCAATGACAGATCAAAACAAGACAATGTAAACAGACCAGCCATTCTTTCATTACAACTTGGCAGCGTGCTTGATTTTGGTGCCAGGCTCGGCAAGCTCAACGCCGTATCTCTTCAGCAGCTCCGCCGTCTTGGCCTTCTGCCACTTGAGCTTGGCCGCCGTCTCCTTGCCGCGCTTGTTCTCGTTGCGGCCCATCTGCTGCAGATGCACCTCGTCAGGGCCGTCGGCCAGACGAAGCGTTCGGATGCCAGCCCACATGTTGGCCAGGGGAGTCTCCTGAGAGACACCGGCACCACCGTATGCCTGGACGGCGCGGTCAATGACGTTCAGAGCGGTCTGGGGAATGAGGACCTTGGCCTCGGCAATCTCCGTGAGAGCCTTCTTGGGGCCCTCCTGGTCCATCTTGACGGCGGCGTTGAGGACGATGAGGCGTGCTGCATCGATCTCAATGCGCGACTTGGCAATCCATTCGAGGATGACGCCGTGTTCGCGCAGGAGCTTGCCGAAAGGCTTCTTGTTTTCGTCGTTGACGCGTGTGAGCATCCAGTCGAGAGCTTGCTCAGCCTGTGGAAACAATGAATTAGTAAAGGGATTTGACCTGTCGGTAGTAGCAACAACTTACAGCGCCAATGCTGCGCATAGCGTGGTGAATACGTCCAGGTCCCAGTCGGCCCTGAATAATCTCGAATCCGCGGCCCTCACCGAGCACCAGGTTCTTGGCCGGAACGCGCACGTTGTTGAAGGTGATGTGGCCGTGGCCATGGGGAGCGTCGTCGTAGCCGTAGACCTTGAGCATTCTCTTGATGGTGATGCCAGGCAGACCAGCAGGGACCAGGATGACCGACTGCTGCTTGTAAGGATCGGCGTTCTTGGGATCAGTCTTGCCCATGACGATGTAGAGCTTGCATCGAGGGTCGCCGGCACCGCTGGACCACCACTTGGAGCCATTGAGGACGTAGTGGTCGCCGTCGCGAGTGATCTGAAGCTGAATGTTGGTGGCATCCGATGACGCGACCTCGGGCTCAGTCATCAGGAAAGCCGAGCGAATCTTGCCCTCCATCAGGGGCTTCAACCACTCCTCCTTCTGCGCGGCGTTGCCGTACTTGGCCACAACCTCCATGTTGCCCGTGTCGGGAGCAGCGCAGTTGCACGCCTCCGAGGCGCTGCGCGAGCGGCCCAGCCACTCTGCCATGAGGGCATACTCGAGGTTGGTCCAGCCGGGAGACTCTGCGTAGAAGCCCTTGGGCAGGAACATGTTCCACAAGCCCAGCTTGCGTGCCTTGTCCTTGAGCTCCTCGATGATGGACGGGTGGTTCTCCCAGCGGTTATCGCCCTCGCCAACCTGGGCTTCAAGTACGGGATCGGCGCTGTCAACAACTGTTAGATCGTCGGTACAGATGGTATGGGATGTCGAGATTCGTTCGGAGGGCTTACGGGATGCATTCTTCCTCGACAAACTTGGCGACAATGTCAATCTTCTGTCGCGCCGCCTCGCTGACGTGTGCTGAAACCTGTCATGATCGATCGCGATCGGTTAGCCCATGTATTATCCACTGCAATCCAATGCAACCAAAAGATCAAGCAGGAGAGGTTTCGATAGGTAGCTTACAAGAGCTGGGATTCGAGCCGACATGATGGCGAATGATGTACCAAGACAGTACACTAAAGAGAGAGATAGAAAGAAAAAGTATAAGTATAAGGAGAACTTGAATCCAAGACTTCTCCGCAAAAAAACGTGAAGCTGTCAGGTCACCAAAGACGCTGCAATCGTCTGATATTTAAGTCGAGCAATGATGCGGAGCCGAGGCCAAGCAAACGCCGTCGGGCCACGATTCGCGGAGAGATTCTGGGGTAAGCCGCAAGCCGAGGTGCAGAGTGGGGCCTCACCGACACTGATGGCGACTGCCTAGAGCGCTGTATCTCCAGCGATTTAGCGGGTGACTTTTGGCTGCTACAGCGAGACCGTTAGTGGGCAGCAGTACGAAGATAGAGCCCGGCACAGCAACATCGTGTAATTGAATCTACATCTACACAGGCACGATTTGGTCAATGGCTAAAGAGGCAAACGTATAATCAAGTCCCATAGCGTGGGATTGCTCCCAGCTACGCATAGAATCTATAGCCCCATAATCCCTTGACAAGTAGATGTATGAGATGACCGTATCAAAAGCTCTCCTCTTCCCCCTCTCTTCTCTCCCATAGCCGTAAGTCGGAGCCGAGGCTATGGCTTTGCGATCGCACCACCATCTTGAGCAATTGCAAGCGTCTCCCATTCCATCAACCAAAGAAGAAAAAACAAGAAAATCAACCCAGACACAAAAAGAAAAAGAAATAAAAAAAGGGAGAAAATATTACTGTCCGCACAAACACCAACATGGCCTCGTTGTTCCATACTCTACTTCCAGACAAGAAAATGCATCAGCTCGAGGACCGGGTATGCTGTTTCTGGTTGTTCACGCTCATTCTCTGACCAGTCTCGTATCATCCAATTATCTGTCGTCTTTTCTCCGCTTAGCAAGCACAGCCGTCGCGATCGTTGTCGATGTGGATATTGATGGGGTCGTCAAAGTCGCCGCTGTATTCCTCAGACTCTTCTTGAGCCAAAGCATTTCGAGCAATAACTGTCAATTGTTAGCCGAAAGTCTTCTTTTACTTCGTCGTCGCTCCATAGTCTTCCCGTACCCTCAAATGCTTGGTCAATGTTGATGGCCTCCTTTGCACTCGTCTCAAAGTATGGGATGTCGCCCTTGGATTGGCAGAAAGTCATGGCTCGCTTGGTCGAAATCTAGTCTGCATCAGCTACCCATGCTCTGTTATGGATGTGCACAACAGGTATTCCTTACCACTCGTTTGCTCTCCTCCACATCAATCTTGTTTCCAAGAACAACCTGTAGAATAATCAGCCATGGAGTCCAGATTAAGAGCAGCCGCAGCCGTCACACTTACAAAGGGAAAGTTGGGGGGATCTCTCGGAGAGGCTTGGATTAGGAACTCGTCTCGCCAGCTGTCCAGCGCCTCGAAGCTCTTGGAGTTGTTGACATCGTACACCAGAACGCAGCAGTCGGCTCCTCTGTAGAATGCGACGCCCAGAGACTGGAATCGCTCTTGTCCGGCTGTGTCCCAGAGCTGTCCGGATTATTAGCATCCCTTGAACCTATGGCCCTCGTCTATCCTCAAACACCTCATACCTGCATGGTGACTTGTCGGTCGTCTACCAGGACCTCTCGCGTTAAGAAATCAGCGCCGATAGTCGCCTTGTAGCTTGCGCTGAACTTCTTGTTGACCTATTATTCCCAAATATCATTTCGCCCATTAGCCGTCGTGTGCCTCAGCGGTAGATCGGAGTCGTGGCAGGATCACGGCTTACGTATTGGTTCATCAAACTCGTCTTGCCCACACCGCTATCTCCAAGGATGATGACCTATCAAGCAAACCATCTTTAGCATCGTTCTCACGCAGCGCAGCACCGGTGGCGGAGCCTCCATACCTTGAGAAGGACCTTCTTGTTGCGCGAAGACATCTTGACTGGTTATCGTCGTACACTCGGGGCTCCAATGACGTGATAGATATGAGCCAAAAGCACAGCCGCCGCGAGCGAAGAGGCCTTCTCCGGGTGCTTCTGGTGGCGGAAAGACGATGATGGATATCGAAAAAAGTGTGTCCGGGTGTATGATGGAAGAAATCAGCGTCGCAAGCGTCACGAGACCTTGAAATGCTGGCTGCCTATACTTTTGAGGCTTCAATGACGAGGCTGGCTTTTGCTTTGGATTGTTGATGGCGGGCAGCGATTTAGCGCCCACCCAACGGTACCTATTAGTAGGTACCTAGACGCCCAGATATCGGTGTCGCAACCGCGGTAGGCCGTTTGCAGCTTAGCCCCATGCATAAATGTAGCCTCCGCATGATGATGCCCATAATTAAGTCATCCAGATGCTTGCACGTGATGAGGTACCTTTACGCTGTTATTATGAGGCAAAGCTACCTCTAGGTACATGTGCACTCCCTGGCATCCATCTCATATCGCTTGTCACCAAAGAAAGAGGAAGCTTCTCTTCCTCAACATCTGCATTGATCCTGTGCTTCTACACACTGCAATCGCGCTGATGGCCCTGGCGGAGATACCGGCGCTTTGCCATGGCGGATGACGATCTGCTGGAAAAGGTTCACAGCCTCAGCGACTTGGAGCTGGCCGTGCTGCTGTGTCTAGTCAATCGAGAGCACGTCCTGATTAGCACTCCGCCGGCAGCCATTGATGACTTGGTGCAAGAGCTTCAGCTGGTATGCAACTTTTCATACACAGCCTTGTCTCCCCATTGTTCCAGTAGCTGACACTGACACACGTGCAGATAGCAAGCAAGACATACAGTCTCAAATCCGTCGTCGTCAACTGCCACCCGTCCACGACACTCGAGGATTTCGCCTCAGCTCTGCTTCTCCAGCCCCAGCAGACTCCCCTCAACTCCGCCTCGCCGGCAATCTCGCCGTTCACTCGAAACGATTCATACTTTGCGCTCAACTCGCTTTCGAACCACCGATCCTCTACACCGCTCAGCCCCCGTACTTTCCTCTCTCCGCAGATCGCGCACTTTGTCATCGCAAAGAACCTCGACCGTGCTCCACGAGTTGTCCAGATCCAAGCACTTGAATTACTGCGCACACGACGCATCTTCACTCGCACATCGGTACAGGCGGCGCCGAAGCAGTTTGTCTTTATTCCTGTTCTGGGAGCTGCAAGTGGTGGTGAAGCCCATGTGACGGCGCATCTCAACGACTTCTTCTCGGTTGCGCATTGGCACAACCCAGAAGATGGATATGTCAACTTGGATGAAGCTGAAAGTCGCAACAAGGATGACGATGAGACGGCATCCACAGAGAGCGTTGTGAAGAAGGCGTCAAATGACACGACGCCGTCGACGGCCTTGATATCAGATATTGTAAGTCATGGTCACAAACCCCTGAAGTTTGGCATCGTTATTTACAAGCAACCCTCAGGAAATCAGCCAACTCGCAAAGCTAAGCCAGGAAGTCCAAATCGACGTCGATATCCTCCGATACCAAATGAACATTATATCCTTCCTTCGAATGCACCGAGCAGTCGCAGGTGGCATCACGCCTGCGGCAACGAAACATCTCCACCAGCTTGTCAAAAGTCTTGCCCCTTTACATAAGCTTGATTTCGTGACGCCTGCTTTGATCGGCCTAGCCGTGAGAAAAGTCTATCTCCACCGTATACGCATCACCGAGCCTGAAAAGGAGAGAAGTATGCAATGGGGGAGCCAACTCGAGGCGGTAGAAGCGCTGCTCGAAGATGTAGGTCCCGAGGAAGTGATGGAAGAGGTTTTGGAAATGGTTACGGCGCCTCTGTGAAAAAATCTTGTATTTTTGCTCCATGTTGATTCTTTTCAACCCGAGCCAGCTTGTCGCCGAAAGAAAAAGACAAGCACCCTTAGTAATTTCCCAAGTATACATAATATTGGTAGAATCTCGGATTCCAAATGGCATCAACACCACATTAAATATGCTCCTCCCCAAAAGCGTACATGTCATACAATAAATAATATGCTTGACGATGTAAAATAACCGATTCTAGAAGCACATTACAATTAAATATCATGAACCGTTTAATTCATAAAACCGCCGTTTATGAAACCTCCTTGATCTTGCATGACCAGCCCGAGCCAGGAGCCAAAAGCGGCAGACTAAAAAGAGGGAAATCGTTAGCAAAATATACGCCAGCACCGCATTCATCAGAAAAGGCCATAGTCTTACCTAGCTCCAAGACACCAGCCAAGCTCATTACCCTTAATCTTCTTGGCAACCTTGACCTCGCGGTCAATGGGCATCTCATAGCCGGTGTGCAGCAAAGCCATCATAAAGTTCAAATCCAGGCAGTGCTCGGGTCGGTCCTCAAGCTCCTCCAGCGCACCGGGGACGCTGGAAAAGACGTCCCAGGCCTCCTTACCGGCGCAGACCTTTTGAGTGAGGTCGTGCATCTCGCGGAGAGTGAAGGAGTCGGGCATGCCAAGGGGCTTGGTGCGGTCGTAGAAGTATGAGAAGATGTAGACGTCCTCCTTGGCAAAGGTCTTGGCCAGGGCGGGCTGGTGAACACCGTTGAACGAGCAAGGGGCGAGTGTGCAGTCGGCGTCCTTCTTCAAAATCTTCTCAGCAATGTTGCGGCATTGGGCCGGGGAGGGCTGGGAAGGTCCGGTAAAGTTGAAGGAGCGGGCCTCGCCGCCGTTGACCTCGACGTCGATAGCCTTGGTGGTGCCGGGGGCGATGCAGGGGTGCACAATGGGCGAGTTCATCCAGGTCTGATCCTCACCCTTGACCTTGACCAACTCGTCAATCAAAGCGGAGTGGAGAGCCTTGCGAGCAGACATCAAGCCGTAGCCAAGGTGAGAGTGCTGGTACAGGTCGAATTTGTGGCCGCCAAAGTCAAGCTCATACTTGTGATCGCCAGGGGCCAGCTTCTCAGGCATGCCTCCGTCCGGAGCTCCCTTAAAGGTAGGCTCGAAGACAATCTGGGTTGAGCCACCGCCGAGATCGAAGACAGCAGCAGTCTCACTCTTGTCCGGGCCGCCAATCTTGCCGAGGAGGTAGTTGGTGGTGATCCAGGCATACACACCCTCGTCAGAACCGTCCATGATGGCAACTCCGTTTTGCTCAGCAGCCACGACCGGGAAGGGGTAGTCCTGCTCCAGGTGTCGTCTAACCTCGACCAAGATGGCGTCGGCGAGCTCCTTGCCAATCAGACGCAGACCAGCGGTAGCCTTGACAGCGACGGGAGAGCACTTCTTGAGCTGATCGGGGACGTGTTCCATAGCCACGGCCATCAAAGGGTCGAGACTCTTGGCAGCAGCAACGGGATCGTTCTTGAAAGCGCTCAAGCCACCGACGGACTTTTCAGTCATCTTGAACTCCTCCTTCTCGAGCTCGGGGATGGGACCGCAGTTGTTAAACTTGTAGACGTGGATTCGCGAGCCAGTGCTGCCGGCGTCGATCATGAGGACATACTGAACGATGGGCTTGTCCTTGGAGTAGGACTTGGAGCACTTGTCGGTGCCGTAAGAAGAGTCGACGGGAGCCTGGCCGCTATTGGGAGCGCCGTTGCCAGCAGCGGCAGCACCATGGTTGGCGGCGGGAGCAGCGTTAGCAGCAGGAACATTGTTGTTGTTCGAAGAGCCTTCGCCCAGAGGGCTCTTGTTGTAGACCTCGACACCGGTGGGAGACAGCCAGTAGAACAGGATCATCAAGACCAGGACCAGCGCGCCCGTCTTGAGCCACCGCGACTTCTGCGACTGCGACAGCATGGTTTCTTTCATGCTGGAGAAGAGGCCTTGGTTTCGATGACTCGGGTAGTATCGATCTGTCTTTTCGTGGGGGTCGTAGGCAGCGTGCTTGTGCTTGGTGGGCAGCGACACTGAAGTTCTCCTCATCAGGTCGCGGGGCGATCAAAGAAAGACGCCGCAACGCATTAAATAAGGAAGGTAAAGGAAAGACAAGAGTGAGTGAAGAACAGTTGGATTGCGGGACGAACAACGGCACAAGGTTTCATTAATTTAGGTGGAAATGATTGGGATTGGGAAAAAGGAGTCTCAGCCAAACAAACTTCTTCCGGGGGTGTGTGTGGAGGGGGGAACAAGGCAAGGCACCAAGTAACCGGCCGCGGTATTTAGTATGGAGGGGTACTTTGCACATCCACAAGCGGCGACGCTACAGGGTCAAAGAGCCATGGGCATTCGTGGCCAAGATTGACGAGCCATTCGCCACATTCCACAGCCCCTGAAATCGAGCGTCTCGAAGCCATCGCCCCCCTGGATGATGCGTCAGTGGGTCGCCTTAGGCCTGAAGCGCTGGGTTTTAGCGGAGCGCTGCAGGGTAAGTGCCGAGGGCATTTTACAAGGTGGCAGGATGAGAATGTGATGGAGATGATGAAGATCAAGGCAAATCTGAGAAACGCTGATTCAACCTCGAGCGTTCATTCTGTTGGAGTCAGTGAATTATTATTGCGCATCGTGCTTGTCGCCGTCGATTCAGCATCTGCCAGAGATTTCGGATTTAACACAGCGGAGTTTTCTGTGCCAAAGTCCGCTGCTTGGGCTGTACTGTAGCTGGAAGCTTCGTCGATTCGTATGCCATTTGCTGCCTTGATATCCAATAAATATCTGACGTCGGCTCAACCCAACCTTGACCTATAAACTCATACTCATCACCATTCCCGCCGTTACGAGATACTAATTGTATCCTACCCATTCAGAGGTTTCGAGATGCGCCACTTGGAAATTGCAGCTTATCATTTACTCGGCGCTTAATCACCACACTCGCTCAGGCATCAAATACACCAGCCAAAGATGGACGTTCACCTCCTTGTATACGACTTGTCTCAGGGCTTAGCCCGCCAAATGTCCATGGGACTCCTGGGATTCCAGCTCGACGCCATCTATCACACCTCGATCGAGCTCCAGGGCCGTGAATATGTCTACGACGGAGGCATCATCTCTATCGTCCCGGGCTCCTCGCACCTTGGCCAGCCTTTGGAGAGGCTACACCTCGGCAAGACAAACCTCCCCATGGATGTGATTGGAGACTATCTGGAGTCAATACGCTCGATTTTTACGATAGAGGTATGATGACATGTTCAGCTGCAACTCATGTGAACAAGCGGCTGCTTACTCCCAACAATAGGCATACGATCTGTTCCGTCACAACTGCAACAACTTTACAGATGCATTCTCAAACTTCCTCCTCGGCAAGGGTATCCCAAGCCACATCGCACAGATGCCACAGGCAGTTCTTGACTCGCCATTTGGGCGCATGCTCATGCCGCAGCTTACCCAAGGCGTCAATGCCAGTAGACAAAATGGCTCCATCCTGGGACTGCAGCAGAGTTCCCAACCCATTGCACCCGTCAAGGCCGCCTCATCTGTCAAGAATGTGACCAGTCAGTCGGAGCTATCAGCCCTCTTGGATCAAGCGAAGACGTCCTGCGCAGTTGTCTACTTTACTTCTGCGACTTGTGCCCCGTGCAAGATGCTGTATCCCTTGTACGATCAGCTAGCCGAGGAATTCGCCGGCAAAGCAACCTTGATCAAGATTGACATTGCGCAGCCACAGGCCAGTTTGGTTGCTAGTCAATACTCCATCAGCGCAACTCCCACATTCGTTACTTTCCTCAAGGGAGAACAAGAGAATAGATGGTCTGGTGCTGACCAAGCTGCTCTCCGAGGGAATGTCCAGCTGCTGGTACAAATGGCACATCCCAGCCACCCGCATGAGAAGCTACGGCTTCCCACATTTGCCAATCCCAATTCGAAGCCTGTATTATTTGGAAAGGTCCCGCCGATGCAGAAGCTGATGGCTAAGATGGGGGCGGAGATTTCGAACAGGCCCGAAGTTGAGCACCTGAGAAGATTCATCGAAGATCGCACCAAGGGCGAGGCTCTGGATGCGGTGCTGCCAAACATGGGACACATGGCCAGTTTCCTTCAGGAGTCGGTTACCAAGATGCCTATCGACACACTGTTCACCATCGTTGATCTTTTCCGATGTGCCCTTCTGGACCCTCGAGTCAGTGGGTATTTTGCCGAAGAGGCATCACACAGGACAGTCGTGAGCATCCTCAATACTGTCAACGAACAGAGCGAGTGCCCATACGCACTTCGTCTCGTCACTTTGCAGATGGCATGCAATTTCTTCTCCACCCCCTTGTTCCCAGATGAAATCCTGCGGAATGAGCACCTTCGAGCACCAATCACCCGATTAATATCGACCAGCTTCCTCGATGATGGCCACAGCAATACCCGCGTGGCGGCATCATCTCTCTTATTCAATATCGCCCTGACGGACCGCAAATCAAGACTTGGGGAAGCTAAACCAAGCTTACCAGATGAGGATCTAATCGAGCTTGCGGCGTCTGTCGTAGAGGCAATCGCTCAGGAAGAGGCATCGGCGGAAGCTCTTCAGGGCATGCTCTCTGCACTAGGTCACCTGGTCTACTTTACAAATCTTCAAGGAGAGCTAGCTGATCTCCTTCGAGCTTTGGACGCCGAGGGAACAGTATTAGCAAAGAAGAAGGCTTTCCCAAAGGAGGCACTGGTTACAGAGGTGGGAAGTGAACTCCTGGGAAAGGGTCTCAGAGCACCATGAGGATGATTAGAAGGCTGGCGTTTTGATGATGATAACATGATAACCACATACTCTGCGTAAATTCACGATAGATCTCTTTATTAAACTTAATACGATCGAATTCATATAACATACTCTTCATTGAAAATTCTTTTACTCTGAACTCGATATCAACTCCATTGTATATCTGAGCATGCCAATACGTGAGCACTTCCAAGTGGGATACTTTGGTACTTCCATCAATCTCTTCACTGCAAAAAAAACTGCTGAGTCATCCGTACGACTTCCCACTGCCCCACCCTGCCGCAGCCCTTTTAAGCAGCCATCGGCAGCCAATCTTTTGAATTTTTTTTCTTCTTTTCTTTCTTTATCAAAAAGCCAACTGAGCTGCCACGACCCTCACCCAGCTAACCCACGGTGTTGCGTTGCCTTTCCCCTCGTGGGAAACGCTCAGAAGAGTAAAACCCTTGGATATAGGAAGTCTGCCGCTACGTTTTTTAATCAGTGGGCGGTAGACGCCAAGAAGGGGGGACATGCCAGCTTTTCAAAAGCTCGGGAATTTTTCCTTTTTGTGTGCGTTCGTGTAATGCGCCCTTGCTGTAGTGCTAAAGCGCGGCTGAAGAGCTGAAGAGCTGAAGAGGGGCTGTGCAATTTTATCAGTTGCCAAACATGCATTTTGTTGGGTCGATTTTGAAGTCCCTCGGATGTTTTTTGTTCAGCTGGGAAATTGGTTGCCTCGCATCGTGTAGTGCCTTGAGATTCTTTGGGGAATTGTGCTCGTGATGGGTTGAGTGCGAGTGAAGGGCAGAAATGTCTGGTAGCACGGAGGCATCATCTATGACGCAAAAAGTCTCAAATTATCTGTAAAGAGCCTGCATAGTAGCTGCAGGTTTCACTGTATTAAAGCAACAAAAGCAAAAGCTTGATGGCTATTGGTACATGAAGGAAGTCTGCCGAACAGAGAGCGTGGATGAATCCATCACGACTTTCCCTCGCTCAGATTCTCGATGCCGTTGCTTCGATACTGCTCCCTCACGAACTCTTCAATCTGGGTATCATGCTCTGGTCGATTGGGAGGCCCTGGAGGCACCTCTTCATTCTCCTCCACCTTGTTGTCTGAGTTTGATCCGCCGATGAGAGGGGCGACAGCCGGAATGGCATGCGATACTGTCGCGTGCATGTTAGCTTTAGATGTCAGATGTACATCGAGGAGCCATCATCATGTGGCTATTCACACATTCAACTCTTTGTGTTGAGAACAGTAAAAAGAGAGAAAACTCACTCTTGTCGACAATAGTCTTAACTGTCGAGTTCCCTTCGCCCTCGTGCTGGTGAACCCGGCTTTCGATTGCCTCCTTGTCGAGCTGCTCCTTGAAAGTCGGCGGTTCTGCCGCCGGGCTGCCATTGTCGTTCTTCTTGGGGGAGCTCATCATGTAGTTGACTTTGTCGTATTGGTCTCTGAGAACATTAAAGAGAATAAACATCAAATATAGGCCAGAAGTCGTAACGTCAATTGCAACTTTGCCGACCTTGGATTCTTTAAACGATGTCATGGCTGGCGCTTTAGACTTTCGATCTTACAGCGAAATGTGACGTCAAGATTTGAGACTTTGGCTGGGTGTACTGTAGATCAGTGACAACAGTGGAGGAGATACAGAGGACTTGAGCCTGCTGCTGTCGGGAATTATAGCGGCTGGTTTTAGCGCTGCTGCTAAGGCTTTCGGGGGGTCCGTCAACGGCGCTGATAAGATAAGCAATGGAAATCATTCGTTTCCTCTTCCATGTGATGATTGACAAGCCGCGATATTTTTCTCTATGACAACAAACTGGTGATTGAATACTGAATTTCTTTTGCTTCAATTTTGTCTGTTATAAGATTTCATTTGTTTGATTTGATATAGACAAACGGGTTAAATACCTCCTTCAACGATGGGTTCGCAGATCGCCCCAATCCCGATTACCATCGTCACCGGATTCCTGGGCTCTGGCAAGACGACCCTCATCCTCAACCTCATCCCCCAACTCCGCGCGCAGAATCCTTCGTACAAACTCGCCCTCCTAAAGAATGAGTTTGGCGACCTCGCGGTAGACTCCCAGCTGGCCTCCAGCTCAGCCATCTCCGGCGTCCAAGAATTGCTCAACGGATGCATTTGCTGCAATCTCGTAGGCCAGCTGGGCCCCGCGCTTGGAGAACTCGAAAAGACCGTCGCACCAGATCGCATCATCATCGAGACGAGCGGATCTGCGTTTCCGGCGACTCTAGCGCTGGAAGTTAACCGAATCGCGAGAGATACGGGCAAATATGTGCTTGATGGAGTCATCAGCGTCATTGACGTGGAGAATTGGAAGGGCTATGAGGATACAAGCTATACGGCAAAGATTCAGGCGCGATATACCGACTTGATTGTATTTAACAAGTGGGAGACTGCTGGCGAGGACCGATATGACGAGTGCTTGGATAGAGTGGGCGACTTGGACGTCGATGTGGCCCGTGTTAAGAGTGACAAGGGTTTGGTTGACATTGGTGTCGTGTTTGGTATCGATGGAGGCCTGGCAAGGGAATTGACGGAAGTGGACGTCGGCGGAGAGCACAACCACGATCACCAAACGAACGGCGATGATCATAAACACGGTCACAGCCATAGTCACCAAAGCGAGGTCGAAGTGCTCTCAGTCGAGCTCAAAGGCGACAGTGGCGCTGCCGTCTCAACGGATAAGCTGCTCAATTTTCTCAAGTCGGCTCCTAAAGACGAGGCATATCGCATTAAATCCGTCCTTACACTCTCATCCACACCCAAAAACTCCGACCCAGACGTACCGAAGCCCGAGCCCAATCCTCGTGGTCGGTACATCTTGAACTGGGCATTTGGTCGATGGACGTTTACGCCTCTTGCGGAGAGCGCTGAGGAGCATTCTTCGAGCAATGGCGTTGTACTACGGCTAACGATGATATTGGCACGATACGAGAGTAATAAGTGGAAGAAGAGGATAGAGGCTGGTGGTTTGATAGAATTAGAGGGTGAAGTTAAAGGAGAGTTGGTTGTTAAGAGGATATTGTAGAGATGGTTTTGGATATAGACGACGTGATGATTTGAAGAGTTTTAGACGGGCGACTGGGAATGACACGGGATATAAACGTAGTTCATTGGATAAATAGAATATGGAATATATATTAAACATGCTTTCTTTGCCAAATAACTCCTGATATCAATCTATGTGCTGTGCCGTATTATGTAGTGGCAACAACTACTATGATAGCTCTCTCCTTGCACAGTTATTAAGAGCAAAGTTGCCTTCATCTATCGAAGTAATAATCTGCCCAATCGAGATCATATAAACCTAATTGTTCTTTTTCGACTGATGCTCTTCTATTCTGATTCTGATAACTTGCTGGTCCACTCTTATTGGGTCCTGTAATATTTTCGTCTCCTATCATCCAACATAGCGGCACAGACAATGTTGGATCATCGGCAACATCTAGCAATATGGGAGATACTGTGGATTTCCTGTCGTCTGTGGAGCTCGTATCCAGCGAGTACACTGAACCAGAGTATGAACAAAGTGACTTTGAAGCAAGATGCTGGGGAAAGCAGGCAGAGGAATGTAGGATACTCTCGTCATCTTCGTAGAAACTACTAGTTGACATTGTGAATTCTTCTTTGCAGGTGTTGCAGAGGCCGTCGTGGTTGTCTATTGATTGCGAGCGACAGAGGGGGCATGTGAATAGAGCTGGGCTTTGAGAACATACTGTAGAGGATTCTGTTGCTGGACTAGAGGTATATACGATGGGTGATGACACTGGTGACGGAGATGCATCTTGATATAATTGTGAGGTTTTCGTCATGGACTGAGGGTTGTAAGTCGTTCTCGGTAAAAGAATTTGCTGCGATACATATTGAGGTTCTGACAGGATTCTATATCTTCTGCAATCTTCTGCCATCTGGCAACAAGTTGTATTCAACGTCAACTCCGTCTGAATCCCCCGTCTCTGTCTCAGACTCTGATTCTCGTAATTCTCTTGATACTCTCTTCTTTCCACCTCTAGTCGAATCCCGTTCATACACTC